GATTGGCAAGACGAAGTTTCTACATCGATCCACTCCAATACAAATATTTTTGAAGTAAAGCTGTCAGCTGGTTGGAATTCAGGAAAGAAATGGTAAGTTCAATTCTATGGAGGATTGACGGGGCAAAGTCTGAGTTCATGAGGTTCAATCGTTGTTTAAATTTGATTTTGAAAGAATATATTTATGTGCCAGTTAGATACAAGACAAGTTCGTTTGTTTCTATGAACAGACAGACAAGTTTGTTTAATGACTTATGAATTCATCACTACGCCGATTAATATTCTTAAAAAACTAAACCACGGGAGACTCGCTTTTGTTTCCATGATTTGCTTTTAAAATTATTTTTAGCTATAATATTTATTATACAAAGGGTTGATCATTTTCTCAAACACCTATCGTCAAATCTCCTCCATTAGTGTACGCGCACGATCCTTAATAAGTATTTCAAAACTCTTCACTTCATTTACAAGGAATAACGGTTAACCCTTTAACTCCCATGAGTGACCAAGACAGAATTTCTCCTTATAATATCAATACCATATCAAGCAGAAAAATGATGAGAGTAAAGAGAAATATTAATCAGGCGATGGTTAGTTCATCCAATACCAAAGTCTCCGAACGAACATCAAAAGAATATTACGGTAGACAGTGATGAGAATTCCTAATTAGATCTTGGGAGTGAAAGAGTTCAGGTCAAATAATTTAAGGATTTTAAATATGGGTTATGGTCTAAAAGGGTAATTACATCAAATACCGATGCTGAGAACCCTTGATTTTTCAGTTTTTCATTTCTCACTTTTTCAAAATATACATGAATCATCAGTAAAGCATACACCAATCCCGTTTAAAATGCGTATTGAAAACTATTTCTTGGACATTTGCATTTAATCGAAGATTGCTCCATATGTTCATACCGCATTCACAATGAAGAAATTTATTTTTGAAATAGATTAGAAGGTACTCTTACTCGAATTTGAAATGAATTTTATCGATTCACATGCCAAGAGGTCAATTTCTCGCCGTCATTTTCTCTATCAAGCGTCTAAGCGATTGTCGTCAAAGAAAGAAAATTATTGAAAAACATACGGAGTGTGGGAAGAAGGGGCTTTTTTTGTAACCCGGCAACCGAGGTGTTGCAATATCGTCCTACACTTTCCCGCTTTCGGGTACGAAGACCGGAAAACAATTATTAGCAAGTCGCTATAAAAGTTAACCGAATTTATTTCCTTTTTCCGTGAGGAGAATAAAGGAAATAACTGAAGTCAATAACGAAAACAAGATATTGAAGATCAAGATTAAAAATGTATATTATCATACTTTCTCAAGGATCATTGACCGAGTGGATCGAAATATATTTTAAAGTAGGCGAGTCCAGGTATTGTTTCTAAGAGCGTTTCTTAGCAGCTTCCGTTGTCCCCGAGTTTGTTACGAGCCTTGCACTGCCCAATTGTTTTGAATCTTCGGCCACTTTTCAATTCATTCTCTTGGTCTTCTAAAATCATAATATTTTAGGAAAAGTCGAGGACGCAGCCTTCTCTCAATCAACCAGCAGAGAGTAGCTGTCTTCCGTCTTCAAATAAATAACGGAAAGGAATATATGAGAAAGGATAAAATTCAATCCACTTCCCACTGTGTTTTTACAGGCAGCGGAAACTACCAACTATCGTGGGATCTAAACCTGAGAAAACTCGATTACAAGTCGATTCAAGTTGTTCTTCTGTTTTCGTGGGCTAAACCATCGCTTTCGAAGGTATTTTTATGGACTCAAAAATAAAACAGCGGACGAACGTAAGCATTAGAAGAAGTAGTTCCTGCCAGGGTAGAAACAAGGCGTGAGTCCGATTAAGGAAAATATCCCCGCAGGAGTTCCGCTGAGAACGAGAGATCGAGCCTCTGAAATTAAGGATAGTTCAGTCACATTCAACCACAATTCGTTCCTTTGCTTACCAGTCAGTTTCACAGTCCATTTCGGAAAGCAGAGGTGTGACCAGTCTTTTTTCCACTGACAAAAAATGGATCAAGAACGATCGTGAAAAGAACCAGGAGGGATAAGTTCCATTTTTAGAACGATGTGGTAAGAATAAATCAATAATTGAACGTATTCATCCAGAATGGTAATCATTAAAAAATTAATTTGAAAACGATGTTTCGTCTTGTTCAAAGTCACAACATAAATCCTAAAGGTAGGTTTTCTTAAACACTGAGTGACGTCAAAAGTTTCCTTTCATATTAGGTGGCCGAATATTGTCTACATAACTTCACCTCTTTATTAAAATCGTCTGATTTTCTTCCCTGAAAGTATCTATTTTGAAGTTTTTTTAGAGAGAAAAAAAATAATTCGGAAGGGAGGGGAGGGCTAAAGAAGAGCATTCTGCACAAATGTAAGTTTGTTGAAGGAGACAACTTCCAATGTCTTTTATTATTATTGTGAAAGTAATTTTCGCGAAGTTCTTGAAAGCACACAACAAGGCGAAAAGACTTCTCCTAGTATTTTACCACGGAATTAGCCTGTCGTTCTTGAGTCTTCAGGGCGAAATCTCTGCTCGACATCTGTGTAAAAGAAAAAAAGAGAGCGTACGTGATACTTCCTCTTCCCATTTTTTCTTAATGAAGCGCGGAAAGCTGCGGTCTAGAAATCATCCTACCACGCCAGAACATTTGTCAAAAGAATTTAGCTCGTTAGTGAACTATTTTTGACAAGATAACAATTCTCCGTGGGCTTCCACACCTATCTGCCAAATAAAGAACTAAAGAACTAAATTTGCTACAGACATTTGTATACGCTAGGCAACTCTATTGTAAAGTATTTCACCAGTAGAGTTTTATCGTATATCGAGCCGCAAACTTTTATTTATACGGAGCTAACCCACTGCTCCATCATTTTTAAGCGCTGGTTTGGCCTTTAAAAGCACCCATTTTGCGAACAAAGCGGAAAAAAAGGACGGATAATTTGCTATTTCGAAAATGCCATGAATCGGGAATCTTTTGGAAGTTTCGTCCCGAATTCGGCAAAGTTCGGTCCTTGGATCTCGAACGAACTTCACACAGTAGATCGTGGAAGGGCATGGCGGGTATGTTTTATTTTTCTTCCGTTTTTAATGAATTGTTATGTTTCAAAACCACGTAAGGTGTCCACGACATGCGCATTAACTCAATCTCATTTGCTTTCTAAATAGTAGGGACAAACATCAACCATCCACTGTGAACCGCGATTGCCAAAAAGGATAAAGTTATTCTCAAACGCAATTGAAAGGGAAAATCATGGCGGCGTTAGGCAGAATTAGGCCAAAAATTGTATAGATCAGAGGATTTACATCCGCTTTATTCAAATGATCATAAAACTTACATCAAATTTATATGAGGAACGCTGATAATATGAACTTGTTCAAAGATCAGCCCATTCGGTATTGAAAACTACTATAAAAGGAATTATTTAAGTTCTTTAAAATCTCCTACCAACGCCACATCAGTCATGGGGTGCTATTTAAAAAATTAATAAACGTGATCTTCATAATTGCGTATTTCTCTCGTATCTTCCTGAAATAACTGTTCGAAGGGACATTCTGGGACGTAAGGAAGACTTGAAATAACTTTATTTCATATATATGTATATCCCAAACACAAAAGCTAACTGTTCGAAGGGACATTCTGGGATATAAGGAAGACTTGAAATAACTTTGTATTCATAGATACATCCCAAAGGCAAAAGCTTAAGAAACAACTATATACATCATTTCGTGAATGTGTTACGAGCTTCGTACTGAAGTCGAACTTAGGGTAGTGTTTATTGTACAGTGAATCGTAAACAAATGGCAAATTATGCCCATCTTGTTACATCCTACGCGTGATGGGTTGAGCACTGCAAGTTCATGATTCGAAGTGCCTCTTCTTGTGATTTGTTATTGATTGAAACAAACGCACGATATTTGAACGTTTGGTTGGCTAGGAGGATATTCACTAAGTAGTTTGGGTCAAAAGCTACTTGTGTTAGCTAAGACATGATGCGAAAGCAAACCATCGTTGTTGTGATGTCACGTAATTGTCGCAAAAAGTGACGTAGGGACAAATTTAAACTTCAAAAAAGCCCACAAAAACTGGCATCGAAACAAAAATTTCTCAGCTCAAAATCGGCTAAGAGGAATGCGTGTTTTTGTGTGAATTGTATGAATCACATTTAATTCACGTTTCCTTTTAGCTTGTCAACATTATGCAAATTTTGAGAAAAGTTTACCGTGGATATGCAAATTTCCAGAACTTTCAAACGACTCTTATGTGAACGACTCAAAAACGAGGTTGCCAAAAGAGCATTTCTTTACTTTAAGAAAGATTAAAAGATCGCACCTTAATCCCACTCGGGCAAGTGTAAGCGGAACTAAACAATAGGATTACATGTGACACTACCATGAAAATCGCAGGGAACCATAGCGTAACAATTGTTTAAAATAATCGAAGGAAAGCGAGGGAGTAATTTAACTCGTGCATCATTGTTTGGAGCGTTTCACAAAGACGTACCCACATAAATTTTATGTCGCTAACGAGAACCGGAAATAACAAATTTAATATTTCCTGTTCATGAACAAAAATTTATAGCGTTGGACCTAAGAATAATGTTAATAACACCGTTGCTACTTAAATTAATTACTCGTGGAAAAAAAAAAACTTTTTTCCGATCTCCTTTTTTAAAATTATAAGAATAGATTTTTTGTTGTTCATATTAAATCATTTTTGCACTAATATTCTTTCTGCATCCCAAACAGGGAAAAAGTTTAACTCAATAACGTCATAGATCAGCCAATCACAAACGCCGAAAATGTTGTTTGGGTTTTGTAATCACGTGTAGTGGTCACATGGTAATAGTTGAGTTTCTAACAACACGTGCGATTGGTCCGAACATAATTGGATCTGTCAAGACTAATAATTGCCATGATGAAAGCAACAATGAGCTGTCAATTATTATTTTTAGTCCCCTCCCCGGAGAGTTGGGCCGGTTAAACTTGGGAATATGGAGAAAACGAAGCCACGCGAATTAGAGGAAATTTGTAAAGCTAGTTGTTGAGTTGTGTTCGCGGAAATTCCCCCCGCGCTGAAGGCGCATGGAAAACCGTTAAAAAATCACGAATTATTTGGCAGAGTGCGGTTTGTCAGCTCGGTATAACGATCGAGGGAAAGTTATACGCGTTGCCTTTGTTACGGAGCAAGCTTGCAGTTTTGAGGATTTTTTGTGTGGTTCAGCTTATTATTCAAAATCGACTCGCTCAAGCCTGCGTGCATTCACAAAAGTCGCTGCGATTTCTTCAACGGACTGCACGCTAGACACTGGGAGATTTTGACGAATGAATCCGCACGCGGGAGATAAGGAACTGAGCGATCTACTAGACTTCAGCGCGGTTAGTACAACTTGGAAAAATTTCTGACACACTTGCATTCGCAACTTCTCTTGATGTTGCGATTAGCGAGCGCCGTTGGCTGCAGTTTATTAACGATCGTGTTTGCTTTGTGTGTTGGCAATTTTTTTTTGCTCAGATGTTCTCGCCGCCGGGATCCATGGTCGGCAGTAAATCTAGTGGCTCTCTGACGGAAGCTGGGTTATCGAGTTCCATGCACGCATCTAGAACAGGTGCCGTTTGCGTTTTGTTTGTATGCCGTTCGCCATGAATTAAACTTTCTGTATGGACCTCACAGAACCTGCTACTCACACTAGAGTACATCACACCGGTTCTTGATTCCAACCCACATGCTTCTCTGCTTCCAAGACATAAAAATATTTCCTCTGCTGGCTTACTTTTATTTTTTCTTTTGTAGGTTCTTTAGACGAGACACCCACGTGGCAAGGCAGTTCTGTGTCGGCCTACGAAGCTCGGGTAAGCTGTGAATACAGTTAAACTTATGATGCTTTATGCGCTTGAAAATTAAAACAAATCTCCAAAACAAAAGTTCTGTAAAATTCGCTACAAATGTCAACAGGAACATTTGTGCAAAATTAGAACCACTAATGTAGCACGTGCCTGAACGGAAACTCTATATTTTCGAGCGATAATTTGTTACTTTATAAAGATGCAAAATATTTTACTAACAAGTGGCCCTTATAGACTTGTATGTTAGCGAAGCCATGCCCGTTGAAATGTTGTTTTCCATTTAGTTCGGCATTTTTAACACTTCACTGAGCAAAACCTGAACGACTGAATAAATATACCTCATATGACCTTTTTAATTTCGCCGATTTTTATTCTGTTTTAATATTTTTATTCTGTACTTTCCAGGCATATCACACGGATAGTCACGGTGTATACAGCACTATCGAAGATGTGGAGGGCGACTTTATTTCCCGTAAGGGAGCTGGTTTTACTAATTCGTATCTCGGTTCAAACTCTCTAGGAACTTTAGGTAAGAGTATTGTTAACGCAAGGTAGACATTTCGGCGAGGAATTGATTGTGAAATTATTCTTTGGCACTTGAATGATTCAGATAAGGCTCTACTTGTCTCGGCTTTGTTGTTGTTTTGTCGGTGAGCATCATAGCAGTACCTCGTTGCCTTCTTGAGATTGTTCGCACGATCAAGCTTCCTGTGATCCAAACATTGACGCGTGCTGCTTTGCTATACTCTAGAATTAAGCGTTAAATCCTTCGATCGAATTGAAACACAAGACAATGAAAAACCAAATGCAAATTTGCATGGATTTTTTTCGGAATATGATCGGTTTGTTTTTTCCATGTATATAATATTTTTTGACGCATGACGAGATCGCATTTTCTTGTGGCGAAAACGATTTCTTTTTCTCATGATCGGTTTTAACGACTCGAAAGGGTTAGACGGTGGCGAAATTAGTGCAAAACAGTTTTTTAGATATTTAGATTTCCCCCTCGTATTTGCGATAATTTTAATATTTTAACGCGCCATGCTTGGTAAATAAGATGACCATATTTTATTTTCGTTCACTTCAAGTATAGAGCTGGTGGAGTAATTTGTTTTGCTTAGGACGTTTTTGCTATTGCGAGTCGTTTTCTGGTGATGGCAGACTTTTGTGTCTCGGTTAATAAAATAAGCGATTAGGGCAAATTTTCATTTTATATTTCGTCAAAAAAAATTGTTTCCATTCATCCTTTGTTCACGTCAAATAGGAGATATGATAATGTGCGCGAACATGCTTACTCGCGCACAAGCCCCACCCTCTGAGGGGTTTTACGATTATAACACATCTTGTTTTATGGGTAACATAAAAACTGGCGTAATGATAAATACCTACAGTAAAATTAAGGTCAATTTGAGGATTCCCTTCTTTCCAAAGTACCAACAAACGCGTGACTCGAACACATGTGTATGTATATAACATGGTTGAGTTCATGCACTGATTAAATGCTCTCTCTGTCTTGTTAATTTTATATATGGTTCGGTTCATTGACCACGCAAATTTTACTTCGTCATAATATAAATTTTCACACATTATTTTTTATCGTTTTTAGAAGCAGATGTTGTTTTACCAGGTGAAAACGTTTGAGAGGTGTAATATAGATTTGAAAGAAATGATTCACTTGTGGTCGGTTGTTTTGGAGCTTTGACTGAATCGATCTCCCTTTAGCTGGAGTTAATCTGCCAAACAAATCAGCTATTTACACTTTGGGCTTTAAGATGAAACCTGCATCAAGATCTTGGATAGGTTGACCAACAAGTCACCATGTGTGTATTTTGCATTGAACCTGCTCTATGTTAGGTGACATAAGTTAAACACAGGCTTGCCAGCTCTGAAAACTTCATAATTTAACAATTTGCATCGATTGAAAGTGAAGAGCAAATTTATGACATCTATTTTTTTCTCTCAAAATTTAAGGAATAAAATAAGGAATTTTGTTAAATAGAGATTTAGTAAAATAGAAATAACTTCTAGTAGCAAGTCTAGCTTCCTCCTTGTAAGTTACAAATGTAATTGAGGCAAAATTTGGCTTTTCTGTGCTTTGAGAAAAATCTTCTTGACCACAACTTTTTTAGAACATCTCAGGGTTTTTTTGAAGTAGGAAGGATTGTATCATTTGGCATGCATTGGCTGTCAGTCATTCAGTTGTTCTTTTGTGAAGAGAGTCTCTCCTCTTTGAACAAAAGTTGGTTGGAAAATTGTCCAATATGTTTCAGCGTAGGGCATAGATGAGGTTCTGTCAATTTAGTTATTTTAAATGTTTGCAGTGGCTGCAGATGCATACTTAGAGTTAGACACCAGTTTCTAGCACATTTGACATTTTAGAATCTCTCTATGTAGTTTTAATTGCTAGCACAAGTTAGTCTAATACAGGAAGGTCTCACACAATTATTTAAACATAAGCGTGATATGATTTCATTCTAGCACTAGTTAGTCTGACATGTAAGGACTAGTGATATCACAGCATTATATAATTGATGATACCATGTAAGATATATATATAGCTGACAAGAAGTGACTGGGGTTTTTTTTTCTGCTTTTGTTTTGTTTTGGTTTTTTTTATTGTTTTTTTTTTTTTCAGGCTATAGAGAATCCGGACTAACAGGAAGTCAGGTGAGTTTTATTACCCACAATGTTCTCTAGGGACTTTTTAAGCAGTTGGGCATAATATTAAAATAGCTGATGGTCACAAATGAGACCTCTAAGGCCATAGACATCTATTTTCCTTGCTTCAATTTATTGTTTTGTGTCCAATTTTTATCAATCTATTTGGGTACATGCAGAAATAAAAGGAAAAGTTAAAATGTATTCCAGATAAAGACAATTCTTTCACTCTTTTGTTGTCATAAAGTAGCAAGAGCTTCAAAAACAAGTAGCTGGTAAAACCAATGGCTGCTGTTGCCTCTAGAGAATGCTATATGGGGATTCAAAACAAGCAACATGCAGTAGCTAACTTTCTACAGCTATATTGTCTAGATCACTTCGCTGTCTCTCCCTCACCAGCTCAGAGTGATATTTATACATGTATGTTGTGAAGAAGATACATGTATAACCCTAACCAACCAATAAGGTTGTGCCCTATTGGAAAGGGTCTATACTTAAGTGAGCTACCCACAGTCTCTGTCTCATTTATTTTCTCTCATTTCCTCAATTTTATCAAAATCCTTAATGAAGAGGTATCAAGTTGACTGTAAAATGTTATTTGTTGCACAATAGCCTATTCAAACTTGGGAAAGCTTTATTCCAAGTTTGCAAATTCAGTGTTCCATGATTCTGCTGTGCTTACATTCTCTCCTTCTTGAGGACTTTTCCTCTTTATCTGGTTAATTATGCCCAAAATGAAGGAATATTGAACTATAAAAATGACATTCAAAGGGCTTTAGATTTCTCAAAATTTGAAAGGCTTTTTCATCAAATAATGAATAAGGAAGCCGAATGTTTTACAGCACATCTGTTAAACACCACAGAAAATGCAACAGCTTTTTGGCTCAGTAATGTATAAATTGAAGATGTGTTTCAAGAATAACCCCTTCACATGATTGGAAATAGTAAATTTACCAAAGGAAATAAATTAAAAGGATTTGCAAAAGTTGTGCCAAACTAAGATACTTGTATGAGTTGTAAAGAGCAGTTTGTAAACATTACTTTTTTTTTAAGCTAGAATTTTTGTATTTATCCCTATGCATTGTTGTGCTCAGATATGTATATGATGTTATTTCGACCAATGAGGTATTATAACCTTGAGCTACAGGAAGAAGAGAAATAGATAAAGGTTTGGAATGACAATTCGCTAGAATTCAATTTCTTTTCTTTTCTTTTTTTTTTTTTTTTTTTTACTCTAAAAACAGTGACAACTAAACAAATTTGTTTTCAAGGCAACCCTACTTAATCATCATTCACAATTCATGTTTTAAAACATGTAAACTGGGAAATGACCAAGAAGAAATGATCAAGACACACTTTTTCCTGCAGAATAGACTCATGCACTACCATAAAATAATTATTTTTGATGAATTTTACAAGTGTGCTTATGTCTGTAATAACTCTGGTAGCTCTAGTCAATCTGAAGTTTAGCTAATTACTTTGTTTAGCGCAAATGCAAGTAGTTCTAGGTGCTGTATGAGAACAAACAAGGGATAAAAAAGGCTTGGTATCCAGGAGGCAAAATTTGGTTCCTAAAAGAACAGCTTCCTGTAAACATTGTCAAAATTGGTTACAAAGGGATCACCTGCTAAGCTGCAATAATTTTGAGAGTTAAATATGGTCCTATCAATAATTTAAGGATTTGTACACCAGTAAGATGTTGTAGATCCACTGCACAGTGTTTTCAGAGGCTTGGCAAATACTTTGAGCATTTATTTAAGTAACTTGGTCATGGACTCCAAGGAAAGGGTTCCTCATGGAAGAATAAGTGTACCCTACTTGTTTAATTGCATACTGTAAAGCATATTTCGTCATCCAATGATGTTCACCTTAAGCAGCCTATTTCACATCCCCATGCAGGAAGTACTTGCCTTCCTCACTGCTTCTTTTAAACACAAATTTCCAATTTCAACTTAGTTTTCTTTGAAACATTCATTCAACAAGAAACCTACTGAGAGGTAGAATTGGGCAGAACAGTACAATAAGGGGAAAATAAAAAAATCATTTGTCATAAGAGGTTGGCTTTAGTCATCCAAAATCTAGTGTTCAAAAATTGATGGGTGCACATTCTTAACATAGGCTGCAGGTTTGGTGGATTCAGATTGTTGTTATTTTTATTTGATAATTGGGAATGTTAGAGTTATTGATTGATAAAGTGTTGTCTTTTTTACTTCAAGAGTCAAAGAAACCTCCAAATAGGTTCTAAACTGAACAACACAATCATTGTTAAACTACACGTTTGCTTTCCGTTTTTGATCCCTCATGACTCATTCAAAATCAAACATAACAGTTATCCACTAATTTATAAACTTTCATAGACTTCATGGTGAAATCAGTTGAATGTGTTGCACAAAAGTTACAAAGTTCAATCTTGTCAAGGAGCTTCCCTTGAAAACACAATCTTGATGCACAATCTTTAAGAGTTGAATATATTTTGCAATGCTTGCCTTAGGAATGAAACTGAAAATGATATATTAATTTATGGTTAGTCACATTATCAATTCTTGTTCATTGGGAAGGACCAAATCTATTAGAATAACTTCAGGATTTAATGGGTTTGTCTTATCATAGTTATCTTTATTATCATTATTATTTCTGTAATGATCATTATTATATCATGTTATCATCTTTATCTTTCTGCATGATAGACTGGCATAGCTGAATTTTTTTTACTGTAAATGCTCAACAACAACTTCTACAGACCTAAAACAACAACAACAAACAAAACGAAATTTTTAAGCTTTGTGGTTATTTTTTTCCCCACAGGCTGGCCTCCCTCCACCGCTGCAGACCTCTCATGATGTTACTCTATCAAGTCCAGATTGTAAGTTCACCAATGTAGACAATTATTCATACAAAATATTGTGATCATGTACATGTGTACTCTAGGGCTCACATGGATAGCTTACCTCTCTGCTAGTAGACTTGAATTTGAGGAACCAGCATATAGTTTGTAATCCAAGAATCTGCGCTTAAATATGGTCAATATACTTGAAATCCAAATTTGTGATTAACTATTATGAAACAGACTGATGAGAGGTTCAAATTACATCTTTGGTAGGCTATCCAATAAGTAGAGACAATTTAATGCATCTTTTATGGTAATCATACAGTGTACATTTTTCATTTTCATCTGTATTTTGGCCATTTGACAAAACCTTTTGCTTATAATTACAAGCCTAGACCTTAATGTTTCTGACGTGAAAATGGGACTGCTTTTGTCTGTTAGGGTAGGAAATTTCCTGCATGCATCCCAAAGCAATTTTCCTTTTGTTTGATCTTATTGAATTGTAACCAAGCATATACATTTTTACATTATTGGTTGAAGGTTCCCCCTTCTTGTTACTTTTTCTCCCAATACAACTTCCTGGAACATTCCATACCAGTGTTTCAAGACTGCTCTTAGTTTTTTCATTTTTTTTTTAGTTTTCCTTGATCTCCCTATCCTCTCCACTTATTTTAGATGACAATCCTTTTGTAAAAATTCCATTGGCAAAACTTGGGTTCATTGATTGTAAAGCAGCTACTCTATAAGGCTATAAACATTTAATCATAAAAAAATCAGCTATTACTTGTCAAAAATATTTCTCAGAAACACAAAATAGTATAAAATAAAATTAATACCAGTTACTCATCTAAACATACCAATTCACCAATGAGTCAAGCCTAAGTAATTTTGAGCATTTCACAGATCAAAAGTCTGCTCGTAGTTTATTAGAACATCAATTCAAACTGTGGTCAGTCTTAGAATAAGTTGTGACTTTACTTTTGGTGAAATAGTTATTTTTTGGTCTCACAATCTTTTAGATATAATTGCATGTACATGTACTATGATAAAAATGTCTATTTGTTCTTAAAATTAGCTGTGAATAATCTTTGGTGTTAAAACTCAAGTATTTTAGACAGTGCACTATCATTTCTTGTGGAGAGATTGCAAAACATTAAGCTTTCATTTGATTTATCAAAGTATAATTACCACAACTGCTAAACCTGAAAAGACAATTTACCTTTGTTTACATTTTTCCATGCTTTACAATGTCAGCATGGGGCTGATTAAAAGTGACACCCTGGAGTTTAAAGAAATACCTCTTGGTCTAAACTGTGGCAGAGTGATTATTCTCTAGTACTAAACAATGTTGCATCATATTCAAAGATCATTCTAAATAGATGTTTAGTTCTAATTTTAGAGTCAATTTTCTGGTCCTGTTTATTTGAAGAAATGAAAGTTATGTGATTTTTAATTTAACAGAAAGTTTGAGTTGCATGCAACGTCATAACTTTACTATGTTATTGACTTCTCCAAACAAATGGAACGTGAAGAAAACAATGATTCTAATCTGCAGGAGAATCATTACAACATGTTTTGAGATCAAAGTTCAAAAGAAGCATTTTAGCTAATAAGTAATTTTGTAAGCAATGAAAGGAATTTGTCTTGTCATGGGCAATTAACAAGTGAACCCTTTAAGTCTTAACTCGGAAGACCTACTCAAATCTGTCCTTATTTAGTCATTACAGAATTTATACACACAACATGTCTTTTAAAGTTATTAGTAGGTAATTTTAGAGATTGTATCTTTCTTTATTATTAATTCAGGGGATCCAAGAAGGAAACAGTACTTTTTAAACACTAGATGGCTTAATTTACTCCTGTCTTCATTGAAAATCTATCACACTTGCAAAAAATGGTGAACAGGAAAGCATGGTCAGGTTAACCAATGCATGACTGAGTGACATCGCTATTGGAACTGATATATCATTACATTAACCAACAATAAAGCATTTTCAATGGAACATTTTTAAAGCTGCTTTTTAAAAATGTTGCCATTTTTCATGGAAAAGTATCAATAATATTATGATATCAACTACTTTTTAAAACTTCAAAGATCAACATAGCTTTTAAAACTTCAAAGATCAGTGTAGCCTTTAAAAAATTGTCTTTGTATGTGCCAAAAATTTGACAATAGAGGCAGCCATTTTGAATGTGGTGGCTTAATTTCAAGGTGACAAATCTTACTTCTCATTTTTTACACCTCTTGGTATCATGGTGGCTGCTGGTCAAGAAATATATGTAGTTAGGGGGGAAAAATTATTCAGGGGCAGGGTAAGTCATCATTCACAATTCATTTTTTAAAACATGTAAACTGGGAAATGACCAAGAAGAAATAATCGAGACACGCTTTTGCCTGCAGATAGACTTATGCACTGCCTTAAAATAATTATTTTTGATGAATTTTACAAGTGTCTGTAATAACTCTGGTAGCCCTGGTCAATCTAAAGTTTGGCTAATTACTCTGTTTAGCACATATCCAAGTAGTTCTAGGTGCTGTGTGAGAAAAAACAAGGGATTAAAAAAGCTTGGTTTCCAGGAGGTAAACATTTGGTTCCTAAAAAAACAGCTTCCTGTAAACATTGTAAAAATTGGTTACAAAGGGATCACCTGCTAAGCTGCAATACTTTTGAGAGTTAAATATGGTCCTATCAATAATTTAAGGATTTGTATACCAGTGAGATGTTATAGATCCACTGCGCAGTGTTTTCAGAGGCCTGGCCAAATCTGTCCTTATTTAGTTATTAAAGAATTTATAAAAATTATTCAGAGTCAGGGAGATTTGAGGAAAAGTACATCTTTTGAAGATTAAGTTAGGAAACACTAAAATCTTGAGTCAATAACTGGACTCATTCATCTTGTCTGAACCTCTTCATGATGAAAGATTCTAAGATTTGACGTTAGGTGATGCCCACAATTACTTGTGTATATTGTTTAAAATAGTTGATAGATTCCTGATATACTTATTGTTTCCCCTTGCAATGTACATCTTAGTTCAAGATTTTTTGTAAATGAAATCGTCCTCTCTCACTTCTGCCAATTTGATTGTTATCTACAATTTCATAATTGTTACATGGACATGAATTGTGTTGGATTGGTAGTATATTGTTTAATGAAATTAAACATTAAACCTGACGATGGGTGTCAAAGGAAATCAGTCCTTTTTACATATTACACTAAAGAACTATCAGTTTGTTTACAATGAATGTAACTTACTGAAAGCTTAAATAAATGGATAGAGAAGATGGCTGTGTGAAGTGGTTGGAGGCCATTATAACAACCAATTCATTCAACTTTACACTCAAGGTTTAATAAGTCGAGGAAAAGTAAGGGAATTTCAAAATCCTATGGCTACAGCAATCATGGGTGATCTGTTTAGGAAATTGATTTTTTTTAGAGCCTTGGAAGTTTTTCTAAACAACAACTGTACTATGTGTGCATCATTAAATAAACCTTGATAGCCTGATGTATGCCACAGGTACAGTGTTCACCTTTTCAGACAGTAACCAGTAACATTTACTCCCTGTAGTACCTCTAATTACCATTTAAAATTGCTTGGAATTCTTGAAATTCAACAGGTAAAAGGATTGCTTTACTGGTTTGAGAATTTATTTTACCTGTCATGCTTAAAATAAGGGAGAACACTGATGTATAATGTACCCTCCCCCTGTCTGTACTTTTCACACATCTACCATGTTATGAACTTGTTTTCAAAATGCATTCAAACTGCTGTGCAGTCAATTATTTTTTTTCCTACTTGAAATTATTTTACTTGTGATTCAATCTAACCATGATGTGATATATTAAATTTTAAGGCAAATTGTAATATTAACTGACAGCACCAATAGGTAGCATGCTATGGTTAGAGGTCTTGACACCATGCATTATGTTCTTTATTTCTATTGTTACAGTAGCATGTGTTGTTTACCTTGTGGAGAAGTATTTTGTCCTGTCTAACCACTGCTTGTTAATGTCTTTTTTTCTAGGGAGAGGAAGAAAGTATAAGTCAAGCAAAAACAATAGCTCCATTTCTGTAAGTGTGCCGAGATATGAATTTATTCTGGGGAGGAAATCATGGAATTTTGAGTTGATTACACATTCACTGTTTGACCTTTCAATAATGATGAAGACTCTGGTTTTAAATAGTAAAATATACTTATATTGTACCTTAACCAACAAAAGGTGTACTGGTTTTCAGCTGCATTCTGTTTGGTAACTTAATGTTGTAAATAATCTTAAGTCACATGTAAATGTTGACCTCTTCATACATTGACAGTACATAGTTTGACTTTGATCAAACACAATCATTGACTGCCTCTGATAAGTCAAATATTTCTGCCAATGAATAACAGACCAAGGAGTGTTTGTTACATGATAGCTGAATAAAAAATAAGTTTCAAGGGAGGAGAGGCTAGGAGTCTGAAGTCACAGCATGCAAGCTTTTTAAAAAACAATGAAAAGACATATGAGTGAGCTTTGGCCTTTTAATGCAGTATTTTTGAAAGATGCTACTCCCAATGATCTTATAAAGATGTTTTAATGGCAATCTAGGGCTTATAAAAATGTTTTTTCCAGACTGCTTTAAAATGAAGGGAAGACTGTAGTTATTGTCATTCCATGCTGTGCTGATGGATTTAAAACATGCAGTTGAGAATTATTCATTGTCCTCCATCTTACAAATTTCTGATCACTGCAGAGTCTTAGAATGCTACATCATGGTAGATTACTTAGTTTTTCAAAGATAAATACCAGCTGTGAAGCTTAAAGCACAGAACATCTGTTTAAGTAGGAAGGAAAAACTGCCAAATTCTTCCCCTGACTGTAGAGGTTGTGGTTTCTCATTTAGGATAAAGTTACAGGCAGATAGGCATAGGTCTGCCAGTTATCACTGTCACCTAATGTCACATGATAGCCTAATCAGAGCTTGAGTGCCTGTGATTGGTAAAAACATAAGCAAGGCCTTTGTTTAGATAGAAGGATCATCTTACAGTAATTAGATTATTGTCCTAATGTTGCCTGCATGAGGCGCTGTTAGGGAGCAGATAAAATAAGCCAGACAATACTTGGCCTGTTGTTCAGAGCAGTGATTTTTCTAAAAGATTTTTCCATGTGGAGACATCCATATCCTCATCAAAGACCTCTACTTCCCTATCATGCCAGGGGAAAGGTATAATTTATATCTTTGAGTACATTTGAGGCATTTCTATTGAGCAGCGTTGTTTGAATAATGGTTTTATTTACCCTGATGTCACATCACTTTCACTTCAAGATGTGTCCTCAGAGATGAAACAGAAGGTCTTAAATATTGCCTGCGTCATTTCTCTCAGCTAAGATTGGGAGCCTAAATCAGTCATAACAGGATGTAGATAAGCCTTGTGGAGATTTCAGAACTTCCAAGAGCTTTGAAAAGCGGTTTCTTGATCCCATATGCTGAGTAACTTGAAACAACTGTTACTTCACTGTGACCCCCTGTGAAAGACAATTTACATGTGCTTTTCCTCTTCAATTATTGTTCAAAATGCTAGGATAAATACACATCAGGATGGCTGGTTGTGAAATGACAAGCCAGCTCTCTTCTAAGTGACTGCTGTCGCAATTTGCCTCTTGATCCCAGTTTATCTTTTAGTGTGCTTTGGGGTCTAATATTGCATCCTTTTCATTCTTTGGGATGCTGAAATTAAACATTGTTTTTCCTTTTACAGGTCTATTCACCAGGTGCCGATGACATGATGCCTCATCCTGGGGATGCCTTGACTCAATCTCATTACTCTCCTAAAGGGGGAATCTACGCTGATGCTTACTACATGGGTGAGAAGGATTAGCATATCTTGTGTTCCAGTCGCCATCTTGCACTTTAATTTTTGTGCTCTTTGACCACCATTTTGGAAGAGTCTCTTGTTACAGTCTAATTTGTAATTTTCTTTGCGCCCAATACTTCACTTTCTTGTTTTCCTCTTTACTGTTCTATTATTAGTAAATTAGTTCTTTTATTAATCAACCAATGACTGATGGAATTTGTTGTAATAAAGCTGTCTTGTCCCTACCTGAAATTTCTTTTAACATTCTCTGTTCCTGACGTTTTTGTGAGCAAAATTGTTGAATCCACTCAGATGTTTCCTCTCACTTTGTCAGTTGTCAAAGACACAGGCTTCTGTTCTCAACTAGCCATAGATAAATAAGCAATGCCATATTTCTTGTTGAATTACCAGCATGAAAAACCCCAATGCTTGTCATTGGAGTGAACTGAGAGGATACTTGCTAGAGAGCAACTCAAAATAACATGTGGTAAAGGTGAAGTCGCTTAACAGACTGTTAATAACTACAAGTCTGTTGAATACCTGCAGTGGCTTAACACCACACTTGATTAGTTTTTTATTGGGGGCTATTTCAGTTACAGTGATGTGGTAAAGGCTGTTATACTCATTTGTGTTTATGGGCACTTCATTTGTGGTTTCCAGCTGAAGTAACATTATTCTGTCATTATAATCAAACTTATCATAAATCAAATTTTTCATGGCTTGTGTAGTTCATGACTCAAAATACACTGTCTTTAATGTGATTATTTTCCAATTTATTGTAAATTTAGCTTTATATCTCTTTTTCTGTGAGAATTCTGAGATTCTGTCTTCAAAAGGCTTCTATTTGCTTCACTGTGCACTGATTTCAGTGTTTGCAACATGTAACAGAATGAGTTTTTATGAAGAGCACCTCCACACTTGATCTGGTCCATTTTTTTTCACAAAGGAGCATCCAAATAACAGGCTTTTATTCTGCCACATGTTTTGGATGAGCTACCACCTCATAGACAATTCATATTTTGTCATCTGTTTTTCAGATTTTTGTACCTTTAATTTTTGTGATGCCAAAAATGTTGTTAGGTTGTGATCACCAATTGATGTACATGGTTTCTTTTTTTCCACTTTGAGATTTCCTATTTTACATTGATATACGATGGAAGCAAAGCTTCTATGGAGTGTCTTTGACCCTACCTCCTATATCTGATATAACACAAATGATTGTTGCTGATTCCAAGAATTCTTTGCAGTAATTATGTGTTGTTTCATAACCGAAAAACATCATAAGGAATTGGTATATGTTAATTTTTAGCATTTTTTCCAGAAGAAATGAAAGGTCTCTTTAAATGGTGCTGTATTTTTTAAATATTTCTTTCTTCATGTCTCAAAGTCTTTTGTCAACATGTAAATTAGATTGCAAGTTAGAGTGATTAACTTTGGTTATAGAATCTTGTTCAATTTACCTCAAGGAATTTTTCATACATGAAATCAAGCAGTCAAAGAGTATGTGTATATGCATTTCATGCTGATGTAGTGTGAATGTTATCATGTGTTATATTCTTTGAAGAGGCAATGACCAGCTTTGCTGAACTTGATGCAACCCTTACTTAGCTAAGACTTACTAAGCAAATGATTTCAATGAAGGTGAAGAAATAAATTCCTAAAAGGCAGAAAATAACTTCAACAAAAATTTACTAACAAGAATAAGAAGGGAAAGTAATAACAAAGATACAACAAGACCAAAAAAATTCAAAATGCAGCGCAAGATACGTGAAACACTTAAAGGGAAGGGATTATGATGCAGAACCTAAATGAAAACCCACCACACCAAAGGCAAGAAACAGGGAATCTTTAGAGTGGTGTGATTTACATCAAGTGCCAAAAAAGTAATGCATAAATGAAAAATGAAAAGATTGGGAGTTAATGAACTGGTGTGAGGTGTCTAAGAAGTTTGAAATCAAATAAAGAATTAGACACAAAATTTGTCATACCTGAACATTACTGAAGCATTGAAAAAAATTCAGAGGCTAAAAAGGTCTTTTTTGTTGTTTTACAAAAATAGAGAGAGAGAGATGCATTTATAACTGATTTTAGGTCAAGTCATGATGCTACCTGTCACTTGGTTCTTGTTGAATAAGTACATTTGCATTCTCATCCTGACAATTTTAAGCTCTTACCATTTGTGATTGATTCAGTTAGTTTCAGCTTTAGTCTTTCTATTGGGTTCTTTGTAAAAAAAGTTGCTCTTAAATGTGGCAATTATTGGACCAAATCGAGATTTACCCTCTCTTTAGTCAAGTGCTCTTTTTATTAAACTTTATTCCTTTAGTATCAAGAAATCTTGATTTGACAGCTTGTTGTAAAGTATTAATGAATGGCTTTGTGGCCTAAATTGTATCTTTAAGTTTTCTGTCTTACTTCCCACATAGAGTCTTTTAACTGCTCTTTTTTGCTCCAGTATTGGAGATACATGTGCTTGTTGTGTTTTATCCTATGAGCATGTAATTTAAATTTTGAAGTGGGTGCCCACTATTATTTAAATCTGACCAAGCTATCATAGACTTATGTACAAGCAGCTGCTTGTAGCCACTTGTTCATGCTGATGAACATGTTTCCAAAATTTGTTTGGTATTTGGTTCTACTTTCTCTAACTTTATTCTTATCCAATTCATTACTTAAGCTGATGTTAAGTGGCTGATGGGAGGTGTTAAACTTTTCCCCTTTGAAATAAGTTGAAAAGGGATTTGAAGGTTATATGAAAAGGATTTCAAAGACATATGCTGTGTGGAAGGTATTGTAACTCAATTTCTGCTTTGTGTCCTTTTAGATCATGGCTCACCAGATCCATGGGGGCACACTGGTCAGCTTGGTCCAGGATCTTACTCTGGTTCAGCTGGCTCCTACAGCAACAGTTATGGCATGCATCCAAGAGATAGCATGGTGGGTTACACAGTTCAGTTACAATCACAATTTTGCTGGGTTGATTTGGTTTTGCTTAAGTTTGTTTACAATGAGGGGTTTTGTTTGTTTGTTTATTTTTAGAGCGATGTTCGTGGTATTCCTGTTTCAGCATTAGCAAAGGGGCCAGCAATTCACCAACCTAGGGTGGGCTTTGTTTATGGTGTTAAAAAATACACATACATCATCTCTGATCAGCATTGTGCTGACAACTTCCTCTCATCTCCTTGAACACAAGCTCAGCTGAATGTAATCATTGCAAAATTGGGTTAGACACATAACATGCTGGTGCCATTTTAAGGGTTTTTATTGCTGTCAATTAACATTTAACACCACCAGTAGTCTTCCGGTCATTTATCACCTTGTGGGTCTTGCTTTTTTTTTGTTTTCTCTTCTGATTCTCTGACCCTTTCACAAGTGTCATACATGAAAGAAGTGAGTGTCAAGCTGTTTGAACAAGGAAATCGTTTAATCCTTATGTCTTTATTCTTAACTGACCAGTGTCTCTTAACACATGGAGAACTACATGTATTTAACATACTTGTACTTTGTATCACTGATTTTTGATTGTCAACCTTACACCTTCAATTCAAATTATCATTTAATTGTGGGGTACAGAAAAATAAGATGGGTATGTGGTGAAAGTGTGCAATTTCTTTTTTTAACATAGCTTTATTCATCAAGCATAATTTGTTAATTCAACCTTGCTACCTGCATTTAAAACTACAAAACATCTCTGCTATTTTCTTTTAACAGCTTATTCAAAACTTCTCTGTTCATTAGATAGACATTTAATTGTGTATCTTATCAGTATCCAAATTCTAAAATTTGTCCGTTAAATTATGAAGTACTTTCATGTATGTGGCTCTCTGTTGTGTGAAACAAAGTAACAAACAGTTTGAGAGTATAGCAAATTTGTCAGATGATTTTCTTAAACAGCCAGTGAAGTAGTCTGGCTTCCAGTGTGAACTTTTTTATTTGGTAGTTTGGCTGTATACCAGCATGAATGGGAGTATTTTGAATTGCAACATTGTTATAACAGATTTGCAAAATGACTCTGATTTCAAGCAAATTTATTTTAATATCAAGAATCATATACTTTACCTCAAAAGTAGAGTGCTTTATCCACAGGACAGTGGTACATGTAGGTACTTAAGATATGTATTGCTTCAGCTAATCTTTTTCCACTATATTACACAGGGCTACCATCACTTAGGCCATGGTGAGCCAATGGAGAGACTGTCAAGTTTACCACCCATGACATCTTTTAGGCAAACAGGAATGCACCATGGTCAATCATCACCCTATCTCCATTCTTCAGTGTCACCTCCTCTCAATGGAAGTGATCCAATGGGTATGGTCTTTGGTTTAAAACTAAACCTTCAGTTTTAAAGATATTATTATTCAAGCAAGAGAGCTGAGCTTGTTGTAGAAGAACAGCTTATTTTTTTTTTTAAATATGAGAGTTCCTGGGAACTTAAACTGAAAGTTTGATAGAAAAAGAGAATTTTTTTTTTAACTTCTAAAAGATTATCATTGGAATAATTTTCCCAACAGGGTTTTCATGCCTCTTAAGGGAGGATCCATTTTTGGGAGGGGGCAGTGTGGGTCAAATCATGTGGATTCACTGGTGTTTGATGTACCAATTGAGAAATCTCCCAACAAAAAATCTGTACAGGATGGCCTCTTTGAGGTGAATTTTCAAGTTGCAAGAAAAATAGAATAAAAGCCTATTTGCTTCTTGTAATGCGCTGCTTCATGTTTATTTGGGGCACACCATTGTTGTTCCTTTTTTCTGTTGTTTATGTGATTTATCATACTGTTACTTTTATTACAGCCAGTCACAGCTCTAGGGCACCCACATCTGGTTCACAAACTGGAGACACACTAGGGAAAGCCCTAGCATCTGTAAGTGCAGAATCCTGTTTGAGGATGTAATTTTAACAACCTTACAGTTCATCTAGGAGTGCTGAAAGAATAAGTTACTACTTGTTAATTTTTTAAAATAAACAGGGAGTGTTTTGAGTGGTCTAGAAGTCTGAAACTGTCTTTTAATGACATAAAAAATTGATTATTCTTGCAGATTTACCCCACAGACAATGGTGGATCATACTCATCAAACCCAACAACACCAGTAGCATCTCCTCCCCCCTTGGCCAGTGTCAGTGACAGACCTTTATCAGGTAAGATGCTTTGCTCCAGCTTGACCATTTCTGAAGTTTGTTTCAACCAAATGTTGCATGTAGATTGTGATTTCAATTGCAAAGAGCCATATTAGGAAGATTGTGAATTGTCACCAAAGTCTGTCATTAACCTCTGACTTCATTTAGTTCTGTCTGACTCTTTGTCTAATTTATAACTGTTGCTTTAGATTTTATTGGTAGTCAGAACGTTCATCCTTATTTTAAGCATGCAGATTAAAAGCAATTTTCAAGCCAGTAGAGCAATCCTTTACCTGTTGAATTTTCGAGAATTCCTAGCAATTTCGGTTGATACAGAAGGTAAGTTTTAGCAGTTACTGCCTGGAAAGGAGAGCACTTTAGTCATGGAAGAGAAAGAGATCTAGATTAATAACAATGTTGTATTGATCTTATTACAGCTGGCTCTGGAGCTTCAGGACATTCTGCAAGCTGGGGAAGAACTAATCAACCAACATCACCTCCATATGAGAGCCATCTGCATTCTCTTGTGAGTAGAAGTTTGTCATGGTACTGAGTTAATGATTAACCCACTACACCATAGCATTAGAGTGCATATTCTCCGTACTGTTCTCTCTCCATTTCCTAGAGTGCTGACCAGGAGAATGTGTTCAAAAATCACAATTTTCTGTAGTTAGTGATTATTTCCTTTGTTCTTGTGGCCCTAATGTGTGGCTTAGCAGTGGTATTGTAAGGTGAAATTGGATTCTTTTAGGGGTCAAAAGGTTGAAAATGTTGTTGATTAGACGTGAGTGATTAAATAATGGTTTATCGGGTAGACAAATGCAAATTAAATAGAAAAAAACAAAAAGGGCACTTGAAAATTTGGTGCAAGATACATGTACATTAGCCTTGTTGAGATTTGACTTTCCCAAAATCCATGCATTTCATCAAGGTCTGCAAATTTTACATTTCAGCAAAGCAGAATGGAGGAGAGGCTTGATGATGCTATTCATGTTTTGCGCACCCATGCTGAAGGTAGCCTCCCTCCTGGAATGTCACCAGTGGTAGCTGGAAGCTTGCTGAGTGCTGCTGCGGCAGCAAGTGCAAGTGGGGTTCAGGGTGTTAGCTATTCAACCTCTGTGGGAAGTAGCGGTACATCAGCAGTCCCCATGGATCAGATGGTAAAGCAAACCTGTTTTGAATTGTACTTCCATAGCTACTGCCATCTTTTTGGTATGATTGTGGACCCCTGCAATTCAAGTTTAACTTGTACCCAAAACAAAACTCAAATGAAAATGAAATTGTGTTTACATGTACAAATGCTCGAATGCTGTCCCCTCAAAGAAGTTAGTGAGGCAGAGATACAGGTTAACGCAGCTAAGAAAATGAATAAGTTGAAGACGGGATGACTGTTTTTGTGAACTAGCTGCTCTAGTATCAGAGTAGCCAGATAATAAAATTGATTGGCAAGATTAATTTTTCACAAATGTCTGATCATGACGTAGACATATTCCCAAAAAAATTATTACAAATTATTTATAGAAACTAAGAATCTTCATGGACAAACGTTTGTCATTCTTTAGAGTGGTGGACATAGTGGAATGGAGGATGATCCAGGAATGGCATCACCAAGTAACCTATCAAGTAGAGGAGCAGCGTCACAAATGTCCCCCAGTACCTCAGAGACAAGTGAATCAAGATGTATGTACAAGTTTGATGTAGTCTACAAGTAATCAGGTGTTCCTTCTCGGGCAGTGGTGTTAAACAGAAGAATGATTTGATTTGATTTGAGCACCTTTTTGTTGAAATGTCTAGACTGACTGGTTGTATGGAATTAAGTAGTGGCCATTTTAGGGCGTTATCCTAATCCATTTGAGGAAAATTTGACATGCACAAGAATGCTGAAACGCACGTCTCAGAAATGATACTTCAGCGTCTCACTTTACAAAGACAACTACCGTCCTCTTTTAAGTTTATTTCGTGAAAAAGGGCTTCTAAGCCAAGTAGGTTTGACAGGTCATCATAGCTGCATTGCTATATTTATATTTGAAAGATCAAAATGTTGTAATCTCTAAGTAGTTTGAGGATGTAAGGGAAAATTGTGGTAAATAGCCGGTAATTATAGAGTTAATTGTCTCTCTGCCTTGGCAGATGGTTCTAAAATGGACACAGGAGGCGAAAGTGCAAAGAGCAGTAAAGACTCGTCATCGAAGCAAGATTTGAAAAGTAACGGGGACTTGGCAGAGGACAGAGACAAAAGGGATTTGATTGTGGATGACGATGATGACGATGATAAATTGACAGAAGATGGTGGTGTTGATGACAACGGCCGAGTCAGAGTCGTCAGGGAACAAGAACGAAGATATGCGAATAATGCCAGGGAAAGGTATGATCATGAATTAGTGTAGGTACATGCAGGAGGAAACAGCGGCACAGTAGAGTCTGATACCCGAGTATCTATAACCACCTGTTATCTGAATGACTGGACTCGTGTCTGTGTTACCAAAAACTGAAATTGCTACGTACATAATACTGTATATTGGTTTGGTGACCTTGCAAAGGTTTATTTAGCCACGTGTTGTTCAGTTTAGAAAATTGTTATTATTTTATTAGACCTAAAGTACAGAAAATTGTTGGGCCGGGGTGTAAGATAACTCCACTTTTTCGGGTTTCTGTTACTAAAAACCATTTCAGACTGAAATTTCGATATCATTAAATTATTTGAAGAAGAGCATGTTTACTCGGAATGTCTGCAATCCCCGACACAGCAGGTCCTCAAGAGGTTGGAAGGCAACAGTTTTCAAGCTGATTTTTATGGTCTTTTTTCTCAGAAAGGTTGAAAATTTATCAAGTGCGACCCATGCCTGAAGCTTGAAGGAATTTAGTCGGACCAAAAATTGTCGTGCGCACTTGTCTCACGGAACTGAAGACAGTTCTTTCGCAAACTAAGCAAAAATTTTCCTAGTGCGTCAAGGCCCTAAGTAACATTTTCTCAGTCACTGAGTGATATAAAAATAATAAACAGGCTCTGCACTGAATCATACTATGTATAGAGAGAAAAAGTCAACTTTCATGAACTACCTAGCTGCTAAGTTCCCGGAATCTGCACATCTTTGTGACCTGAGAGTTTTTCATCCGGCGGCGACATTTTTGATAACCGCAAACAAGTGTCGATCGTAAAAGGCTCAAAACAGTGTGAATCTCTAGGATCCCTGCAAGAGACAGAAAAAAAAATGATCCCAGATCGATTTGATATTCAACAGTCCAATTTTGTGCTCTGCACCTTGCCTTAACAGGTTGAGAGTTCGAGACATAAACGGAGCCTTCAAAGAATTGGGAAGAATGTGTATGATGCATTTACAGGGTGACAAATCCAACTCTAATTCTAAACAGACTAAGGTGAGATGCTAAGCTTACTACCCACATAACTCTTTATTACAGGATGAGGGTTCGAGACATCAACGGTGCCTTCAAAGAATTGGGCAGAATGTGTCAATTGCATTTAGAGAGCGACAAACCCCAGACCAAGGTAAAAAAAAAGACAAGTTTTGTCACTTCCAAAGGTTGACTCCTTCTGTCATCTCCATTTGAAATTTCCTGTTCAGTTTTTATTCAGTGACCATGTTTACAATGTTGTCTAAAGTTGCATGTCACTCTCCAAGATGCCCTTGATCTCCAACACTGATACTACTGCTGTTAAAGAAGCTTCTTTGTTTGTTATATAGATCTCTTTAAGGCCTTGAGTGATAAAAACGAATAACATATGTATGCAGTGTGAATTTGCAAATGCCTTCACAAACAACTCGGCTTGTAATTATACCCCTCTTCAAAATGTGAAAAAGTGATCCACGTGCCCTGGTGACTGTGATTGTGTATCGTTATGATCGAATTTTATTTACTCATCCACATATGGTTGCTTTGTCCCACAGCTTGTAATCCTTCACCAAGCGGTATCAGTCATCACAAGTTTAGAATCACAAGTTCGAGGTAAGCTTGGAATAATATCGTGGTATTGTTTCATAACTGATTGTGACTGTTTTTATTTTACATTTTTCCGTCATTTCTTATTGTGTTTTTTAATTCTGGAAAGGAGTAAGATATTAGGCTTGTGGATTGTGAGGATGAGTTTTTCCCTAACTTTTAAGTCAATTAATTATGGAATCAAACGTAGCCCTTTGGATCCAAGCCATTGTAGCGGCAGGGAACTGTTATCTCTACCGGCTGGCAATTTCACCTTCTAAAACTTTTATTTCCGGATTTTCCTAGAACGAAATCTCAACCCCAAAGCAGCTTGTCTCAAAAGGCGCGAAGAGGAGAAAGTTGAAGAGGAAGCCCCGGAGAAAAGAGCTGTACCGGGAGTGGACAAACCTTTTGACACCTCAGGGGCAGCAGCAGGGCGTGGAAGAGGCAGGCGAGGAAGAAGATCTTCAAGAGGTGGGTGGGAGTTCAGTCAAGTCGCAAACCTGTTCGATTTAGCAACAAACTCTATAGTTCGTCGTCTTAAGTGAAGTAGTTTTTTTATGAAAATATATTCTCTTTTACACAGTTCCTTCCTTATCTTTATTTTACTTTTGAGATTGTGAATGTAAGATTTAAAGGGATCTGCAGCAGTTTCAAGGGTATTGAGATATTAGGAAGTCAAAAGCATTCTTCAACCTTTTCAGTTTAGGGATAACATCTGATGCGTTAGGTAGTAACAACTAATGTTCTACTTTTTCGCTCTAACAGGGGCTTTTAACGGCGAAGGTCGAGGAATGCCATGTGGACCACTGAACGGCTATGAACCAACGGACCATGGAGATCCACCCTCCTTAAATGCGTGACAAGAGTAAACATGGAAAAAAGTTTTTAATGGAACAAAGCTATCAGAGTTTTATGTAATTTACAGATTAAGTACTAAATGCAGCAAAATAAGTTTAGAGCAAGAGAGAGAAAAACGAAAATCTACAAGAAGCGACCTCGTCCGTACTAACCATTTATCACTGCTCTCTTTCCTACGCGGCTTAAACTGAGTCTACTTGATTGACAGTTTTTTCCTTGTTTTGTTTTGTTTTTTTTTTCCTTCTCTTTTCCCGACGCGTGGCTCCATGGCGTATATAACGCTAGAAAAACCCAAAAGAAGCGTTGAACCTTGTCAATGAGTAGCTTATGTTACGTTTAAAGCTTAACTTGATAACCAGTTGAAGATTGCCATGCTAGGGCCGAAGTTTTCACCACGATCAGATATTCTTCTCACTTCAGAGCCAATTCTTGCTTTTTGTACCTAAAGCTGATTTGATAATTAGATATACATATGTCTTATTGCTATCCTCAAGTTCGATTCATGAAGTCTTACAGAAGAATTCTGCTTTAAAGTTGTAAATAAGAAAAGAATCACGTATCGTCCAACTTTCCATCTTAGTGTGACGTAAGCTACTCTCTTCTGATGAGGCCAGAGGTTAGCGTCCAGGTTACATGTCTTATGTGCGGCGTTCCAAGTTCAGGACAACCTTGTGATGTTTTCCTCGTTCCTTCTCCTACACTGAACTATTTTAACAGCTTTTTCATCGCGCCATGAGATGTGTTTTATTCTTGGTATTCCTCAGAAGAAATAGGCGTTTACTAATTTATCCATTATACATTTCACTAGACAACTAAACATTTTAGATGATATTTTTATGAATATTACCGGTTACTACTTAGAATAGCAATCGCCGCTAGTTAATAACATCATCACCCAGACACTGCTTTTGCACTGCATACCATCGAAGACTCCTATAGCAACGATCTTTCCCCTAGGCTTCTTTCTGCTCTCATTATATTAGCTATCAGTTGCTTGACTATTAAAGATCGATTGAGTGTATTTCACTTGATCTATCTCGATATGTAATGGAATACTTAGACAACCTTGGCTGTTGAATTTGCAATTTAGCGAGAGCCGTGTTTTGGTGATAATGGTGACCTAGGAAGGCCTTTCAGAACTCAATGTAAAGGCATTTTTTCTGACAATCGTAGAGTATAGCCATTGATGTACATAGAATTAAATACTGATCAGTCAAATAAAAGCTCAACTTACAGTAAGTTTTCTGCTGGTTCCAGACACATAGTTACGCAATCTTGGTCTTAGGGCCTCTCTTCTGGAAACAAAAAGTCCACGCTGTGAGACTTAATTCGTTCAATAACGAAATATTTCTGAAAAAATATCACCTATTCAGAATTTATGACTTAACACCGCGCCGATTTTTTCCGTTCAGTTTAAAATTGTAGAATGATAACAAGGATAATTTAATTAGCCTCAATAAGAACGACGAAAAGTTAATGAAACATAGCGGGCGATGGTTGCATTACTGGTCGGGGACCGCAAAGTACAAAGTAAGTAAGTACAAATGTTCTTAAACGCCTTCCACGCTTCCCAGCAAGCAGATGAAATCCATTCCCCTTTGCTGTTCTGACAGGATATGACTCTGCTGGTTTGTGATTGCACAAACTTGATCACTGTAAAAAATAGTCAAGTACTCATCAAGGATGCGGGTTTTCGCGATATGCGTAACAAAAGAAGACAATCAAACAAGAGAAGCCGTCAGTAATCAGTCAAATCGTTACTAGTCAGCCTTACATCCTTGCTGGCATTGGAGAAGAGGTAAAGAGTTCCTGGTCCTTAGCTCAATCTTGAAGCCGTGTCCGGACCAGCTGTAGCACGCTTTTGCGGAGTGTCTATATTTACTAATCCAGGTTGAGTGACGGCTGGTGTTGCGTGACAACCAGTGGGGGAACCAATAGCTAACTTGGCTTTAAATAAGCTGAATCATTACGCAAACACTTAATCTTTACTTCTTGAACATTATCTCCATTAATGCAGCGAAGTTTGGTCCGTCAAAATGACAGCAGTAGGTAAGTGTAGATTAGCTCTTTCAGGTCTTAAACAATTCTGATAAGTATTTCAATCGACCGAAATAGTTGTGCGGTTTATGCATGTGTTATGCAAGCAGTTAAGAACTTTCTATTTAATGCGCAACAACAGGAATTGAAGTGACTTAATATTTACTCGTATTGGTTTTGAGTTCAACCATCAACTGGCTAGAACGTAAACTTAGCTGAGACGGGATGCACAGTTTTAGAGGGAAGAGCTCTCTTGAACGGAACTAATTTCTCGGTCAACCTTCGCTTGGGTAAACCACGTTGTAAGATTCAGTTGTCTTTGTTACTAGTGTCCTCGTGGGTTTGTGGATACTTTTCTTCGTTGAAACTTAGTGGGCAAAAAGTAATTATACTACGGAACAGTTAATTCTATGTTTTGAGCATCAAGTTGTATTTCAAATATTGCGTTTAAAGATGTTATTGCTCTGTGCGATGTTGATTTAGAATTTCGCGCAGTCGTTTCTAGAATTGTCACGCAATGTGGCTAGTTCGTTGCGTGACTATGAAGTTATGATGGGCCTTAACAATTATTCCTGTTCTGATCCTGCTGTGTCGCAGCGGGCGAAGACGTGGCGATACTGTGTGCCTTTTAGTGCCCAAAAAAACTTCGAGTCCACGAGCTCCTTGAACAGCGGACAGTTATCGGACCTGGTTAGACTCGTGGATTGAAAATTATGAAATATTTCTAATTAGCGAAATACAAAGAAAAATACCCGAGTCTTAAGAGAGGATTTAGGTCGCAGACCAACTGATGTACTCTGTGTGTGTGTGTTTTTTTTAACTATATCGTGTGATTCCCTTGCAAGACGAGGATCTACTTGAATACTGCGAGTTGAAAATCGAATAACCCAAATTACTCTGAAGTTCATCAACGCAGTCGGCCCCTTACTTCTGTGTAAATCCTTCTGTGTTTTAACTTCTGTGTTTGGAATGAAAAGAGATTTGGACAACAAAACGCCGACAGCTTTATTCCCGTTCAAACGTCGATTATTACGTATTTGCTTTCTTATGCAGAACCGTAAGAAAAAATTAGAGTAAAATTAACGAAACAAAAAATGAAACCAGAAAAAAAATTAAAAAGGTGTCACGAGAAGCGAGCGTGACGTGCGTAGATTGATGTGCAATTGCGAGGGTTTCACGTGATGTAGAAATCTCTCTTTTTGTAAGGAAAGGCCACTGCCTAAGATTGAATCTATGTATGATTGCTTTCACGTCTACAGAGGTACAAATATAATGAACTATGAAGTTTTAAAAAATTCAATTCAACTTTTTTTTAAATGCGTTCACTACCTTTTATCTCGGCAGCAGGAGGACACTGTGGGTGTGGGCCTGGGTATGCTACACCCCTGGATGCCATGAAGGGTCCAAAGGAGACAATTGTCTACCTGCCATGTATCCTCACAAATACTGGAGTAGACAAACCGGACTACCTTGCCACTGTTGATGTTGATCCCCGCTCGGCAACTTATTCAAAGGTAACACCATATATAAGCCATGGATAATGAGTTATTCCAGACTCTGGACCTAGAGGTTGTGAAAAGTGCATTTCAGTACCAAAAGGGGAATTCGGGTATTTAAAAAAATAATATATTTTGGACAAGAAATAGCCTGACTTATGTCTTCTTGAACGACCGAGGACTGAAAATGAGGGGGTCGAGGAGTCTTTGGATTATTGTAAACCCCCTCCCTTAAGTTAAATAAAGTTAGATTTTCTTCTTAGCAGTACATCCAGGCATGCTCCAACAATATCATAAAGCAGCCGATATGAAGCCCTTTACTTCACCTTGCCCCCACACCACCCTAGCCCCACCCTACCCTACGCCACACCCTACCCTTCCCCAACGAAAACTTTCGCTCATGTCCCTGGGAGTAGCAGGGTGTCCTCAATGCGAGACTGGATTGTATCACATGATTCCTAGAAAATGCTGAAGAGAATAATTTTGATTTCCTATAATTTTTATGAACGACATTATAGTTTCTTGGTATTGCGAGCCCTGGGAAAACTCGCAACGAGTATGAACTGCCGCTTTACCGCTGATAGGGAACTGTGAACTTTAAAACCATTTTGTCGCTGTGATTTTCGCAGGTCATTCATCGTTTGCCAGTACCTTACAAAGGAGACGAATTACATCACAGTGGATGGAATGCTTGTAGTAGGTTAGTCTTACTTTAGTATGGAACTTTTAAAATAACATGCGTATCAAGCAGGTGCGTGCACGGCGATTCCAACTCTCCTTGGTAAACGATTTGTTCCCAACAAACCTCATGAACACAGCCCCTCGCCCCGTAACGTTGGAGAAAGGAAAAGGAGAATTGAAGATGTGCGCATGTCTTCTCGTTCACTTGTGCCAGTCTAAGACGCGCCTGGCGAATCGAGTGCCTGCTACTTGGTAAATCTCTGAGAAAATCCGTCTGCGATCCCTAGTCCGCGGAAATCAACCCGTAAAACAAATTTATGACCACAGTAGTGATGAAAAACTTGACTTTACTTGATAGGAATTAATCGATCGATGTAGATGATGATAAAATGTTTGCTATCATAATTATTATTATTATTATCGTTGTAAGAAGTAATACTGTTATCACCAGGATCATTAAAGATAAGTCATGGCGTCGATTCCTTCTCCGTAAGCCACAACTAACATAATCTCAGAAAAAAAAAATCACAGGTGGCGGTACTCCATTGAGAAACTTTTTGGAAACGCAGTAGTCAGCTCCGTTTGGGAGAAAAGAATAAAGACCCTTGAAATTAGAAGAAATGTTGTCATTGTGGGATTTAAGATGTGCTTTTCAAATTATTTTTCGGTGTAGTTGATGACCGCGCAGCTTTTTTTAGTTGTGTCTTAAGTATGCTTTCATTTTCTAGTTGTTTTGGTGACCCAAACAAGAAGAGAAACCGCCTCATCATGCCTTCGTTAATTTCTGGTCGGGTCTACATCTTTGATGTGGGAGGCAATCCAAGAGCGCCACAGATACACAAGGTAGGAAAAACAACAACGCCGTCCTATTTGCACTATATTTCTCTATTTTCTCTTAAAGTAATGGCCAAGATTCCTATACGGAACGATACTTATTTTTTTAAGGTGGAGATTTTTAAAGATTCTGAGACGTTATGCTGAGAGGGATCTTATTCCCGACCTCTGCAGATCTTAAAATTTTTCTTGTCTCGCCTTTTTTCTTTTTTTTTTTTTTTTTTTTTTTTTGAAGGCATGGTGAAGTAGTGTAGTGATGAGTGCGCTGCACTCTGGGGGAACAGGTCCCGGTGTCAACTATGGCTGAGTCTCTAGGTTTGGTGCCCAGCGGTTCCTTTTGCTCTCTTTTGCCCTCTTGTGTTCGCATTCGACTTTTCTCCCTTTTTCGCACGTGGCTCTTTTCTTGTTCGCTCTCTGAGCGATTGCTTGTGAGAACAAATATGAGTTTATGCTCGTTTACACCCAGGGGTATAGATAGGTATTGGCGAAGTTTTTAGGCAAACCTGTAGAAATGCTATGGTGTGGGGTGCGCTGGACTTGCATACCATTTTGGAGAGATGGGATGCACTGCCAGTCGCTTGTGCTACAGAACCCGGCCACTAGTGGTTATAAGCCTCTAGATTTTAAGACTTTGCCTTACACTATAAACATGTGTTGTTTGGAACAGATAATCCAACCGGAAGAGGTTGCCAGTAAAACTGGACTTGGTTATCTTCACACAACGCACTGTTTGGCTAACGGAGAGGTTATGATCAGTTCTCTTGGAACATCTGATGGCGAGGGTGAAGGTAAGGTAATAAGTTTTTTACCGAGGGTGATTACGAGCTTCAATTGAATGAAGCTTTAAGATTTTTTTTACTCTTGAAGAATACCGTAATTCCGCCATTAACACTCAAGCGCTTATTATAAATGAAGGTTTGGACGGAATGCGCTTATTATCTCTCATCGCTTATTCTAAACTTTCTTTTTCACTACAGTTTCTATCTCAAACGTTCTTATCTTATAAGGCAACGTTAAATTTTAAATCTTTCTTGTTCTATAATAATTTCCTCTCTTTGATGAAAATAAGAGTCGTTAATTTGTCTGGAGAAAGTTGGGACGAGTAGGGTATGCGTCTTTCTCTTTTAGGTGGCTATGTCATTTTGGACGGCGAGACGTTTGACGTCAAAGGACGGTGGGAGTCTGGGACCCCTCCACCTCTGGGATATGACTTTTGGTACCAGCCCCATCACAATGTGATGATCAGTACGGAATGGGGCGTGCCCAAGGCGCTCACTAAGGGATTTAAGGTGGAGGATGTTCAGGCGGGTCAGTAGGGTCTTAACGTATACACCATTTGAATAGGAAAGTGTGAAGACAACTTTAACTGAACTTCCACCTTGAAGGAGGTACCACATGCCATGCAGTTTTGTTTATCGTGAATCGTGTTTGACTGGAACTCATTTTGAAGAATGCCAATTACAATTTTTACAGGGCCAAACATTTCACAAAATTTGTTCTCGAGTTCTATGGTCTACGCCCTAAAGAGAAAATGTGAATGGATTACTCACATGTACATGTCCTTTGGTTGTGCATGGAATAGATAAATCTCTTGCTCAAAATCTCTGTATTATTAACTTGTGCTCATCGTTGATTAGTAACTCTGGGATATAACTTTAATTTCGAATGTCTCAGGCAAATATGGATCACACTTGCACGTGTGGGACTGGACTTCACGGACCATTCAACAGACGATAGACCTGGGAATGGGTACCATTCCCCTGGAGATAAGATTCTTGCACGATCCTCGACAGCCCCAGGGGTTTACGGGATGCGCTTTGAGCAGTACCATCGTCAGGTTTTTCAAAAATCAGGTAAGGTTCCGAAAAATATATTTTAAAAAGTTGTTTTAATTATATTTTATTCTTGCTAACGAAGTAATCGGTACAGGAGGTATGTGGTCAGCTTGTTCAAAGAAGCAAACCCGTTTTCAAAGAGAATTCCCTCCATTGACATCTCATCGTTGTTGCCTTTTAGAATGACACTTGGAGCGCTGAAACGGTGGTTAAAGTGCCAAACAAGAAAGTTCAGGGATGGGCTCTACCGGAAATGCCAGGTCAAGATTTTCTCTCGTACCCAGTCTCTTTTTGTGCTTTGGGCTGTCGCGCAATTTTTGCTACAACAGAACAGATGATTGACTCCTTACAACATTTTAGTTGATTAAAATTTTAAAAACTGCTGAAAATTGATGTCAATATAGTCCGTAAGGTAGCTGTGCTACTTCGCGGCAAAATTTTCCCTTCCCCAGTTGCTAAACATTTCTTTACAGATCAATTATGAGAATTAAGTTATATTCAAAATGACGCTTTCTTTCTCGTGACCTTGTAGAGCATCATCGCATTTGTAGGATGATTTTGTGTTTTGTAAGGCTAGGTGGCATGTTTACCACCTCTGGTAGTTTAAGGTAACGATGGTATCCTTTTTACTTAGGTTTGATAACTGATATCCTTCTTTCGTTGGATGACAAGTTCCTGTATTTTAGCAATTGGCTACATGGAGACATCAGACAGTATGACATCACAAATCCTGAGCACCCAAAGCTTGTCGGGCAGGTATGTGCGTGCACACTGATCAACACTTTCATGTCTCCTCCGTGTGATATCGTTGAATATAAAACGGCTTTTCTGTTTTCTAATTGGCTGTCTTTTTATTGTCATGGTATGAAGGTTTGTATAGATGAATCATAGCTAGTAGTCAATTCTCGTATGATATGAGTTGGGATACCAGGGCTTGAAATTATTCATTGTTAGTACCAGATCCCTGGCAGGTTTCTCGCTGGCTGGCTTTGCTCAAGTTCTAAAACTTGCTCGCAGGCGAAGAAACGCTGGTGCCGCAACGCTTATAATTGGGACCTTAAGCATTAAGGACGGAAACGCCTAGAAAGACGTCGATTTAAAAATGAATACATATTTTTAGTTGGAAGCTCGCGAAAATTATCGGATGTGTTTACTATCTCTTACGGCGCCGCAAGTTAACCTCAGCATAACGTATGAGAGCGGCTTTGAGTTCCAAATGGAAACTTAACTAATTTTCTCTCCGGGTTTCCTTTCTCGGACCACGCAAGGTTTGATGATTTCACGTTTTTATTTTGCAGAGGACTGCTAAGAAATGTACACAGTTCTAAATCGCACGTGCTAAGCTATTGTTCTGTTTATTAGGTCTTTTGTTTTGCCAAGTCCTCGTTGCCGTCACCGTCGTGGTTTACGAAAGGTCCCCAAAGTGGGCCTGCTCGTAGTTTAGTACTTTTGTTACCTTGTTCTTTCTTGTTGTGGTTAATATTTTTCCTAATGATGAATTTTAAAAGTTATTGGCTTCAACTAAGGGTCTTTCGTACAGTTAGTTAAGAATATCGGCACGTCTTTAAGTCAAATCACCACCTCTGAGGCCTCACAATGGGGCAAAATTGGATGGACGGAATATTAAAAGTTTATCTGAAAATGTTCTTTGTTAGCTGTTTATTGGTGGAAGTATTGTTAAAGACGGTCCAGTGAAGGTGATAGAGGATTCTGAATTGAGTGGACAACCTGAGCCGTGTTACGTGAAGGGAAAACGAGTACAAGGAGGACCGCAGATGATTCAGTTGAGTTTGGATGGAAAACGACTGTACGTTACTACATCACTATACAGTGTATGGGACAATCAGTTCTACCCTGACCTGGCCAAGTAAGAATCATTGAAATATTCTCTCGTGACAATTAAAAACATAAAAGAAGACATCGCCACGTTGTTTCACGTTAACGTCAAATGATAAACCAACTATTCGGTTGAGGCAACTGCCAATCTCTTGAACTATATCGGCTTTACATAGCAATGACAATGAGCTCATCCTCGGGGAAAGAAACTCTCTTGTTCACCGGTAGTAGAAAGGAAAAAAACTACAACAACGAATTGATCAAAACGATGGAGGCTAGGTAAAAAGTTGGAACTGAACGAAAAAAGAAGTGAGGTAAACTCTGAAAATATTATCTGTGGGCTATAAAAACTCCATTCCTTTGATTTCATTGCGTGGTTTGTTAGTTTGTTCCTTCGCTGGCTTTCTGTTGCTAAAATTTGTTGCTCGTTGTATGATTTTATTTAGTTATTCATTTATTTAGTTGTTTTCCGATTTCTTTCTCAGGAAAGGTTCCATGTTACTGCAAGTAGACGTTGACACAGTGAATGGTGGTCTTAAGTTGAATCCTGATTTCTGTGTGGATTTTGGAGAAGAACCCTACGGTCCAGCTCTCGCTCATGAAGTTCGTTATCCGGGGGGAGACTGCTCCTCGGATATATGGTTGAGTGAAACCAAAGCTGCAAAGTTGTAGGCTAAGATTTTGCTAAAGGGATCATAAGTTGATAACTTATATCAGAGTGTTACCGGAAGCCGTAATATATTTCAATGTTAAGACTTTTTTACTTACGAAAAATAAGTGGTCAAGTGGAACTAAATGATGTTGACACCGAATAAATTAATGCGAAGGGCAAATCTAAACTGCATTATGACGTTGGAGTATACATTGATTCCTCAATAAAAGTGTACTATTAAATAAATTGCCTTTTTTTACTCACCATTTTAATAGTGATTTTGTTTTTGTGTTGGATCGATAACATGCACCCATCTCAGACGTGATGTGTTTCTTAAAATTGTACCCCGCTTCTATTGCAGGAACATGAAAAGTGTGTTGGTCTTCTAAAAAGGCCATTTGTGCGTCGTTTTTCTTTGTTGTGGAATTTGCTTGTATTCAAATATTTCTCCCAAGTAGACTACATTCTAGTAGTATGGAATCAAACAAGGAATTAAGATAAATAAGCATATATATATATATATATATATATATATATATATATATATATATATATATATATATATATATACAACTAACAAAAGCGAACGGCTTCCTTTCATAGTTCGACTCTTTTTTTAGGCTCGTCAAACTGGGTTACAAATCGCCGTCCAGGCCCTCCAGCGCGTGTAGTACAGCTACGAGTTTTTCACATGTTAGCTTCAACAACTAATTTAAAAGTAGGTGAAAACACTGTGTGAATCATTACATTTCCACAAGCTTTCCGAACTGCTTTTCAGCAGCCTCTCACATACATTAGAAAATTGCGGGTGAAATTAGTCTGAAAATCGCATGAATACTGTGACCAGACGTTGAACGCTAAAATGCGCCTTGTCCTGTTTTGCCACCAAGATATTTTTCTTTCCTTTTTGGCAATGGTACGTTGTAAAAACAAGAGTTTCAATAAGAGGTTTTTTTTCTTCTCTTGACTTTTCAACTTTAATCAGCCTCGACCCAGACCCCAGAACTCGTGTTCAAACACACAGGTGCTCAGCGCGCGCAATATGTCGCGTGCTCTTTTGACGCAGATTCGAAACTTATAAATTTTTGTTTCCGTTAACGGATATTTTACACTTAATAGTGATGAAGCATGGGTCTCGCAGTCCATAAAGGGGAAGAAATCAGTCTGAAAAAAAAAAAGGTTTTTTAAAAGAGCGATGTTAGCATAGCTCACCGAAGATGAGTTAACGTTTGATTAAAATTACCTTTTTGAGTCCAGGCTTCGCGCCACCCGGTGACGTAGGAAGATTACAAAACAATCAAAATCTTGTGTCGTCATAGCAACGCAACTTGCAGTGTTGATAAGATGCTCAACGCATTTACTGCTATGTTAGGGTAATTTTGTGTTATCAACTGAGTTTACCGCGTAAATTAGCCACCGTAAAGAATTTTAAGGCTGACGTTTCGGGCGTTATCCCTTTGTCAGAGTGATTTACCTAAGTACTTCAGTAGGTGAACACTGAGAGAAGCAAGTAACGTAAACATCAACATTTTGCAGCAAGATGTGATGAATCGGTTTTCCGAGTACGGAACCATACACAGACTGGTGGCAGCTACACCCTTGAAGCTGCACAGACCACAGCCAATAAGGTAGGCTTTTTAACCGCGTAAAAACTAAATAGGTTTGTTGTTGTAATGCTTCTGTACTGGTATTTTTTTTCAATAAATACTTTCCCCAGCCAATTTCGACAGATGAGTAGGCATTTACGTAAGCGTTATAACTGTGTCAGTTGTAACACTCTGTGTCTATTAAACATGCGTGTCTCCCTCAGCTTCACGTACTCGTACCATCTTTGCGTTAGAAAAAAAATTGAGCTACACGTACTAAGAGCTGGTTTTACCCATCACAGGTCTTTCCGTATAGGTCTGAATCGCTAACGATCATAGTTTTTAGCAAAGATAAGCTCGAGGGGCCGGCCAAAAAAATTCTTCAAACTAGTTTAACGAATATTTTATTTACAGTAAAATACAATGACTTTATTCAAGAGCAATGGAAAGGGCATGCGATGATCGTTGGAAAAAAAAAGTTGATTCAAAACACATTCAATGAAGCACGCCATAAATTCTTACTTGGCTTAGTCTATCGGTGAGGCAAGTGTCCTAAACAAAATTAGCCTCTTAATTAAATTTATCTTAGCTGAAGAACTGAATGTCTTTTGATCTTAACACTTTCTTCTGTTCTCGTCACGGCTCGTCCTGGCAAAGTAAACAGAATGGTCCGCTAAGCACTTCTAATTACACGGATATAAATTCTTGTTTGCTTGTTGGTTTGTTTGTTTTTCAAACTCTGGGCTTTAAACATGTCGAAGGAATTTTGGGTGGGCCAATATCCACTCAGTGTTGACATGCAAGTTGCAATCATGGACATCTTTTAAGCTACCTGTAGGGGCCGACTTGTCCACTACAATTCGACGCGCCCACCCTCCTTTTTCGACATTCGTGTATTATAATTTCGCTTAGTGTTTCAATCAAATGAACAGAGGTTTTGACCTTTTACACTTAACTCTGCAAGCAAGTTTTACCTACCTTTGTGGAAGCGCCAGTTTCATCCACAGGGCTCGGCTGAGGAGGCTTGTAAAATGGATCGCGAGTCTGCATTAATTCCATCAATCTTTGATAAGAACCGTTTTCTGGAGGGAAAAGGTTTCTCTGTAAAATGAGACATGGCTGAGAGTTAGTAAACGAATGGAAAGAGTACGGGTTAAAGATCAACTGAGAACTAAAAGTGTGGCGAGTTCTTGTATTTTCTTTCTTCCGTTTTTCATGAAAATCCATTCATGTAGCTGCTACAAACTGCACGGTTTTAAAAGTTGACTGAATGAAAAACAAGTTATTGCGTATCCCCTGCTTTGAAGTTCTGCAGTTGTAAGTTTTTTCTGTACACGAGTCAAGTAGCCCACCAAACCGGACTTTGTCCTGGCGACTAAAGGTATTACAACCCCCCCGAATGGGATGCTAGTACATTGCAAGGCTACCCAGCCAGAAGTCTAGAACCCAGACCTCTCGAACCTGAGTCTCACCATGAGGCCACCGCGTCTCGTACCGAAGTTAAGATAAATTTCATGCCTTTGCTCCAAGTTCTGAATAATATCACATACTGTCGAAACTCGTGTCATAAGCTAAACAATGCTGTGTTACTCACACTGAGTGATAGCCTCATAAGTCCTGTTGGTTTTGCAACTGAGGACGTCACTTCTGCTTGTCTTTGTACAGAAATAAGAAAAGCCTCCACTCCGATTTCACCGCATTTATTCCCTGGAATGTGGAATAAAGATAAATCAATAGTAAATGACCAAGAAAAGAACATGGAGGATATCCTCAACATGGCAAACCACTTTCTGTCAGAATTTTCTTTAATCGCGTATGAGTAGAAAAACTTACGCGATAAGTTCAAGTTAATAAGAGCTCTGTTTCCAGGGATAATAATTTCACCACTCTCTTCCTTGATGGGGTTTTCCAGGAGTGGATTAGGGAACTCTACAACTTCCGGTTGCTGCAAGTGAAAAAAATATAACCATTCCAATTCATTCTAATCAACCAAGAGATGATGATGTAATCCTATCTTGATTCAACAGAATATATTGCTGGGAGACACATGGAGAAACAACTGCAAAGTACTTACCTCTTGTTCAGGTTGCTGCACTTTCTTATCGCCTTTGGTTGTGTTAACTTTTTTCCCTTTACCAACACCCTTGTTGACGGTTTCAGTAGAGGCAACTAAGTGAAAATCACAAAAGTGATTTTTAATTTATTGTTTAATGTCTTTTTTTTCCTTTTGTTTTCTTTTTTACTTTCGGCGGGAGCCTAAGAACACGTTTAGAAACATTAGTTCCCAGTTCTACTTACTTTTCTTCGCCTTTTCCGTTTCTTGTTTTTTGGTATCCTGCAAAACAAACAGCATATTGAATACTTTAGATGTTACATTTGACGAGAAAAGACGTAAACGGAGCTAATTGACTGGCTGTGTGGCATCCTTTACTTTGTCCATTTATATGCCTGCTATTTTATCGAAGTAATAATCTGTGTAGTTCTTATGATCAAGTTTTATTTTCTTCTCACCGTAGCAAATTACTTCAATGAAAGATTGTGACGTATAAATAAAAATTGTTAAAAGACTAGTTTTAAGTGTCATTGGTGCGATCGTTGAACTTTTCTTCCAGATATCGCCACTTCCTTGTCTGGGCGAGGACATATTAAGATTAACACCTCTCCATCATCATCTATCACGCGACAAAAATCTCGAACTCGTAATCTCATTGCTAAATGATCAACCCACGGTTGACCTTTTACCTTTGTGCCAGCTTCTCAATGAACCAGATAATCGATTAACTAATTACAATATCGGTAAAATGTCTCCACCTTTGGAGATCTCGTAAGCGAGACTGGAATGAGATGGCATGAAAATACTCGATAATTCATAGGTGCACAGATATTTTTCTTTACGCTCGCGAGATTTCGTAGGAATGACGACGGTTCTCCTTTCTGGGTTAATTTTTACATCTAGTCTTAAAATAATCAGTTATTTGTTTCTTTTTTAACTTAAATAACAACACAGAAAATGATAATAAAAAATAAAATTTTCATAGATTCTGAAGTGATAAGTGTGCATACAAGCCTTATTGTATATCCGGTGCAGAAAAAGAAATTTTGAATCATTGTCAGTCCCCCTGGAGAGGATACTATTATTTAACCTCCTAGAATGTCTGCTGTTCCGACATTCAGTCGGGCGACTACTATTCTCTTTTGGACAAAAATGAGGGGCACTGCGTGCGTACTACACGAGATAGGCAGATTATGTTGCGATTACTAACAGTAAGTTTTGTTGATGCTGTTGCAAATGTTACTGCAAGTCGTGAGGACTGACGAGAAGGCTAGAAGAGAAAATTTGAACGGCATTGATGATGTAGGGGAGTTATTGTGAACCGACATGGAAATTTAGATTAGTAGGTTAGCGGGATATTAAAGAAAGCGGAGGTAAATGATTCTCCGTATTCCTAAAAATCGACGTTCATGTTGTTTTGATTTTCTTAATTGACCTTGTTCACACAACATCGTCTTCACAGGTCACGAGCAAAACTCAGTTGTTACCTCACTCAAGGCCTGTATTAACTATTTGCAAAGTACTTAGAAAAGTCAAATAAAACACTACAACCTAAATTGAAGCCCTTCCGTCGATCTACAGCTTTGCGCAAAATTTAAACCTCACCTTCTTCTTCTGAGAGTCCCTTTTCTCTCGGCTCTTTTTGTCTTCCTTGGAGATATGTGTACTGAAGGAAGACGACGAATAAGTAGTTAAATCCTCGTTGTCTTCACATATTTCTTGTAGACCTTAGCTCCAAGATTTTAGTTTCAAATCAAACAACTCCTTCAGTTAATTTTTTGTGGCTCTCACTATCAATAAACAGTCGCTTGACAGTTTACCAATATTTGAGAGGAGACAATACATGTCAGTGAGAGTAAAAGGGTGTAACTGTCAATCAAAGCTTATTACAGTCCGCACACTAATTAAATCAATAAACCACCACGTCTTATCCTCAAATTGAGTAACAGCCTTCAGATCTGTGATTAATAATGGTAATAACAAAGAAAGGAGTTCGATTCGGTCTGAAATCAAACGAGTGATTAACAAAAAAAACAAAACAAAACAAAAAGACAGTTAACTCGGCGAAATGCGCGACAACAGCGCGTCCAAGAGACGCGTCTTGTCTACTTACACAAGCATGACGTATCAACTGTCCCATTATCCTGTCCAATTACAAGCATAACGCGTACACTGTCCTATAAGTGCTCAAATCGGGTTGGTGATAACCAATCACGTTCGAGAACCTTGTTATAGTTTTGATAAATTCCTCAATAATCTACATGTATCTGATGAACTTACCCACTGCGAACACTGGCTGGCCTGTCCTTTGAACCACCAGTTGGAGCATTCAAATTTCTGGAAGGACTACCTGCCTGCAAATGGTCAATAAATAATGATAATAGATTGGACCGAGTGGGGTCCAATTCGGTCTTTAATCATACGAGTGATTAACAAAATCAGACAAACGCTAAGCTAGAGTCCGATTTGTTAATCACGAGTACGATTTCAGACAGGTTTGGACGACAGGAGGTCCTGTTTACAATTAATCATAACCATTACAATTTCCAAAAGAGAAAAACATTTAGGACAAACATCTCCAGGAGAGACAATGTCTAGGGTAAAAACTTCATCCATTTTGGAAATTCCCCAATATTTTTTAAGATAAGGGGTTGTTGCTATGGTTATTGTGATCAAATCTGTGATTGGTGGATTTAGCTGAGAGGACCTAGTATAATTGACTGCTTCAAATGTCCGATTACAGGTGTCCAATAACAGCTAACTGTCCGCTTACACTGCCTGATTATAGCAGTACAGACTAATTAATGGAAAATAAAGCAGCTTCTGCACCAATCTCATTTTCGGAAATAGTAACGGTCATGATTAAACAGCTAGCTAGGGATATCACTGAGGCTACTACATATGACTGACACACAACTCTGACTACACTAACTAGGCACTTACTTCTTCAGGAGATTTTTTAGAGATGAGAAGTCTCCTTGCCACAACTTCCTCATGAGTGAGAGCAAAGCTTGAAAGCACCTATAAAGTAAAAAAACATAAAATTAGCTGCCTGAGAAAGTATTAGCAGCAAATAAATATAGCCTATTTATAAGCATTTCTTTAAGTAAGAGATGACCAGGCTGATCATTGCGGTTTAAAAAAGTTAAAAGCAGCTTATAATTAACATTCACTGGTGCATTTGATGTTAAGAAGCATCTCATCAAGATGTTCTATGCTTCAGTAGTCAATATCACAAAAGATATTTAGATGGAAAGTCTCTGAGATTTTTACATGAATAGTAACCTAAAAATGATGTTGGAAAGTGTAATATTGGACAATGTGAATAGTATCATTGATGAATTTTGGCTTGAAAAAGAGGGGAAATGGTCTGTGTATTTACTACACAAGGGGGTGGGGGAGGTGGGGGCATAAGTGGAATTACCCCATCCATATACATGCACCCCAACCAACACCCTGACTGGTGTGGAGGACATATTTGATTGTTGACTTTGCTGACAGGCACATGCACCTTGCACAGTAGGTACATGTACACTGGCTTGCTTACAGTTTATCAGCAAGTTTTAATATCCTCCTTAGGCTAGCATCATCCAGGTATCGTGATCTTAATTCTGTCATAAGCTAGAAACAGTCAAGGATGCAAGGGATTTCTCTCTATACCCACCTCTGCCAATTTAGAGGCTCCATTGTCACCAATAAGATTGCTTCCAAGATTAAGAGACAGTAGGGTTCTGTTCATTCTTAATCCCTGATAAAGCAAGTAAAATGTTTGATTAGACCATATTGACTTCATTGTAATTATAGTAATTTTGCATGCAGTTGAATTCTGTTCCAGTGTGCTGACTCCATCAACTTTTTCTTTTTATCAAAGTATTGGTAACTTGCCTATCAAATGTTCCCTTTCAGGTATAACAGCTTAATACTATACTGACTTACAAAGCTGCATTCAAACCAGTTTCCATAGCACAAATCTCCTTACAGAATCCCCACTCCTCCTGGATGGAAAGCTTGTTTACCCCAGTTACTCCCCTCCAGCATTTTGTTACAGTTTGGTTTGTATTCCACTCTGAAGATAATCATTGAGGTGGGGGGAAGCAGATTTTTTCCCCCAAAACACAACAAAATAATTTTGTAAGGGCATGATTACCTGCAAATTAAACTTCTCAGCCCCTAATTTCAGGCACAAATCATAGCTTAACCCAGACACAGTCATCTTTGTTTACCTTTGCTATCCAGGAGGCTCCTTCACAACTTATTTTGTTATAGCATAAGTTCAAGGTTGTCAGTGACTTGTTGGCTGTCAATGCTCTCCCAATCATCTTCGCCCCCATATCATTGACATAACAGTTCCTCAAGGACAAGTTCTGTACTCTAAATTTTTTAATAAGATCATAAAATTGATATATACCCAAAAATTAAATGATTCAGTTGTCAATAGGTAAACTGTCTTGCATTGAACATTTGTACTGGGCACTGAAATTTACAGTTTAAAATATTGGGTAACTGTGAGGAACAACTCCCTGAAAAAACCTGTTGGCCAACAGTCTGCTGACAGTTGGCTTGCTGTGGGCCAAGTATTGGCCAAAAGTTTATCTTCTCCACTCTTATTTTCAATGACATGCAAACAACACATGCATGTATGACTATGTAATTAAATTACTAGATAAGTTTACATCTACAGCTGCAGTTTGTTGACCAGTGTAAATAAATCAATAACCCATAAATTACATGATTTTCCTATGCTGACAGCCTTCACCCTCCCCATCTTAAAGATTTAAGTATTAAATTGATAATTAAAAGTACTTTTTAATATTTAGCTAACTTAAAGTAATTCTTTGTTGCATAAGTGATCTTTCTATACCCCTACCCACCCCCCCCCCCACCTCCCCCTGGCTACTGAATGATCATGTGAAATTTCCTTCCCCTGCTATAATGGCTTCCTACTTGTTAGGCTCATACAGTAATAAACCCCTTTACTCCCTAACATCAGTATGCAAATGGTAACCAGTCAACTCGCCGACGGACCAACTCGCCGACGCCAACTCGCCGACGTATAAAATCGAGTAGAGACGTCGGCGAGTTGGTCGTCAATCCAATACAACTTATTAGAAGTTAAACATACAGAGAAGTAAACGATATTTAGTAAAAAAACACTGGCGAACATTGGTGAACATCAAACAGAAGCTTAAACATCGGTGAACATTGGTGAACATCACCAATGACTATAACGAACGAGTTATTGTGCGACAACAACACCGTAAAGACTCATCTTGTCAATCGCTCAGATTTTTTAACGAAAACTTGGCTTTCTAGACAAGATCTTTAGTAAAATGCAATTGTTTTTATTTGCAACAAAGTTTATAAGGATCTTAAGGCGAATAAAGCGAAGTAAACCTCACCAACAACTCTAACAGCTTCAGACGCGAACGAGTTATTGTGTGACAACAACACCGTTAAAACTCAGCATGTCAATCGCTCAGTTTTTTTAACGAAAACTTGGCTTTCTAGACAAGATCTTTAGTAAAAAGCATTTCTTTTTATTAGGCAATTACAGAGTAAGGTGTTTGGATTATGGGAGAAATATGAAAATGGTGAAAGAACAGCGGCCCAATTATTGAAATCGATGTCGAGATTAAACGGACCTACAAGAGCAGAGTAATTGCATGATATACATTACTTTCACATGTTCATCTGATCTTTATAATAAATGGAATTTTATCGTTTTTATCGTAAATCAAACGTTCTCGATCATGAATAAATCTTTCTTTAAAGTTAAAAAAAAAAAAAAAACATGGTTCATGTGGTTCCGCGTGGTTGCTATGGTTGTCACACAATAACTCGTTCGCGTCTGAAGCTGTTAGAGTCATTGGTGAGGTTTACTTCGCTTTATTCGCCTTATGGTCCTTATAAACTTTGTTGCAAATAAAAAGAAATGCTTTTTACTAAAGATCTTGTCTAGAAAGCCAAGTTTTCGTTAAAAAAAAAACTGAGCGATTGACATGATGAGTCTTTACGGTGTTGTTGTCACACAATAACTCGTTCGCGTCTGAAGCTGTTAGAGTCGTTGGTGAGGTTTACTTCGCTTTATTCGCCTTAAGATCCTTATAAACTTTGTTGCAAATAAAAAGAAATGCTTTTTACTAAAGATCTCGTCTAGAAAGCCACGTTTTCGTTAAAAAATCTGAGCGATTGACATGATGAGTCTTTACGGTGTTGTTGTCGCACAATAACTCGTTCGCGTCTTAAGCTGTTATAGTCATTGGTGATGTTCACCAATGTTCACCGATGTTTAAGCTTCTGTTTGATGTTCACCAATGTCCAATGTTTTTTTACTAAATATCGTTTAATTTTCTGTATGTTTAGCTTCTAATAAGTTGTATTGGATTGACGACCAACTCGCCGACGTCTCTACTCGATTTTATACGTCGGCGAGTTGGTGTCGGCGAGTTGGTCCGTCGGCGAGTTGACCGTAAACCATGCAAATCCTCCACACTGCTCACTTAATGCCCACATGGAGATTTTTTATAGCAATCAAGAGCTCCCAATGAGCACTTTTCCAGTAAATGTGATAATTTCCTCTATTTGTGTGACCTTAACATTTGATCCAGGAGGGGTAATATTGTAAGAAGAAATCAGACACTAGTCACACTTTGGAGTCAAAGGGTTAATTGTTTGTTCATTACACAGCCCGTGTGTGGAAATAATAATTGCCATTCATTCACTTATGTTGTACATCGATCATAATACAAGAATCAATTCAAGGCTTCAACATCACCACCCCACTTACCAGGCAACCCCATGGCATTTGATCTTTTAAAGATTGGTTTGTTCAAATTCCCACCCTTCTGGGCCAAAATTGTATTTAAATGCCCAACCCAAGTGCCAGATTTCATGGTCTATCTTTGCAGAAGGCAAAATCAGCAATCATTACTTTCAACTCATACACCAAGATTTAAAACCTTGATCATGACTAAGCATTTCACTCACAGACATGAACTCTTTTCCTTTCAAAACCTCTATATTAAAAGATTAAAACACATGTATTCTGCTAGAAAGACTTGACAATTGATTCAAGTTTCCCACCCACCTAGGCATCAGGTTCAAATCGGCAAGGTTCAAATTCCCCACCACCAGGGCATAGACTACACTCAAACGCCCGTGGGTTGCCCCAAGGGGGAGAGGGATGTTAAGGCTTAAAATTGATTGGCGCATAACCCATAAGGAAAAATATTAACTTAAATAAATTAATTTAATCCTAACTACATCTTCTGTGACTGTAGCCATAAAAATATTATAAGACTAAATACTTGTTAATTACCATGACACAGATTTAACAAACTTACGTGCTTTCTTCACCAAGGAAGATTCCATATCTTTGAAGTGTTACGGGATTGTTGTCCAGACACAATGTTCTATCAGTATGGAAAGAAAAGAGTTTTAGTATTATCTCAGACTTGTGACAAATGCCATCTTTTTCTCTTTTTTTCAGGTTTTACCAGTAGAAAACAGCTCTTAAAGAAAGGAAAAGACCATATAGTTCCTGTCAAAACCCTTGAGTATACAAATTCCTCACTATCAAATAATTCAAATCATGTCAGGCCTTTGAACTTTAATGACAAAGTTTTGTTTGACACAAACTCAACCCCTCAAGGTAAGAGAACTTAAAATTTGAAGTATAGTAAGGTGAAAAATAAAGTTGAAACTTTGAAGTATGTTTAAAAGTTAAGAAAGGATAAATAATTAATAAAAATGATATATCATGTTAAGTGCAGAAATTGCGAATACCTTCATTACCATGTCACTTGTAACACACTTGTAACACACTTTGATAAGACATAACTGTTTTATTGACCCTTTAACTACTGAGACAATATCAGGCAGAAAAGTGACAATAAAAAAGAAAATAAATAAATTAAGGTATACCAAATTGTCCAAACTAACATCATAGGATTTTTTATGTCAGACAAATTAAGGAAACTAATGAGATCTTGGCAGTGAAAGGGTAAAAGTACACTTAGTAAGGATATTAATGAATTCAAAGCATGGACATTTGTACCTGAGACTGGGAAGATGGGTGATAATATGAGTAGCTAAAGTGTTCAAACCATTATCCTGAAGGCCAGTGTTCCAGAAACTATAGTCAAGAAAATATTACCCAGTAAAACAATGATGCAGCCATTTACAGAGTTACAATCTATATCTGACGTTAAGTGCACAAGAGCATTTTGTAGATCATTTCAATAGGGCGAATTGACAAAATTTTCTCAATCAGTTCAATTCCTTTAAAAATAAGGTATGAAAAACTAAGCTACTGTATAAAAATTTGTATAGTTATTATTTTCAGTCCTAAAAGGGTATTCACATGTTGTATTACAAGTGAGCACCTATTTAAAAGTACAAATCAAGCATCAATTAAGCAGTGTATATCATTTTCAGGTGGCATGATGTCAGCCACATTGGCATCTAAAACTGTTACAATAAAATGATGGCAATGTTGGTGTCTGCACGTTAGGGTTTGAACCCTTTTCTTGCGTAAACAATATCTTTGATTCCTTTAATACATAGCTGCTCACAATGTGATTAAAAACATCCTTTTCCATTAGACATAAATTCACAAAGATATACAAGACAATAAGATTTTAGAAAATTGACTCACTCAATTGTGGTCAACTTTTCCAGTGGTGGTAAAGTAACAGTCAAAACATTTAAGATTCTGTCATCTATTTTCCAACCTGTATAAACAAAAACAAAATAGATTGTAATAAAAGAAACAACATGATATAATATATTAAATTGATGATTGCATCTGATCTTTGTTTAAATCTTTCACACAAAAAGCAAAGTCAAAGGAAGGAATCTGGGTGAAGAATTGGCCTTTAACAGATTTGTATCTTTTAATTAAAAATTTATCCCAAGGAATAGATCACCTCGAATGTAAATCTCCTTGATATGTGACTTATTCCCCTCCTCTTCAGTTTCAACCTCCACTCTGGGTTTGAAGTAATGGTATTTTTCCTTCACATTAAATGTTGTTGGTGGTTCTTCATTTTCATTTCCATCAACTTTCCCTGTTTCTTCTGTTTTACTGCTTTCATCTTTCTTTTCTGTTGTAAAAAATAACCATGGTCATATCAATTAAATTACTTCAACAATAACTAATCAAACCTTTGACCCATAAGTGTGCCTTACATCTTATTTCTCCTTACAGTAACACCTCTGAATCACACGTTAAGGTCACACAAATAAACAAAATGATCATCAACTCTTGATTGTAAACCCTTTTCACCCCAATATCAGTATTCACACAGTTTTCTAAGTATACAGTTTCCTACACAATTTTTATGATATTGACAAATAAGCTAAGGAAAATATATTTAAAAATCAAGAGCTTGATCTGTGGGCAATCGTTTCCTGTATTCTCCCATTGAATTCAGCCATAAGGAGAAATTAACGACTAGTCTCACTCTGAGGGATAAAGTTTAAAACAAATTCTTCACTTCAGCACCTTTGGATATGTGTAGAGAACAGTATGAAGAATGTGCATACTTATGTTAGGGTGTAGAGGGTTAAAACAAACTGGGTTTGACCAATCATCCCTTCTCAACAGACAGTCAAATAGGGTTTACCATCTTTTTTATCCAGTTTTCCTACAGGGGTGTTGTCTTGGGGTATGACATTAGGTGTTGGTGGACGATGAGGCCGTGGCACAACTTGCATTGTTGGAAAACCTGCTCTTGAACATAATTCACAGAAGTCCACCTCAAAGTTTCCTGTTGGAGTGTAAGGTTCTAAAGAAAAAAAAAAGGGAAAAAGACAACTTATAGAGAAAGTATTGTAACAGTCCATTAAGTGTAACTTATTAGCCTCATTACATTAATTTAGCTCAACCAACAAAAGTGAATAAAATTTGGTCAGTGATGCTGAGCTAATGTTTATCTTTAGTAAATCTCTCCCTGCATGTGAGCTGTAATTGGTTAATTTAGTCGGTATATTTTGCTATAAGGCCTGTTCAATTCAAAAACTTGTTCAACTTGAAATATTCCCCCTCTATTTACACCAACAGATGTAATAAATATTGTTTTTCCTACTTGGATTTATGGCCTGCACAATAATTGTACTCTGGCCATGAATTTGAGCAGGAAAAACTTGGTCCATAACTTTCGGTACAGATCTCAAACTTGGTTTTAGAGGTATTAATATTATAGCCTTGAATATGATTGTAAACCACTTTCACCTGTACTGATACACTGACAAATGTATTTAAAGAGAAATAAATGGCATTACTGACTGGGTAATCACACAAGTTAAGTGTTGAGCAAAATTGTTGGTTGTTCATAGATTTATATTAGGCTGTTCACTACAAGAGATTTTCAAGACTACTACTAAACTGGTAGTACTAACAACTTAAGTGTATGGCATAAAACTAAAGTTGTTTCACCCTCTATCACAACTACATAGGGTGATTAAAAATATTTCAAAGGTCAGGTAACAAGACATTGTCTGAATCCTGATCGATAACACAAGGCTGGCTGTTTAGTTGAATTGCATGGCATTACTAAAACTGAGCAACACATGAAGCTGTTTATCAAAGTTCTTATAACAGCACTCTACCTGTAACATGAACTCTTATGGTGCTAGTCCTTGACGATCTCATGTCATGAAAACATCTATTTAAAAAATCCCTCACTCAAATTTAGCTGTGAGAATAAAATGGTCTTTGTTCCTTGATAACCTAGTTAATGAATAAGTACTTCCATTCACTTGGTTGTGATATTTTGTATATTTTTTATAAGCTAGGATAAACAGTACTGGTAACTAATTTGTTTTACCTGGGAGCCAAAATTAAAACTGACAGTTTCACAGACTTGCCTGTTAGAGCAATGAACAAAGCAGAACTTTTGTACAACATAAGAACTTGACTACTGAGTTTGGAATTGTATGTATTGGGACATCTTTTAGCCGATCACCAGGTATGATCACTCAGGGAAACAAAAACAGTGCAGTAGTGCCAGCTATAACTTGAAATTCACAACTTTTAATTACTAGCAAGAGTATTATTGTTAAGACCACATAATTGACTTTCTGTACAACATTCATGGCTAACACAATATAATTTCAATAACTATTAGAATAAATATCAAGCTGTTGGTTTAAGGATCAAATGTTAAGCCATTCAACTGAACCAACAGTAAACAATGCTTTTCACTTATCAGTAATTAATTTTCTTGATTTATATTAGCTGCCGAAAAGATATACTTGAGTAATTGTTTGCATGCAAAGACCAAGATTGTCATGTAAAAGTGCATAATTATTTCAATCAACAAGCAAATTTGTATAAAACAAAAATCACCATTTTCTGATGAGATAGAGCATTCTTGGTCAGGAACTTCTGCTATGACCTCCATCAAAAACACTTGTAAGTTATATTGATATTGCATGCAGATTTCTTCACTGAACTGTTTTCCTCCTTATGAGTAAATCTCTCATTTTTTTTGAAACATCATGTTACTCTGTGTCACAAACATGGGTTTGTGCATACAAATGTAAATTTTTGTTACCAACAAACAAAAAAACAGTCAATAACTGTTAATTCTCATTGGTCAATTTGAAAACCTCATTCACAATAAAATAATTAGAAATTCAGGATTAAATACATTCAAAATGTTGTTCTTATGACAAAAAGAATAACAAAGAAAGAATGACTTGCCTAAAAACATTTCAATTACAGTAGCTTTTCCTAGAAAAACACCATAACTTTAAACAGACTCATTTTTGTCATTCTTTATGAAATCACAACAACAGCACAGGCATCTGTGCACCATAATTATGATATCTGAATGGAGTCTGCTAACCAATTATAACTAAACAACAAAAAAGGTTTTTAAATATTCATTATTACCAACACAATAATCAAAGGTGTTACCCATTCAATCTGTCTTCTGACTATTTACAACTTGACAAAAATAGCAAATTTACATAAAACATATTTTCTTTGTGTTAAAGGTTTGGCCAAAGGATTAATTTAGATATTCCAAAACAACTTATCTGAAGGGCAAAAAAAAAATTGATATCTGCTATTAACTAGGTATTTGAATCCTGTGATAGAATTTCCACAAGAAAAGATTGTTAACATAGAACTTAAATACTTTTGGTCCATGAGAAATAGTCTCCACTTCTGCATATGGAACCAAGAAAAAGTATTAACTAACTTACTTATCATACTTTATTTACATCAATCCATAAAAGGATAAATGAATAAAGGGGGAAGTTTCTACAGAAACTGTGGTGCTGCATCGGTGGGAGAGTATAGCAGGTAATTTAGTGTTAACAACTGAGTTGAAAATGTAAATTAGCCACTGTAAAGAGTAAAAAGCTGATGTTTCAAGTGTTAGCCCTTCGCCACCACTCTGATGAAGGACTAACTCTCGAAACATCAGCTTCTTTATCCTTTATGGTGGCTAATTTACGTTTTCAACTCATGATCAGTTATTAACACTAAATTACCTGCCATAAAAGGATAAGTTAGACAAATATCATTTTTATTTCTTTTTCTTTTTCATTAGGACTGAAAAATTCTCAACATCTAACAGAAAAGTCCCTCTAACTAAACTTTTAAAGGCGATGTGGATTGAGTGCATACCTGAAAACTGAATTTTCTAGTTTCAGAAACTTCTACAGTATAGTATAATTTACTTTAGTATCCACATATAGGAATAAGACAGAAATCTTGTTTGTTGATTGGCTGCCAAAGAGTGAGATTTTTTAACCACCTAGACATCAACTGCTCCATTATAGGTTTACCCTTAGCATTTCATGGAGGTCTCTCCGGCCCCAACAGTTTGTTGGTTTGTACCAATTCTCCTAGGTAACAACTAAATAATGACTGCAGTTTTAAAATATTCCAACCTGAAATTCATTCTAGAATACAATGTTAACAGGAAAACTGTCTCCAGCTATTAAACTGAAGTTTTTTTGTCTTGCTTTGTTCTTGTTTTGCATATTTATATGTAGTTTTCTCTTCAACAACTTATGACTAAATAACGAAGAGCCCATTTTACAGACCAAGATGAGAAATGGAGACAGATTTCAACTGTTTGATTTCAGACCACAGTTCTGTTTACTTTGTTCCACAAACATGCTATGTGTAAATATACATAGTGTCCCTATGACTGCCTCTTTCCTTCACACTTCTATTTCAAATTTCTGAGCTTAGGTGAAATCATAATTTGTAAAACTACACTGACAGCATATATTAAGTGTTTGATGTGAAGTATCTGACAACTTTATGTTTTTCAGTAAGAAAACAATTCCCTTCAACTTGCATCTTTAATTTAATTCTTGAAACTTAAAACTTGTCATTGAAATTACTTGGACCACCAAATAAATTACATTTTCAACTAATAAAGTGGAAAATGCGCAGGGAAGCTATCTCTCTAGCCTGGTCTTACGTACACTGTCGACAGAAAATATTGAGGGAATGGAATACACATTGAATCCGCCAAAATCACATTTTGTCAACAAACTGAGCCTCATCAATATCCTCAGCAGCATAATACACCTACGTCTCAGTTTAATCCTTTGGGTACACTCAACTGAAAAATGCGCCGGGAAGTTATTTTTCTTACCTGTTCCTATACTGTAGACAGAAAAATATTGAAGGAAAGGACTATACATTGCATCTGCCAAAATCCACATATTGTCAACAAATTGAGCCTCATCAATATCCTCAGCAGCATAATACACCTACGTCTCAGTTTAATCCTTTGGGTACACTTAACTACAAGCATGTTGCATGCAGAGATGTCAAATATCGACTAACTTATAGGATACTGTCAGAAACATTCGATTCGCGTGATATACATATTTCTACACGCGCGAAATGTACACTCATTGTCGAAATGCATAATTACCTCCATACCACATAAACGTGCTCAAGTAATCTTCCTCTTCTTCTTCAATTTCAATGGCAATCGAAAGCCGACCACCACCGCTTCGGTCAGCCTTCTTCAGCGCGCGCTTCATTCGTGTAACGGAGCGTAACGTAGCAAACATTGTGATCTCACACAAGAAATTCAACAGCCATCAAACTGCACTCCACAGCAGAATACGTGTCCTTAGCTACCGAAATCTTCAACGATTTACCATGTAAAACAAAAATACCTTTCTTCCTTTCGAGGAGTTAGTCAACAAAGTTGACAAGGAACAAGAAATGAAGTCAATAAGATGATTAGCGCCTTTCAACAATCGAAGAAAATCAATAACGAAAAAGTCAATTGTCTTTTAAAACAGAAAATGAAACGCACCATTTTCAATAAAGAAAGTGTCAAAGATGTCATTCACATGTGTTAAAATTGTTTTTAATGTCGGACGTCTCGTTAAAAGACAGCGAAATACGGAATATGATCACACGGAAAAATTGTAAGTAGACATTGTCTATTATGACATTCATAAGACGTTCGGGTAAAGATACCTTGATGGTACCATACATGCAGTTACGGAAACATAACAGCGAAGGAAATATATGCTATTTCCTCAACGATATTTCGGCTGACCTTTCATATAGATTTCTAAGTGCTGGGAATAATTTACCGGCGTCCTCAAAGACTGTTCTGTTTACCGAAAAAACAAGAAGACAGTCTGCAAGCACAACCTTACAAACTTTTAAAAACTTATGAAAACTTACAAACTATAAGCAGCGGTTAACAGTTCGGATGACAGTAAGCAATAGTAAGCTTCGATTTATGTCTGCGTTATGTGCGAAAGAAAACCTATCTCCTGACCAAACTGGACCAGGATCACGGATCAGAATACTTACCAAGTTCGACGGATTGTTCTTCATTTTCCACCGGCGTTTTATCTCCTGCTCCTTTATCGCCAGAAGTACTTCCTTTATCAGGTTTTTCTATTTTATCAGCCTTCTCTGACGCTGTTTTCTTTGCCATATTCCGCCGTTCAACAGTCATCCGCCATTTTGGTTTTTCTCTAGTACGTCGCTATGGTAACGTTTATTCGCCAAACAAGAAATGTCAGCGGCATCGTCAACGCCGAACCTACATTGGTGTCCCGTGAGTGAAAAATCCCAGCTGGATAGTATTCTAACTTTAAAAATAGGTTTAAAAGCAACATTGTGGAAAAGCAGCGGGGAAAGAGGCCTGAATTTCTCAAGAATCATATCCTCATCTTTGTCTCCAGCTCGCTTAAGGGTTAACATCTTAAGAGTGACTCGCTCGCGCAATATGGCCGTTAGAATCTTACATGTTGAATATTTGTTCTTAATTGAAAACGGATTTATATCGCATTTTCTTTTACGAGCCGACAGGAAGCCGCGAACATTTAAGCTTTGACTGGTGTCATCATCGTGATCACATCTTTCAAAAAATTAGTCAGTTCAGGCCCGTGTCTGTATAAATACCCGCCCCATCTATTTAGAAGGTTACCATTATAATTAGGACAAAACAGTTTTTTGGCTACCGCTCTAACAAGGGCAACTTTTTCATAATCTCCTCGATAAATATTCAAATTTTTATATGAAAGTCAAAAGCATCCACATGCATCAAACCTTAAAACATAATCATCTCCTTTTTCGGAAATTATTCAAAAGGTACCCCAAATGTTAGAAAACTGCTTGGAAAATAAAATTTAATTTTCCTTTAAGATTACTTGATATGTCTATCCTGTCTTCCCTAATTTGTAATGCAAGTTTTTCACCGAGGGTTTTTGATAAATTTAAAAGTTCGTCATATTCATGAAAGCATAACGATCTCTTTATCAATAGATGACCTGCCAAGAAGCTGGTACTAATGAAAGGCATCACCTAAACAAGTCCATAGACTTGATTATCTCGACCAATCACATTATGGCGTTGAAGACAATGCAATGATAGACGAATGGGACGATGAAAGGAAAATGTCGGAGTTTTCCTAATCCAGGAACAAAAAGCTCTATCGATAAAAACGTTAGTCTGGAATTTCTTCAGAAAGCCAGCGATAAGACTGATCTGATCTAATCGATTTCCCGTGAGAAAAAAAAGTTGCGTCATTTTTTAACCAGACTAAAATTGGCCTTTCAATAGGAGTTTTGATTGATCTTTCAATCTGTGATTTTGTTAAAAAGACTCAGAAGGAGAAAGAATAATACTGATATACGATTAGGACTTGTGCTATTGGTCGATTATTACTATAACTCGAAGTTGCGCTGAGCTAGCTTTGCTCAGCAAGGAGAGATTACAACATGGTTTCTACTTGGTCCACCGACATAAGATGGTCTAAGCTTCGTCAGTTTGAGTACGGAGAACCAAACAACCATCTTGGAGAACTTAAAAAATCTTTAAGCACCGCTAGCGACGAAAGCGACGACGAATGGTTGGCTCAGCTCGAGAGAGACTACGCCACAGCGAAGCGAAAACATCGAGCTTATTGGACTTCTTTGGAGAGAGCATTGGCACTTGCGGTTATTATCTTTATTATTATTACCATTTCTTTAGCATTTGTACTAATATTTAAACAGTATAATGTGGCCGTGGTATTCGGTGGCAGTGGATACAAGACGGAAATCTGTGAAACACCAGGGTGTGTAGCTGCGACATACAGTATTTTAAATCATCTTGACAAGAATGTTGATCCGTGTGACGACTTTTACAACTTTGCTTGCGGAAACTGGTTCAAGAGCAGTTTTATTCCGGTCGGACACTCAAAATGGACAGCTTTTCATCGGGTTTCGGACAACAATTTGGTAATACTGAAGAAACTTCTTGAGAACAAACAACTCAGCTTAAATGGAAGTTCTACGGTTTTGACGAAAGTGCAAGATTATTTTGCAGCTTGCATGAATAAATCTGTGCTTGAAAAGAGAGGCGCAGACCCTGTCAAGAAACTTATTCACTTTGTAGGTTCCTGGACGATAACTAACGCCTCAGAGGTTGGACCCTGGTCACCAGAGTCGTGGAATTTCGAACAAGCCCTGAGTAGAATTCACAGATTGAAGAGTATGCCTTTGTTTTATATGTTTGTATCGGCTGATGACCGGAATTCGAGCCAAAACATCATACAGGTATGAAATAGTGAACGTTTATACTTCTATAGACAAGATTTTCCATTAATGACTTCGCGTCTTCATGTCTTTCATGCTGTGGTCTCGGCTAATAATTAAGTTATTTCACGTAGGATAGTTATTGATGAAAACCGAATTGCTCTATGAAAATCAATCCTTTTGGACTTGACTGACCCAAAATGGATTCTCGCGACTGCGGTGCTAATGTGCAGATCTCACGGTTTTACCTACTGTTGCCTCACATGTGATAAGATTGCAGTGAAAATAAAGTTTAACGAGGAAAACTTATTTGGCTTAGTGAAACACAGAATACACATTCTGTCGCAGGAATAGCTCCTCTAGCACATCTTGCCTTTTCCATTATGTTGAGGTGGAGAAGTCAACTTTTAACTCAAACTTTTTCTACGCCTCCTTAGGTTCAGCAAGCTGGCATAACACTATCGGACAGAGATTACTACTTCAGGAATGAATCAGATAAGGTAAATGTAACTTACTTTTTTGATATAGGAAACGGATTGTTTACTACAAGGAAATTAATGTATCTGAGCAAACGTTTAGCAGTCGAATATATTGTAAACTTATCTATTCGGAAATAAGGAAGAGAATCCGTTGCCCGAGTTATGAGGACCTATGAGGGAACACCATCTAACAACCGAATAATAACGAGGATCAAAACGAACCAATAGCAGCGTACCAACGTGCTACAAATACCGACACGTACACAATTGACCTCATCGCCTCATGAAGACAAGCAGTATTGCAGTCGAAACGTCGCAATCAACATCAAAAAGTGACTCTATCGTGAGACAAACGAACAAAGTTCATTTCCTATCCTACACCACGATGAAAAATAAACGCATATTTTATTACAATATCATTTTCGTTATCCTGTACAGTTAATACCTAGTACAGAACTCTGTTTTCCGAGCCGTCAACATGAGTCTCGACTTCGATTTCATGTTCGGAACAAAACCTATGAAACATGCAGCGAACAGTAGGGAGATTAATTATGTTGATGAAACTGCTTTTCACACGAGAAAAGAAATAGTTTTTCACTTTGAGATTCCACTAGGTGGACGTGTGTGAAAACAGACTCCTTTCGCGAGCTGAAACTAGAAATAACCTTAATGGAATCGACATGTGTAAGCTAAATATTTGATCGTCTTTCTCATTTCCCCACTTTTCTGTTGATGCTAACAATGCTAATTATTATTAACTCTTTTCACCCTAACATTAGTGTTCGTTGATTTCTCTACATTTCCTGTGATAATGACAAGGGAATTTGTTTAAAAATCAGGAGTTTCTTAAATTGGTAATAATTTCTTTTATTCTCATGATCTTTTATTCTCATGATCCTTATTTTTTGATAATACTTAAAGAAGAAATCTGAAGTCAGTCACTCTTAGGGTTTAAAGGGCTAACGAAATTGAATGAACTTGGTGTCAGTACGTTTTTTAGCCTATAAGTATGGGTAATAGCATGAATTCGAGTGCAATTTGGTGTTCATAAGCACGCGTAAATTTTTCAAAGACAAAAAAAATTGCAGGCTAAGCCCATAGGGCAAGAGCAATTTGTAGTCTTTGAAAAGTTTTACAAGTGCTTATCTCACCAAATTGGAAGAGACATCATATTATCACTTAATTGTTAATAATGTACATGAAAAAACATCACAGAAAGTCTAGACAGACAGAATTTTGAAAGCGTGCGCGCGCGCTATTTGTAATTTGCACTTGTGTTATAACTTTGCACTCGTGTTCCATGAGAACGCACTCATTTTTCAGCCAGTCAGAAGCGCGTAATTTTTTCATGAGCATTATTAGAGAAGTAATTGCCTGTTTCCACCTGGTGATTATGTAGGTTGTGCAGGCGTACAAAGAGTTCATGGTTAAGGTGGGTTCAATCTTGGGAGGTGAAATTAATAGCACACGGCATCAGATGGAGGAGGTGTTTCAGCTTGAAAAGAAACTGGCCGAAATTTACGAACCAAAAGATCGACTGAGAAACATGGAACAAATTTATCACAAAATGACGGTAGCTGAACTTCAGCAGCTTGCACCCGCGGTAAGAAAACAAGTTCAGATCCTCCGACTGCAAAATAGTGAACCTTTTCATCCCCGTGAATGATTAAAGTAATCGTTGCTTAATCCATGTAATATCTAGCAGACTTTATGATAATCAGTTCAGCGAGTGGGCATTATATGTGACCAAGAGATCAGTTTATAATCTCATTGAGTAATAACAAACCCTTAGTGATTAAATATCAGCTGGATGGGAGAATTTCTTATAAGATGTTGGCCTGGAATTAAAGGGTTAAAATAACGTTAGGGAGATAAATGAAAGCAAAGAACAGTACTTGGATGAGTTGGGAGGGTATGAATGCACGGTATAGAGATTGGTTTAGTTCCTCTTTCTGCTTCCTTCTTGTCTAAAACTTTGAATTTGAATTTGATGATCAGCAACGCAGTTATAGGGAAAATGGGAAGCAAAGAAAGGAGATTTACACGTCTTGTCAATTTCAATCCCGTTAGTGGTCATATGGCTCAGTTGCTAAATCTGATTTAAGAGTTCCTGATGGGCTCTTACAACCCCACCTGTGATTCCGTCGTTAGCGAAGTTACTGCCGGCGCGGATCGCGATTTTTAAACAGTATACAGCTTATCTTTATCGAAACAACAGATAAAATGGATAGTTTAAAAAAAAAAAAAACTACGCTTGTTTGAGATGAATCAGTGATAAGTTATTTTTTTCCATGATCTTCAGATTTCTTGGTTGGATTACATGAATGCGATGTTTAGCAGCCCGGTCACGCATCAGGAGCATGTGGTGGTTTATACTCCAGAATACTTGAAAAATATGTCGAATCTTGTCATCAGAACAGATCGAAGGTAATGATGGTAAATACCAGAACAAAAATTGCATCTAGTCTATGTCAACCAAAGCGGGGAAAGGGCTTGCCGAGAAAGCTACTCTACACTCTATTGTTGATCTGGTCACACGAAATTATATATAAATCTCCTATGTGCGTTAAATTACAGGATCTTAGCAAATTACATGGTTTGGCATCTCATCAAGCCCCTGATCGGGGAATTGTCCAAACCGTTCCGTGATGCTTCGCTGGAATTGTTAAAAGTTGAGAAAGGAGTGGAGACTGGGGCTCCGCCCTGGAAGAGCTGTGTTACTAAGACTAACTCGGTCATGGGGTTTGCCACAGGATACTTGTACATTAAGGAAAGATCAGGAAAAAATGCTAAAAAACAGGTAGAGAATAGATTTAATTTCTTAACATTTAGATTCGTCTGTGCAACGTCGGAAAATTTCGCGCTTACTAACAAATTTTTTTTCTTCCCATCCTCTGCCATTTTTACCCATTTAGAACGTAGAGCAATTCTCAATTTGGTATCGAAACTAACTCGCGATTGCATTGATTCTAGTCCTCTTCGCTTTATGACTGGTCTAGAAAACGCGTGCCACCCTCACGGACGAGCAGTCAGATGTAAAACTAAAAGCAACTGCAACTTAAATTGGTCATTCGCGTTTTCCATGCTTCAACAGCGCTTAACTCTTTTGCTTGTTGTTACTGAGCTATCATGGGCTTATTGTTATTTTTTTTCCCTTGCTTAACCTGGCTCTTGTGACTACCTCGGTTTTTTTTCCGGAACACTCAATCCAAAGGGGATAGCTCAAGTCGAATACGGGGCATCGTGAACAGAGTGCATCGTTTCAAACAGTTATAGAAATTCTTAGCAGTAAGATGCGGATACGACGGAATTTTTTATTTCCTCGTTTTATCTTAAATAGGCGGAGGAAATGATAGCTGAGATTAAGGGAGCTTTTAAAGCAAATTTACCCCATGTGAAGTGGATGGACGAAGAAACGAGAGAGAAGGCTTTAAATAAGGTAAAGTTGGACATGAGAGAGTTCAAGAGACTACGAGTTTAATGTTCGAGGAATATTAATTTCAGTTGATTTTTATTCCCTAAACTTTAATTTGTATTCACGTGTTTAAAAAGCTTTAAAAAATGTTGTTGCCTAAATTTTATGAAGCACGAAAACTTCTGATAAACGTTTTATCGAATAAATTATTAAGACACTCGCTTAACAGATTGTCTCGGAGAATCAGATACCCAATCCATACGCGTCATTTTTCTACGAGTTGCCTATCCTGGCTGATGATATGGAGCAACATTCTAATGAAGTGTCCGAAGTAATCCCAAACTGTGTTGGTTTTACTTTAATTTGTTCTTTAATTGGTCAAGAAAACTCGCAACACTCTCTCAACCAATAAGATGCAAAACTAAAACCAATCGCGACTTGGGCAGCCGCGTTTTCCCGCGCTTTAGCCAGTTTGGTTTTCTTTTTACTTTGAGTTCTCATTAGCTCATGGAAGTGTTTCCTTCTGACGGGCTGTTTTGATTTCATGTATTTTGATTTTTGTTTTATTACACTTAGTTGAAAAGCTTTTTAGTGATACTGTGTTTACTTCTTTTTCAGATTACGGCTACTTTCGACATGATTGGCTACCCAAAGTGGATAGAAGATCCAGAAAAACTCGACGAATACTACGAAAATGTAAGTTTTAATATTGTAAGCGTGTAAAAGGAAGCTTGCGTGATTGAGGGGTAGTAGGTTTGGCTGCATTTGAGATGGGAATCGATCATAATAACTGCTGATCAACTCAACTTTTGACAAAAATTTTTAAATGTGTTGTTTTTGTCAGCTCACAATAGGTCCCGAAAAAAGCTTCGAGAATTACTTAGAAGCCAGAAGATTTTTCCACAACAAGTCCATGAACAGACGAGGAAAGCCTGTCGACAGACGAGAGTTAGTACAAATATTTTTATTGTTCCAACTTTCATATCATCACGAGAGCGGTTTTTAGCAGTGTCGAAAAAGTGAAACCAAAGTATCACGGAACAGATAGTGAGTAGCGTGCCCATCAGATTGTAACATTTTTGATAGAATACTAACTTGTAATATTATGGGTGTACATGTTATTGTTTTTGTCAGATGGCATATGACTCCTGCTGACGTCAACGCCTACTATAACTCGCCAAACAATTACATAGGTTAGAAATCTTAAAATTTACTCTTCGCCTTATAACGTTTCCCTCGTTTTAGCAAATGTTTTTATAATTTGGTCGTTAATTACTGGTTATGTCATTTTCCTTAACAGCATTCCCGTCAGGAATTCTTCAACCTCCTTTCTTTGATCCGCAATTTCCGCAGTAAGTTATGTAGATCTTATAACACAACATTTTGACTTTTAAACGAAATAGGATAATTGTCAGATAACCTTTCCTTTAGCTCGCATTCGAGGCCCTTTGCATGTCTTGGGCCATTGGTATTCATCTCCTCGTATGATCTCTGCCGTAGACCAAAGCGAAGGAGCGAAAATGAATTTAAAATTGGGTGGTCACCACTGGAAATTGTTTCCTGATTTGTTTTTCTTTAAAAAGTTAAATATAAAATTTCTCACTGAATTTTTACCCAGCCCGTTCTTGCAGAAAAACGTGTTCTGAATCAATTTCAACCCCTTTGACCATGGGGGTAACTTTTAGTTCCACTAATTCTTTCCTATTTCAAGGAAGTTGTTTTATACATTAATTGGTGGGGTATAATCAGAAAGTGTTAACAGCCAACATTCTTTATTCCGGCGTAGGTCAATAAATTATGGCGCAGTCGGAGTAGTAATGGGACATGAGCTGACTCATGGATTTGACGATCGTGGTAAGTTTGCAACGATAACCAAACCAGTTATAAGGACGCATTCAATAACACACTTAAACGAAGACTCAAAGATCTACAAAGGTCTAAAATACAAAGTGAATCGTAGCCCGCTCGCATCCTGACGCGATTTTTCAGACTGTTTTTTAGTCACTTTTTCAGTTCTCGTTTTCTCAGTGCCCTCCAAAACGATGATAAGATAGTAATAGAATTCATGTTACATAGCTTTTGTGGGTCGATGAAAATCAGCAGTGCTGTAAGAGCGTAGTTAAGAAAGAAGAGAGAGGAAGCAGGCATACCTTATTTTTCTCCGATGGTTTAGGGTAAAGATTTTTGCTAATATTCCCGCGCAAAACAGCGAAGAGAGGACAATAATTTCGTGATGACAACATGGTAACTTTCAACGATAAATAGCTGATAATGCAAATTTACCATCACTCTTTTTTTCTTTAAGTACGTAACGTTAGTTCGATTGTCTCTCGATTTAATCATATCGCAGGTCGAATGTTCGATGAACATGGTAACCTGGCCAGCTGGTGGAACAACCAATCAGTGAAAGCCTTTCAAGAACACGCCTCATGTATGGTGAATCAGTATGGCAACTTCACTGTTGCTGGAAAGAACGTAAGACTGTCATTTTTTTTCCTAAATTTTTCTCTGTTATGTAGGAAAGTGTATGAACATTTTAATAGATACTTGTATGTTGCACCTTAAAATCTAATTTTATGACCTTATCCTTTTAACTTACTGCAGGTGAATGGGAAACAAACTCTTGGCGAGAATATAGCAGACAACGGAGGGCTGAAGCTTGCCTACACTGTAAGTTTATTTCTTTTTATTTTCTTTGATGTTAGTTAAAGTGCAGCAGGTTACGTCTGAGCGTTATTTCATCAATAATGTTGCTTGGTCAAACACTGGAGAGTTTATCCGGAAAATGTTCAAAGTCGAGCTAGGTTCCATATGATGCTTCGAACCTTGACTGATTTAAATTTTGATGTCGAATTGTCTTTCAATTCTAAAAGCCACAAACAATGATTCAAACGAGGTCTTGCAGGTAGGGTAGTTAGGGTAGTGTAGCCTAAGCTTGCACAAAGAGCCTCCGTAAATATGCAAAGAAGTGTTTATGTTGCACAGTGGACGAAATACAAGGATTTGTATGGAAATAAACGGTCGCTCTCTCAACCTACAAATCTGAACTAGTTCTGAATAAAAACAAACTTACCTCGCTTAAAGTGGCTATTCCTTTGCATCATGTGAGTTTTCTGGGCTGATTTGGGGCCACTTCGCTCGGTTTTACTTCATCTGCTTTTTCCTCTATGCAAGGATTGGGTTGGGGTTCATACGTAAATGCAAAAGCTTCTTTTGCCGGAATATTCTTGTTACCTCACCGGTAGGCCTACCAGAACTGGGTCGCGAGAAACAGCAAAGAATTGAACCTACCTGGCTTGGATTTCACTTCGGAACAATTGTTTTTCCTCGGATTTGCTCAGGTAAATCAAAAGTGATTATCTGTGTATTACATAAATTGGCCACCGTTATGAGTTTCAACGGTGGCGTTTCTAACGTTAGCCCTTCGTCAGAGCGAATGACGAAAGGCTAACGAAGGGCCAACCTTAGCCAATTTACATTAGCAACTCAGTTGATAATAGCAATTTACCTTGTTATACTCTCCCACCGACACAGCACCACAGTTTCTTTAGAAATTTACCCCCTTTTTTAATTAAAGGCTAACTTTCGGTATGTCTTCATATCAGAACTTGTTATTTATGAAGACTTACTTTTAAATTGATTAACGGAGTAGAAGTCTCAATATTGCAGATTTTCGGTCACATCACAACCTCTAGTTATCGAGCTTTGGAAGTAATATTTTCACTGATGTTGAAGTAAACTTCGCAAATTTCGGGCTAGGCCATAAGTGACGATGTCACGGCGGACAAACTTCAAGCACTAACCAAAATGATCATTGTCATAATGACATAACGGTTATAATGAGTTGAACAACTCAAAGTGGAGATTTATGAAAGCCATTTCTATGATTTATTCAGTAAAAGCGATCACCCTATGCTTCATACAGATTCGACTGTATGTCAAAATCTCAGATGTGCTTTACACATATGAATGTTTATATAAACTTTCCGTTTTAAATCTTCATTCCGGCCAGGTATGGTGTTCAGCAACTTCGGACGGGCGTGCCCAGCATGCTTTGCTAACTGATGTACACAGTCCTGAGAAAGTGAGGTGAGTTTAAAAGCAAATGGGTGTCCACGGCAATAAGTGTTTTACCTAAGAGAATTAATGAAATCCCTTAACGAAACAGCAATGCTTGAATTAAGACTTTTGTATCGATTATCACTTAATAGGAGCATGATATCGGGGTCTTTTTGATGCTATGGTTTACATGAAAATCTTCCAGCGAGTAAGAGACGAGATATTAATAACGTGTGATTAAAAGAGAATCAGGTGGAAGGCCTACCACTGGAATGACCCTATTAATCTATTTATGCTTCCATCCCTCTTTGCTTATGTAACAGTGATACATGCAGTTGATTGCAATAAATATTGAGAATAATCTAACCATTGTGACCATACTTTGTAGGGTTCTCGCGGCAGTTTCCAACTCAAAGGAGTTTGCAGAGGCTTTTAATTGTCCCGTCAATAGTTCTATGAATCCGATGAACAAGTGTCATGTCTGGTGATGCTTTGAAATAAATGGCAATCAGTCTATGAAGTCAAAAGCAGCACAACAATGCCCAATTTTCCTGGGAACTTCGATTCGCAGGCGCCGTAAGTCAAGGGTTCGACCAGTTCTTTGAGGAAGGACTTGTGGAAAATTAACAGGTTCTTGGTTCCTACTTTCAAACAAGTGTCGCGCTCATGGCAGTTCCGACCATTTTCCACGAGGCCACCGATTCTCTACATTCTAACCCCTCTTCGGAATCAGAGATGCCATTTCAACACTTGTTTTCAGACCCGGCCACTAGAATCAATCACCGGTTTCAGATCTGTCGAAGTCAAGAAAATTTTGCCTGAAACGTATGTCTTGTTAATTTCTCACACTATTGACGGCAGCACATCCCTAGAAAGCTCATGTAGGAAAGAACCCCCCCTCAATGAGAACTACAAGTAAAACAAGCAAATTGCCTAAGGCGCGGGAAACGCCCGCGATCAACTCGTGTTTTTTTTAATTTCGCATCTGATTGGTTGAGAGAGTGGCGCCAGTTTTCTAGACCAATCACAGAACGAAGTAAAGCAAAAACAAAGCAACGCCTGATCACTTTCGATACTCATTTGATAAATTTGCATTTTAGACTACTAATTACAAAGTACACTTTGTGCAACGAGATTGCTATGGAGTCTGAAGTGTGTAGCACATTAAGTTTCCTGTAAAAGTTGATATCGCTCTAAAGTTGACAAATGTACTTTTCCTTGTTGTTTCGATTGCAAAATGTAAGGAAATCCAAATATGACAAACGGGCAATTCATTTAGTAACGACTCTTGAGGTTATGGTTTTTCAGTTTGCCCGTGCGTAATTTATTTTATACTTAACAGAGCCGACAATATTTGCTGTATCACTGTTACAAAACATAGTTTGTAACACTAATCGTAATATAGAGATTTATATCAATACCAAAAAAGATTATCATTTAAATGCGTGCTATAATGTCGAATAAAATTTGCGTTTAATTTTGTATGTTATTTTATATGCTGCATAGAAGTTTGACCGTGGAAATTGGATCCGGCTTTTCTTACCAAATCACTCCTAGTATATTTTATGTAAAATGTAAAATGTTGCAGTGCTGCTGATGGGATAAACTGATAACAAAATAGGATCAGATTAAGGTACTGACAGACTCAAGGTCTTCACTCTAAAGTTAACCCTTTCAAGACATCTCAAAGCTCAAGGCTCCGCGAATGAAGTTCAATAAGTTTTATTTTTGAAGAGTCGTTTATCATCTTTAATGAGAGGACCGAAAACAATCCTATGAATGAAGAGGGGAAAGCAAACATAAGGCAAAGTGATAACCCATATTTGGCGAACGCCTTGTGTAAAAAGTGGATATGAAATATTGGTATTAACTTAGTGCAATAAGAATGTGTCAGTAGGAGGAAAAATCAGGTACGATACATATACAATGCACCCATTTTGTCTCCTAACAGTTTTCTGTACATGAACAAGTTGGCGTATGTAATCGCCAAAAGAAGGCCAAACAAAAACCTGTTCATCAGATGGCTTTCTATAAATGTTTTTATATATTTTTCAAAGAAACTGTCAAGTTGAGATAGTGATGGTAGCATTGTAACACTACAGTGGCAATAACCACATTCTTCAATAAGCGAAACTCACTCTATCTGTTTCTAATCGTGAATCAAATTCTCTTTTGGTATCACATCGAGAGAGAACTTATACGAGAGGAGGATAGATCGCTGAAGATATTTGCATAAGTAAACAATACACACTCCCTACATATTAGTTTGGGCACTGAATCGAAAGATTTAACGATTTACATAGATAAATGTCAGGTATGGAGTTAAACCACAATAAAATTTACAAATGAGTTGGAGACGTTGGTAAGATATAAAAAACTCTTCTCAAATAAGGTTCGTGAGATCAGACTCAAAGAGTAACCAGAAATACTACGCCTTCTTAGCCGCCGGCTACAAAATTCGTTAGAGTTGCGAAAAAACGACGTTAGTGAAAAAATAAAATCGAACTTAGCATTGTGACATAATCGAAGAAAGTTTTTGTCCTCTCAAGAGGTTGGTTTCTGTATAGCAAGATCGACTTCAAAAAAAATCCCGTCTCAGGAGGTTCTGTGGTTCTCACGGTCAGGTTTTTAAGCCTAAAAAAAGCTCCAAATTAAATGGCTGCTAAAGTAAAAGAAAAAGAGAGATGGGCACTGGGTACGATATTTAACCCTCTGCCTTAAGAACATTACATTGTTAACTTTTAAGATTATCCTGAGTATCACTATGAAAGAACGAGTTCTAGGAGTATTGCCACCTGTATTGAAACTGCTGTCAGTTAATAAAATTCATTTCCCTCGAGTAACAAAAAAAAGGTTCCGTTTTTTAAACGTTTTTATGTTTGTTTTGTCTTTGGGCTGAAAGAATCACCTTGGCTTGGTCATTGCATAAGATAATACCGCACGTCATCGAGATTTGATTGGTTGGAAGTAAATGACTTTGACTCATTTTTCGAATGGGTTTTGTTTGGTTTATTCTTAATTTCTTTAATATCAGATTTCCTGGTGTCTATTCTCCTAACTTTGGCACATTTTATCACCTCGCAATTGGACTCAATACTTTGGTTCAAGGATCTGCCTTAATTTTATCTTCGATCATGAATAATTCTAAGCAGATATCAGGTGTTTGCTTTGCACTGGTTTATTATTCGCCACAGCGGGTTCTTATTTACCGTTTTACTGCTGTTCTGTCATGTTTTATCTTTTTTTTAAGGTTCTGAACAATTATAATCTTATTTTAAACCGACGATACAGTATTCAGGCCTTCGAGAAGGGAAGATTTTCTTGTGCGTATGAATAAAACCGCCAATTTTAATTTGATAGCCTCAGGCAAAATTTGATATGTTTGAATTAAAATTTACGAATTCGGTTCACATTTGCTTTGGTGTGTTTCGTTTTTTTTTTCCTTCGATTCGGCAACGTTGATCTTTACTCCTCTTTCGTTCAACGTTGCGTTGAATTACTCGTAGAAAATCAAAGTAACCACGTTGTTGCCCTCGATTTGATATAATATTCAACTTCTGCCGATATCCACAAACCAATTCCCGAAGGGCTTGTGTAATCAGCACTTAAAATAAAGCTTTTAGAAAACAGATGTTTGCAGCCTTTACCTTAACCAATAGCAAGACACACAAGAATGTAAGTGCTTTCTAATAAATCTTCAAAAGAAGTAAAATTATGGTTGATTCAAAAAATTTTACTTACGTTATGTTGTTATTATTTATTGTTACGTTATTATGCCATGGTCTGTATCCATCTAGAAAATGAAGGTCAGATATTTCCCCTCCCGCTGAAAAATTTCGCTCGAATACATTTCCATTTCAGTTCCGGAAGCGTTTCCAAATCGGCTTTACATATTTTATTCACTTATCAATTTTAATTTGACAGTTTTAAATTGCTGTTGGTTCGGAACGTTTCACGGGCCGCAATGTATATACATAATGTGTCAAGGTGTTTTCCTAAGGATTAAAATTTTCCTCGGGAGCTGTCAAAGTCAGTTTTTACCAGACAATCAATAGAGACTAACAAGGAACATAAATTCCTAGCATTGGCGTCTTTTCACTTACTGATGGCTTTCGCTTGCAAATTTATGCCGGTGGTGAGTCAAAACATTCCTTCTATTATTGAAGATTGTACTATTGCAGCGTACAATTCAAGTGAAAACGGTAGCTTTGATTCAGGAGAGTAAGAAAGAACTTCCATAGTGTCGTGCCAAGCCACACAATATGCGAATGATGACATTCACGCTCAGTAAGATGAAATTATGTTGTGACCGATTGGCTGAAATTAAATGTACTGATAGAATTACTTTTCAGTCGGCCAGTTTATATTTCAAATTGTAACTCGACCTTATTTGTTTGTAATTGGGAATTTTTTCCCCTAAAACTGGACTGCAATTCAAAGTCGGACTGTTTATTTCAGTAAGAACTTTATAGGATTTGTGAAGCTAAATAGTTGTTTATTCTATCGGCATTGACAACATCAAGAACAAAATCAAATTGGGACCAGCATCTTGTTGAAATATATTTTAAAGCTTTCATAGCTCCGGTTATGTTATATGTATTTACTAGAGAGTACGGAAACTCGGTAATCTATCGATTAGCCACAAATTCATAGGCAGAGGGTGTTGTCAAAAAAAATTAAAATGAATTCTTCGGCATATTGACAGGATGAAAGGAGAGTGAAAAAACGAAAAGATGAAATTGCAGTTTTCACATAGGGGTTAAAAATCTATTATGTAATTTCGTAATGTACCCCTAATTGGAAAAAGTTCTCGAACTTGGGTGAAGGAAATACGTACATCAAGGTTGTGGAGTACTCTCCAAGATAGCATATGCTTCAGTAAATGAGGCGACGAGGTTTCTCTTGTAGCTTAAGGTCTCATACGGATAAGTGGACCTTTTATTAATGAATAATCACTCTCAGTCGTCAATAAATGCCCTGGGGATGACGCTCGAAAGAGTGCAGTACTGTTGATTACGAAAAGGTTACCTTCCAACGCACAAATTTTTCCTTAGTCCCTTTCTTCAGTTTATGGTTGAGCAGTCGAAGATAAGATTTTTTTATTTAATAAAAACTCCGTGTAGACTAAATAGATCCCAAGTTAAGGAGAGTCATGTAAATCCAAAGAATAAGGAGGAATAAAAATATAAACAGATTTCAGCGAATGTTGAAGGGTCAGCAGAGAGAAATTTTATCAAAAAGAAAAACTACAAAGACGTTTCTTAATGGAACATCGACGATGGCAAAGCCTTTATCTCAGGGAAGTTTTATCCAGTTGTAAGAATTGCACGAAATTTTTTTCGCTTTGAATGTTTTCATCACTATCAATTCCTGACATCCATACTTAGGTCTTTAGGATACAGCATATTTGTAAAGAAACTCCGTAGTGAAAGAATCGTGACATGATTGATCTTTACCGAAAGAGGTGGTATGATTAAGATTATGAGATAACTGAGATACTACGGGAGCCCTAATTGGTCAAAAACCTATGGTCTGTGGCACCTGTAAATCCATAGTTAGTTTAAATAAGCAATTGATAGCACTAAACACTGGTTTACCAGCATGATAACCCACGCAGGATGTAGGGAGAATACGAGAAAAGTTTGTAAATCAGTCGCCTCCGGCTCGTGATTTGCAAACTTTCCGTGTATTTTATCAATATCTCAAGTAAGTTATTACGCCGATAAACCGATAGGAAGTGCGGTCTATTGCCATAATTACCAGCAATTATTCTGTATGATAATGAAATATATGTATTCCTTCCTAGCAGTGCTTTAGTACCAATCGTAGCAGCAGAGAGAAACACGATTCCACGCAATGTTCGGTCAGTGGAGACGGCTTATCCCTAGCAATGGTTGGAGAACCAGCAAAGTTCATTCTACGAACTAAGGGTCCGGACCTGCTTTATTTAGAGCTCCAAATTACCCGAATCGTGAATAATGGTAGTGAAATTTCTACTCACTTCTCAGAGCCAATACCTGTCGAATACGAATGTTTAGGAGAAAATATTCACAGCGTGTGCTATTACCCAAAAGAAGTAGGAGAATACCACGTGGCTGTCACATGGAAGGGAAATCACGTGACGGGAAGTCCATTTGCTGTCAAGGTCGATAAAAAAGTGACTTTCCCGGAAAAGGATGACGTAAAAACAGAAGAACAAGATAACAAGGATGAAGTGTGGAAATTGAGAGACGACATCAGGTCGTCAAGACGACAAAGGGATAACAGAGTTTAAGATGTGTGGTACGGGTTTAAATGAACTGGTTTACCGATGTAAGGAAAAACTAATCCTTACTTTGGAACTGGTTTGGAGAACGAAAACAGTAAACATATCATAGCTTTGAAGAATAGGAAGGAAAACGAAAAGAATCAGTATAAAAAGTGTTGTTTTCAGCTGCAGCCAGATTACGGGACCTGACTTGCTTGCTCCGGCTAAGCAGGCAGGTTTATCGTTTGGTTCACAGCAAGATAACTCATGAGAATAAATACAATAAAATAGACTATTAAATCATCGATGTTCATGCAGTGATGAATAAGGTTACTTATCTGGATCTGATCTCCTTATTTTGAGAGACCCCTCGCCTGTTTGTTTTCATATCCGTTTATTTTGGTTAAGAGAACCCGTGAATTTTTTTTACTACTTAGAGTTGTACCTTGACGTTGTCATTACATCACGTCATCAAAGTAGTACGTGAGAGTAAAATTTTTTGATCAGTATGAAGCACAGCTTGGTTGCCATATTATCATGTTTTCCGAAAATTGCGCATCTTCGTCGGTTTCAAAATCCTAGCGATTTTTATAACATCGAAGAAAAGAGGGGTGTCACACATTCTTTTGAAGGTAATACTCATTCCTAAGAATGTTTACTTGTAGAACAGCTTCAAAAATAAACCCGATTTCAAAGTTCAGCCCTCTCTTGTTTTTTGTTACTTACTGGATGGCAGCTGAAGGAAAGATATTTGGATTCAAAATGAAAAAGTGAAGAGTTTTCAGACGTTCCTTTTACAACAGGCGTGCAGCTGCAAAGCTGGGAAAAGTTTTTATTGGCGGATAAAAAAAAACACAACAAAATTGTATTTTTTCTAACTTGACGTAACATTCTTTTTCACTTAAGGATTAAGGTATTCCCAAGCGATATACAAGTTCGAAGTAATTGAACATTGTCTTCCTATTCAGATTCGAAGAAACGAAATTCTCCGAAGCATTGTTGGTTTCTTCAATTAGGAATCGGATTTTCAAGCAAATGCATTGTTTTATCAGTTGTGGGTTAATGATAAAGGTATTTAAACTCTGAATGCTAATCTTAATTGATGTATTTAAACTGAAAGTGGACAGGTCTCAAATTCCAGTTCCCTCTAGTTGAACATGAAGTTTTTACTCATAGTCGCCTCTTTGGTGGGGCTTTTGGGCAGGATCCATGGTAATACTGCAGCACTTTGGGTTCCTGTTCGACTTAGAACATAGTAGCCGTAAAAATAATCCCTCAGACGCTGAATGAATATCTTATTTTATTGTTCTTTTCGTATGAGTTTTTAAGAAAACACCTCTCGCCCCAACGATTTAGCATTGTTTTTTTAAAAGGAAATCAGTAACTAACCGTTTCACAGAATTTTTCTGGCAGAGTATATACTGCCAGAGTATTTACAGCATTTTTAACTCCACGCAAACGTCATCTTATTCAAATAAATGTTGTTACCCTTTTTCAGGATTTTACTGTAATTTCGATCGCAGCCAATGTGGGTTTGTGCAACGACGAGACGACAAGTTCGATTGGACCAGGAAAAAGGGTGCGACATCCTCCGGGGGTACAGGTCCTTACTCTGACGCAAAAGGAAGAGGTAGCGCTCTTTAAGGAAGCGTAATATAACGTAAATGCAGACCACCACCGAATTTTGAAGCCGAAAGATTTCGTACCCACATGACAAAAACGATTGTTGTTTGAGATTTACCCTTGAAGATTGATGCGATATCAGCATGTAGAACGTAGAAACTTAGGTAGACTATTTTTTCATTCCTTTTGTGGTGAAAATAAACGAGTGGCCTAAGGTGATCACCAAACAATGGTCACACAAAATAAGCACATTTTGATCTGAAAACAGCGACCTAAAAACCAAAAATGTCCACAAGTCTCCCTTCGCGCGACGTGGTTATCTTGAGGGCGAAGTAGGCCCGCAAAACGTGCGAACGTAAGTAATGGGTCAAATATGTGAGTGTAGCTGTAACAGGTCGCGCTATTTGAAAATGTCGTCATGAAACTCGCAGAACGCACAGAGCTAGTGCGCTTCTGTTTAAACCGCAAACGCACCATACTCTAGTGCAAAAATTATTACGACGTGTAGATTTTTCATTTTTTTGAGTCAGTGTGATAGTATCACTTTATCATATAATATATATCATCACTTGCAGGTTACTACATGTACATAGAAGCATCGCGAAAAAGAAAAGATGATAACGCCAAGTTAGAGATTCTCCCTGATCTTGTTTCTGGAAAGACCTGCATTTCCTTTTTTTATCACATGCGCGGTGGTCAAATGGGAACACTTCGGGTGCTGGTGGACGGAAATCAAGTTTTCGAGAAAAGTGGACATCAAGGAAACGACTGGCGTAAAGCTGAGTTCACTGTTGAAGGAGGTGCTTCATCAGTAAGGATCTTTGCTTTTGTGACTCAACCTTTAATATGGCTCTAAGTTCTCAGGCTGCTTATTAGTCTTGAAAATGCGATTAAGAGAAAAAGCTCCCCGTACGCTGACTACCACGGCACAGTGACCAGCGAGAAAATAATTTGAACTGATGAAGAGCTCTAGCTCTACTAGCAGCGTTTCAAATAAACTGATTTCATACTCCCCTTTTTCACGCGAAAATCAATAATCAAACGCTAATTTGAAATGTTACCATTTGTACGAACAGGTTGTGTTTGAAGGAATTGTAGGACGAGGCCACCAGTCTGACGTGGCGATTGATGAAGTGAAGATAGAAAACTGTGGGGAAGGGGGTGGTGGCCAAGGTAAGTTCTTTCTAATTTCATCTGTATGTTGTTCCATAGTAATGGTCTTCAGTCCTTTCATATGTATACACTGGTAAAACGAGAAAGATTACAGCTTATTTGAATGAAAGTAAAGCCATCCCCTCAAAATATTTCGGTTCTCCGCACACACGTTCGACAAACCAAGTGGAGGAGAGATGGTAGGATAAAAAGGAATACGGTTGACCTAACTTTGAAATGTAACAACAAAATTTATATTCAGAATTATTTTGATTTATGAGTGAGCTGATTATTGAATGTGGTGCATTTTCAATATGTGCGTGGCAAAAAAGGGTTTTTCCTTCAATTTGTGATTTATCTATGGATGATTTTCCAATAAACGTTCACAAAGCCGACAGTTTGTACAAAAGTACCTAACCACTTAATGATTTGAAACAATTTTTCTATAGCCACAATGAAACCGCCAGCACCTCAACCAGAAACTACTCCGCCGCCTCGTCCACATACAGCGGTTCCACCAACAGGTATCTTCCGTTTTTATTATGAGAGGTAAATTGAGCAACGCTTTTGATAGTAAGGACGTAACAACATGCATTTTAATCCCTCAACACTCAACAAGCTTTTTCCTTCAGGCGAGTGTGGCTTCCGTCCTACCACCAGGATAGTTGGTGGTGAAAATGCACCACCGGGGGCTTGGCCATGGCAGGCGATGCTGAGGTGGTCTCCCACTGGGTATGTGTTCTGCGGTGGTACCTTAGTCGCTCCTCAGTGGGTTGTCACGGCCAGTCACTGTGTCTCGAAGGCAGGCGGAGATCCCGTATATATCAGGTAAAATATGAAATAAGGACAGGTCATGTAACTGGACGTGAGGACAATATTGCAGGCGTGGACTGCTCCTTTCAGAATCTTAGTGAACTATAACGTATCCTGCAAAATCCGCAAATTTCATCCTCAATATCTATTTTGTTAGTTTGTTTTTTTTTAACTCGTGGCTCTCGTACTTCGAGTATCCCTGAATGCGCAGTTAGTCCACGACTTTTATCGTTGACATTTTCCAACGATATCATATGATATCATGATTCACTCCTTTAAAAGCTTTTCGTCCGGCTATCGAAAAATTTTACATTATCTACCGCACGTGAGCAAAAAACAGAGATGTAATCGACTAAGATCTTTCAAATTTTCAGAAAAATCAGACCAGGATGCATACAAAACAACATGAAATAAGTTACCAAGACTGACATGATCAGGACTAGCAAAACGAAGCTAAAGCGACCATTGTTTGACTGTTTGAGCTATACAGCCACTTTAAAAAGCTTGCATGAACTGCAAAAGCCGCCTTCCCCTCTCCCTGACTTTCCCTTACGGAAAACAATAGAGAAGAGAAAGGAAAAACCTTACATATGTTATGTTTTTTTTTCTTTACAGGCTTGGTGCTCACAAACAGTCAGAAAGTATGGGAACAGAACAGGACTTCACAGCCAGTAAAATTATTTTACACCCATTGTACCACAAACCAATTGGGATGAGTCATGATATCGCACTTCTCAAGCTGGATAGACCGGCTGCACTCACCAGGTGAGTTCACTCTCTGTGCATTGCAATCCCCCCAAAATATCAGAAATGTTTTTCTCGTCCGGGAGCGTTTATGGACGTGGCATGGTTAATGCTGTTCTCTGATAATATTCCTTTGGTTTTAACGCGGATATTTTTTCATCAATCAAAAGTCTCCGAAACTTTAGTTGGTGATGATTTTATATACCCATGACCTAAATATTTGAATTCAAGGCACTAGGTTTGAAATCTTAAGTTTTCAGTATATCTTAATCTTAACTTTCTTGGTTCAACTCTTTCACTTTGCTACTCAAGTGGATTTCCTTCCCGATTTCCCTGCGATGAACTCCTCCGCACTCATCTGTGCTTTTTAATCTTAGTTAACAGCCAATTCATCTGTATTGGCTTCCATTTGTTCGGTGGAGATTTCTTGCGGGTATTGAGTTGTATCATTCAAAAAATAATTCTCTCCGTTAAAAAATTGTTGATGACATGCCATACTCGCTCAGAATGAACAAGCAACTTTTGAATAACCCAGCAAAGTCCGACCATAGGGACAACCAAAAAAACGAGGAGAACGCTTTTTATCTCCACAGGAGTAAGCAGTAAAGAATATCGTTAATTTGAAACAGATTTTGTTATTTTGTTTTCCTCTTCCTTGTTTTTAGGCAGGTGAACCTGGTATGTCTTCCTCAAAGTATCCCAGCTCCACTTGAAGGAACCAAATGCTGGATCACAGGGTGGGGAAAGACAGCTTCGGTCGGTGGCTCGAGTGGGAAGGTTCTGAAGCAGGCGACTGTGCCGATAGTGGGACGGAACCGCTGTGAGTGGTCTTACTTGGGACAGATTCACGAGTCCATGATTTGTGCCGGGCTGGACCGAGGTGGTGTTGACTCTTGTCAAGGGGATAGTGGAGGACCCATGGTGTGTGAGACCGGCGGAAAGTTTTACCTACAGGGTGTGACTAGTTGGGGAAAAGGATGTGGCAGGCCTAATAAGTATGGTGTCTATGCTAGGGTAAAATACCTTTTGGAATGGCTGAAGAAAGAAATGGCTAGGAATTAAGTTACCAAGTTAAATGAGGTTCCAGCTCTTGAGGAAGCAACTACAGTGAAACTACGAAAATTACGAAAATAAAATTTTAAAAAAGTAAGCCGTGTGACTTGATTTATTTTTGAATCATGTGACGTTTACCACGAAGAGTTACTTAGCTCGACCATCAGATCTAACATGGTTGCATGGCTATCTGACCTTACAATCTTTCCTTCAACCTCTCCTCGGGTTTCGGCTAATGGAGACTCTTTACTTCGATTCATTTCCTTCTGGATGCCTTTTTCACTTTCGTATAAATTTAAATATCTCCAAGTTAAATCAAAACCTGACGGCCTTCCTCCGATCTGAGTTTTGACCAAATATTTTGCTCTTCAAAAATACTTCGGCGGACAAACAATACTTAAGAACATCACGCAAACATGACAGTAACGCTGAGGATTATGCCTCAAGAATTTTCCAAGTGCAAGGGTCGATCTCTTTACCATCTTTGATGGCACCAGGCCTCATCTTCACCGCAACATGATGACAGTGAAGATGAGGCCTGGTGCCATGAAAGTGATGGCAGCGATAAAAGTATACAAAAAAATAATTTATTCGATTCGAGTAGCATTAGGTTAATATTTATTCGCATCTTCTTCAGTTACTACATCCTTTGGGTTTTTAGTATCATGTTATTGGCTTACACTTGCAATCAAACTATCAATTGTCAAATTTTTTCTTTGTTCAGCTCGTTTTCTTTTTTCAATTGTGCCGCATTTTCTCTTTGAGCCAAGGCAGGAGGTACTTGACTTTAGCGTAAACACCAAACTTTCCCGCAGCAGCGCAGCCATATCCCCAACTGGTCGCACCCTGCAAGTAAAATCGGCCGCCACTCTCGCATACCATCGGTCCACCGCTATCCCCCTGACAGGAATCAATGCCTCCTTCATCCACCCCTGCACAGATCATTGAATCATGGATTTTATCTGGATATGCCTTCTCGCAGCGAGCGGGGCCAACAATTGGAACAGAGACCTGCTGAAGGTCATCCGGTGTGGCACCCCCAGAGGACAGTCTACCCCAGCCTGTGATCCAACAGCGTTTCCCTTCAACGGGCGCTTCGATAGTTTCTGGAAGACATGCGGTATTCACGTAACTGCGAAAAAGGTGGAAAATTTATCATTAACTTTTAAGTAAACTATTTACAGTTATTTATGGAGGAGGGAAGGAAAAGTGATTATAACTTCTACGAATTTTTTCAAAGTTAAATCAAGTTTAGCAAATACTCACCACTCAGTTTAACAAGTAACAGATTTTTCACGTAAATTAATTCACAAAGAAATGAGCTTTCATAAGATGATCGCTGATTGTAATTTTAAAAAAATGTGAGTAATTCATAGCTGTTAGTTGAGGAATGTTCGAAATTTTCCAGATTGATGTGATTATGGATATATTCTATTATACGACGCATTTCTAAGAAATTACAGAGTACGTTGATACAAACCTGTTTAGCCGAGCCGGTTTGTCTAATTTTAAGAGTGCGATGTCATGGCTGTAACTTTTTGGTTTGTGGTAGAGTGGGTGTGTAATAACCTTCGTGACCCTAAAATCCTGTTCAGTGTCAACCTCTGATACACGACTATGGGCGCCAAGACTACAAAATAAACAAACAAACAGACAACCATAAACAATGTTTTAAGTATGAAACACATTATTACCGACATTACCGCTTATTCCAAGGACGACAAGAGAAAAATGTAATGAACACGCAAACTTCTTGGACTGATCGTTAATATTATTTTGTGGTGTTTTACTACAAGTGAAAAGGAAACGTAAACAAAGAAATGGCCAGTTAGAGTTCAAAAGTCTTTGATACTAGGAACATGAAGTTTTGAACTCTTTTAAACAGTGTACTAGCTTGTCTCCGAAAAGTTTCGCAAATTGATTGACAGCTCAGTTAAAAGCATTCCCAATGAGTAACCAACAGCTCACATGTTGAAAAGCGCGATAAAGTGAATTAACTTATATATCTGTTACCGGACGAAAACTTCACTGGGTGACTTTCCATTGACACAGTGGGTTGCAGTTACGATCCAAAATGGAGTTACTAAAGTTCCTCCACAGTAGGGATAACCAAAGCTGCTTCGTAGCATCGCCTGCCAAGGCCAGTCTCCACGCTTGGCAGTCGAGCCTCCGACGATCCTAACAGACGAACGTGTTCCACAACCTCCTAAAATTATAGCACAGAACATTCCTGTGATTCATATGCCAATTTTTCCCAACAGATGATAAATCATACGTAAATATGATATCAGTTCAAGGCAATATCCGCGAGTATATTTTCTTATTTGCACCACCGCGTATTTTTAATGATTATTATGTGATATTTTCACTGACCTTTGGAGGGAGATACCGGCGGGCTCGGTTTTCGTGGGGGTGGGGGTGTCTCTCCACCTTAAACAAAGAGGACGAATTAATGGCCGTTAAGATGTGCTCCTGTTTGGTAAAAACTGTCTTGAACTCAAAGGCTGTAGTGCTTTGACATAAGAAACTTAGCTAGAGACAGAAAAAAACCCGTGCGTCAACTAAATTTTATCAAACCGCAGTTGATTCTTTCAAACCGATTTAGACTGACGTCCAGTACCGCTTACAAATACAAAAATACAAAACAAATAAAGCTCCTGCGAGATAAATTCATCGATAACAAGATTAACTCAATACCTTCTCCCCCACAACCAACTATTTCAATATTATCAATAGCAATATCGCCCTGCCAGTTTCTTCCACGGATTCCTTGAAAGATAACCTGCAATATAAATATAAAGGAAATATTCAGTAATATTTTAATTTAGTTCATTTGTTTTTCAGTTCTTGCATATTACTATAAAGTTATTGATATTAGATGTATTATTTAGTATTTAATAATTGTTAAATGGTATTTAATTGTGATGTATCGCAGGCTCACTCACTATTCGAGCTGTTTCTTTCACTTTGATCTGCGCCTTTTTCCAGTCTACACCCTGCTGACCATTTTTCTTGAAAATTATTTTCCCGTTCACTTTTACATTCAGTTCTCCGATGCCTTTTCCTTTCATATGATAGTAAAACGAGATGCACGATTCTCTATTCCCCAGATTGGGTCTATACACTAATTTGGCATCGTCTCCCTGTTTGCGAGGGCTGGATGTCTCTATGTATGCATAGTATCCTTGAAAAAAAACAACAACAACAACAAAGTACACCTTTGATTTCAACCATGGGTATGAAAATGACCTTAATTTGCATTTGAGTGGAGACTTCTAATCATATCGTATGGGTGAAAGGATGAGCATCAGAACTCGCTTTGAAAAATCGTAATTCAAAACTGAGCTATCGAATACACTTAGAAATTTTACAGCGGATGGAAAGAAGAAAACATGTTTGTTGTAGTTGTCAAGTACATATATTATCAGCAAATTTTTAAACAAGAAGCTTGCACTGAAAAAGGCACGTTGATCGCTTTCATACCAAGAAAGTTATCAAACTTATTCATCCTCACTTGAGGGGGTAGCTGGTTATAGTCAACGGCTTTCACATGTCTATTCGATAGTTGTCCAGTTTTCGAATTTTTGACTCGTTCTTCTTTCAATTGTTCGTATAGGTAAGTTACATCCAGAACCAAGGTTTTAATGGCGTTGATAGGGTGCGAAGGGAATAAAATTCGGTTTGTTACTATTTGGGGCTTGAAATTAAAACAACCGCAAATCGAGAGTCCACTTGGTCAATCACGAGTAAAATTACAGACAAACTTCGACATCATAAAAGAACTGTCACCAGTTTACGAAAACAATGAAAAAAGTTTGAGACACGAAGCACTTTCCACATTTTCACAATAGTTTTTAAATCGAGCTGCTGAACACAAATTACGTACGAGTATTCTTTTTTCAGTACGATCTCCTTTTGACCAGTTTTATTTTCCATACCTTTTCCCCCGTATCCAATCGATGGTCCTGTTCCACCTGACGATGTTGGAGTCCTCCGACGGTCCCAATCAAATTTGTCATGTGGCTGTTTCTCTTGAATGCCACCACAGAAATCTTTTTCAAAATTGCAGACGAGGCCTTGAGAAAAAAAAATTGCTTACTTACTTATTTATTTTAAAAAAATCTATTATACAGTTTCTAATAAAATGTTTTGGACTATTTAGCAAGCTACAGGTCAATCAATCAAAGAAGCGTTGTAAAAACGATCATTCATTAAGTTTTAATGATCGATGTTCGAATTGGATAGATCTCTAATTTTTGGTTATTCATCTGTCTTTTAGGTACTCCTTTTGCTTACGAACCCAGCTTCATTATTAATCTCTAAAGAAATATCGACAAAGAAATACTTTGTACAACTAAGCACATTGCATACAATGATCTGAAGAAAGAATCGAAATTATAAAGATTTTTTTCCAGCCTTACCAGCTCCGAAAGCCACGTTCACCAGTAACACAGAAAACACCAACATATTGGCAGCCAGCTCAGTGAACTGTGAACAATAAACACAATTTTAATGAGTTTTATAGAGTTGTTACTGTATTATAAGCTGACACTGAGGTCAATACGCAAATTTGTTTTGCCAAAATGAAACATGCTACGACTCCTACAAACAAACGCGTCAGGCACTTAGCACGGTACAAAAACCCAAAAATAAATGGCAAAGGAACCTCTTATATGGCTTCCTAACCAATTTTAATTGTTGACTTAATTTCATGTAAAACTTTTCAGAGGTATTTGAGGCAAGAAGTACTCTTTATCGTTGCTGAACAAGATAAAGAAATTTCATTAACTCATGTAAACAGAGTTTACTTAATCGTTAATTGACAATAATGGCAAAACAAAGGAACACCTGAACAGGTTTTACATCTAGTTTTAGTGAAACAAAAGAGCATATTTGCTACTTCTTTTGTAAATGACGAGTTCTTCAAGACACGGACTTCGTCGTTCAGTTTTTTAACTTTGTCAACACCGCGGTATCTTTCAGCCAAGATTCTGATGATTTAATGAGAAACTAAATAATAAGCAATTTTGACACCTCAGGTAAACGATGAGGACAAACTACTGGTCATTTACTGAAAAAAAAACCGCTTAAATCTCCCTGATGTAAGAGGCAAACTATATGAATATGCGTAGTTTGGCTGATCATTCTTTTTACAATACCTCAGAGACACTTAGGCTGATAAGAGTTTTAACAAAAGTATATGTAAATAACTAAATCACACACACACACCTGCCTCTACAAATTTGTTGAAGATGTGTTTATTGACTAATCAGTTGGTATACAATTGAAGAAACTCACGTTTAGATGCAGAAAATGGTAGAGTAAATTTTTAAATGGATTTGGTCCTAAGCACCAGGGGATATCTTGAACCTTGGATTATGAAGCTATTTACAAACAAAGGCATTTATTAACTGCTACTAACTACTACTAGTACTACTACTACTAATACTAACTACTAACTAGTAAGCGTCGAGATTTATCCGTGACTGTAATAGTTTTGCTTTACTTTACGTTGTGATTTCTGTGATTGCTCTAGTACAAATCTATAACTTGTCTTAACCAATCAGATGCAAAACCAAAACCGATTACTATCTGTCATTCAAGTTGCCAGCGCCTGGAGCAGCATGCTTTCGTTTGCAAGATGCTCTCAATAGCTTCTCTGAAATTTTCCTCAAGTTTGAATGGCCGTTGATATTTAGCTTTTTTGGACTCACAAAAGACAATTGAAATTCCCTCTCCATAGCAGAAACTACATTAAGGACAGTCAACACGCACTTGAAATTTTTCGTGACTTTAGTTTCCTCGGCCATAACAAACTTATTTTCACTATGGATATAACATCTCTGTATACTGTCATTCCCAATGACGAAGGTCTCCGGGCCCTCAAACATTTTTTCGATCATTGCACTGTTAAGGAGCCTAGCTCTGAAACACTACTCCGTCTGGCCGAACTAGTACTCACACTCAATTGCTTTTCATTCGGTGGTAACTACTACAAACAAACTAATGGCGTGGCCATGGGTACTAAAATGGGACCCAGCTACGTCAATCTTTTTGTAGGTTTTATCAAACATCATTTTTTTAGTCAATGCCACGGCCCAAAACCTGAACTCTACGGCCGTTACATTGACGATTGTATCGGCGCTACCCCCTCTACCAAAGAGGAGCTCACTCAATTTATAACCGCCGTCAATTCCTTTCATCCGGCTCTTAAATATACCTGGGAAATTTCCGACACTTCTTTGGCTTTTCTAGACATCAAAATTTCAATTGAAGGCAACGGTTTATGCACTATTGTTTACTACAAACCTACAGATTCACATAGTTACTTGTTGTATTCATCTTCACATCCAAAACACACGTCAAGAACTCCATACCTTTTTCACAGTTTCTCAGACTTCGTCGTTTATGTAGTGACGCAGTCTGATTTTTCCGAAAAGTCAGAGGCAATGTGCCAGTTTTTCGATAAACGTGGCTATCCTGTCTCTGTCGTTCTAGCGGGCCACCACCGTGCCCAACAAATTGATCGACAATCAGCACTTCAAACGGCTGAGAAGGATAACACTGACCGCATTCCATTTACTCTTACATTTCACCCTCACAACCACGCAGTTAAATCTATCATTCTTAAAAATTTTAAATTACTCCAAAACGATTCAGAGACTGGCACTATCTTTTCGCAACCCCCACTTATTTCATTCAAACGTGACAAAAACATAGGCAACTTTTTAGTCAGGAGTTCATTTCAAACCAGTGACCAATCTGGAACTTTCAAATGTGTTCGCTCACGATGCAAAACTTGTTCTTTCATTCACAACGTAGAAAAAATATCGGGACCCAAGAGATCCATTAAGATCACTGATCATTTTACGTGTACCTCCGCCAATGTTATTTACTGCATAACTTGCACTTATTGCAATAAGTTATACATCGGCGAAACAGGCAGACGATTAGGTGACCGATTCCGAGAACACCTTAGCAACGTGGAAAGAAATGACAAGGACGCATCCAAACCAGTCGCTAGACACTTTAATCTTCCTAATCATTCTAAACAGCATATGGCAGTTTGCGGCCTTTCCTTAAATCTAGGCAGTTCGGAAAGCCGTAAAAGACTAGAACAAAAATTTATCTTCCAAATCGGCACCCTTAATCTCCACGGAATCAACGAGCGCTTTTCATTTAACTAACTTATTCCTGTTTTCTCGTCACCACATTCCCACCAATGGCGTAGCTCCACTTTCTGCATATAAACCCACACACAACCCACAATTCCTCCAATCGCTCTGACGAAGGGCTAACGCTCGAAACGTTAGCTTTTTACCCTTTACGGTGGCTAATTTACGTTTTCAACTCAGTTGCTAACACTAAATTATCTGTAGCACAAATAGTTTGATACGACAGAATTCGAACCACACGTGCATGGAAAAAACTTATTGGCTGACTGATTTAATGTTGCATTTCCAGAGTCACCAAAAATGCAACAAGGATAGCTTTCTCATAATCACTTATAGTTTGATACATGCAGTTTGTGACTAAAGCATAGGTATATTTAAAAAACCCTAACACTGATTTACCGTCCCATTTCCATAGTCACCAAGACATACTCTACAAAGATTGCTTTCTCGTAACAATTAATCGTCTGGCACGATCCCCATCCTCTACAACTGAAACTTTTAATCAAAAACAAACAAAATGTGCTCTGGTTTTAGTTATTATCCCACTCATTTCGTTTCCAATTTCCTGAAATTTTATCCATGTTCATAACACCTTTGTATTGTAGAAAAAGCCAGGTTATATAGTTGGAAATGTTCAACCACGCCTTGTTCGCACTCGGCGATCGTATAACATCGTTTGGAGGACACATAGGCAGAGAGCTTTCCTTAAACGAAGGATTGTTTTACTAGCACCAGAAGTGAACTGCTAGTTATGGATCAAAGAAATCCAAGATTTAAAGCAAAGTCCTGCTCCGTTTTTGTTTGAAAAAGATTTTGACAAGTTTGAAATAGCATTTCAATAATTTTCATATTTTGGAAAATCTATCATTTCCCAAGACCTTTAGAAAGTCTTCGTACATTAAAAAACAGTCGCAGCTCTTTTGGCTAAGCCCTGTGTTTTACGCTCTTTCATAACTATTTAGTTTCTTAGATCTAAGCAAGATAAAACTAAGTTCTAACATTTTGCAGTTGAACGACATATCTAATTTCCTTAAGCCTTAGCGATTTTCTCAAAGAGCTAATTTGGTGACTTTGATAGACCTTTCATGGGTTTTCGCTGTCCTCGTCAGTAGTGTAAACGATCCCTTAAACAGTTTTTCGTCGCCTTCAAGTGGAAATTGTAGCCTTAATAATTCAAAATCGCACAAAAAAGTGATTTTAAAATGTTTAGAGGGTTTTACGCGATGTTATGTTAGGGGAAGGTCCATTATCAATTGTAAACATCCCGTTAAAATACGAAGCACCATCAAAAAGAGTAACAATAGATTGGCACTGCCTGTTTGATCAGATGCTTACAAGGATGGCAAAAACGTGAGCCTACTAGGAATACATGAATTTGGTGTTTAATTAAAGTTTTTTTCTTCTTAACATACAGCTGCAAGTCCTTACGGAAAAGTCATTGCGTGAAAACATGAGTGTTCGATTCAATACTTGAAAAACTGACAGCAGGCCACTGCAAAAACTGGTCAGAAATATACGTATAAGTATATGTACAGGGATATAAAAAAATGTGACCACCCTTAAAATAAGCAAGTCTTTGTATGATAAGGACAACAATTACAATGGTTAGGGGTAATGGTAACAGTAACGGCAATAATGATAATAATAATAATAATAATAATAACAACAACAATAAAGATGATCATAATGGGAACCCCACCCTCCACTCTTTATCTTTGTTGCAGTAAAAAGAAAAACAGAGGCATGCCTCTTTCCTTTTGTTCACATACGGCTCGGGTTTTAAATGCAAATTTTGGAAAAGCAAAAGCAAAATTTTCATATATTAATTTGTTGACAGAACAAACACTTTTCACATCGGATATTTGAATGGTGAGTAAATGAAACAAGTCATAAAAAGTAGCGCTTAAAAACACACTCACTAAAATTTAAATGGTTATTAAAAATATGATCAGCTTCCTATACAATAAGTGTTTTACTTGGCTCGTCCATCGATCCTGGATGATACTCACTCTGTTGGAACCAAACGTTTTAAATTTGTGTCCTGTTTGAAACTTACTCAGTTTAATTTTGTTATTTTTGCCTTTCTCCTACAGACAGAAAAATGAAGCTTCCTAGAGTAAGACACTTGACACATTTTTCCGATGTTTGATATATATCCAGATGTTTGATTGGAGTTTTAAGAAATAAACTGGCTGCTAATGATGTTTGTTCAGTTTAAAAGACAAATACTGTTTCAGTCTTGATATTACTTTAAACAAAAGTTATAATTTGGTATAATTTTTCTTCCCGCGATTTTTGAATCACAAGTTGCAGAGACAGGCTAAGTCAGTGTTGTTTCAGGAAAAGACAATGACAAAAATATAAAAGAAAAATGGAGAAATGAAGAGAAAGTCAAAATAAAGAGCCAGTTCATGAAAGAAAATGGACAGACACAGAATATTTCACTAAGCATTGTTTACAAAGCTGAAGAAAACGTGTGAATAAGTAAGGCTAAAATACAAGCAAAACTCAAATGGACCACGATTTTTAAAAATGGATGTTAACATAACCTTGATAATATTTAAATGCAACAAACAATTGAGTGTCATTCTGATATGTGAAGATTAACACATCTTAGCAATCAAAATAACCAAGAGCTCAAACCATATTCCTTCACTTAAAGGCCTTTGAAACCAAAATGGTGTGATAAGAATCTTCACTTTTTGTTCAAGAAATATTCGGACTATCCCATTCCCACTTATGGAACATCGAGCGATTTTTATTTGATAAACGTACTTCCAGTAAATCAAACCCATTATCTTTGAGTGGCGGCAAGGGGTAATTTCACTCATGTAGGTACACAATGCTAATAGATCGGAAATGTCTGCAAACAAACTGAATATACCGATTATCCATTAAGTTGTGAGCGAAAGCTATAAAACCTATCCCTCTTCCTAATAGTACCTACTCTCATCAGCCAACGTAACCCACTCAAATGAAACAAAAGATGAAGATCTCAGCAATCTTATTGCTTACGGCGATTGCATTCTCTACTGCAAATGGTTTGTATATTCTAAAAGCTTATTAAGACCTTATTTTCTCTCGCGAAAGGCAGTTTCATTGTAACATTCAGAAAGTATTACTGTATGGAACATAGAGACCGTTTACGTTATCAAGTGTAACCACCCACATCAGTCCTTTAGAATTCTTGTTGACTCATACGCTAACGATTGAATTTCTCAGATTCCAAAGGATTTAAGGGACAGAAACGAAATTTCTGAGAGATTTTGTGTTCCTACCCTTCCAGAAGAATCCTACTGTTTGGGTACTTCGTTGATTTTTTTCTTGTGTTACTTTTATCTTTTGTAATTTAGATTGCAGTCGTGTGACTGAGAACGGGAAATGCTGCCATTTTCCGTTTATTTTCGACGGTTATATGTTTTATGGTTGTACTACTTATGGCTGGAATAGAGAATGGTGCAGTCTCACGGATTCCTATGACAGGGACGGACAGTGGGGAAATTGTCTTGAAGGTAACCTAATTCATGAGACCGGGCCCAGGGGCGTAGCTAAGGGGCGGTCCTGGGGTGCCCCTTGCCCCCTTGTTTTTAACGCATCAAGACATTTTGTAAAACACGGCGTAGAGGTCGAAATGACAATCTGGAGAGTACCCTCTGTTTGACACAGTGTGACCCCACTTCCCTTGGAAAAACCATGGCCAAGCCTCAGGGACCTTTTTCTCCCATTAAATTTCCAACGTATGAAGCAGCGAAGTAGGATGGTGAACAACGTGTTAAGGTCATGCAAAACTTTGCACGAAATATCACAGCCTAAAATTTTCTATTTCCCTTTTTATCTGTAGTCCAATGAATTCAGTTGGAATGAATACATTGTTTCCAAACTTCATTTGTGACGGTTTTTGGTGGAATTTTTTGATTAAATATGTAAAGTTTGCACCAGAATCAGAGTTTATTAAAGGCCCATGATATATTTTTAAGCTTTATCTGTCTTATTCATTAAAGAAACATTTCTTTTCGTTTACAACCAACAACAGTTCCGACGACAGTTCCCACTACCCCTCCCTTAGCAACTACATCCAGTGGGTCATCAGGAGGAGGATCATCATCAGGTATGATTCAAGAGAACAATTCTTCCTGGAAATATCGATGACTTCCCTAACAGTGGCGCAACCAAGATGAAGGGGAAAAAGTTTGAGCAGAACAATAGCTCTGCATATACTTTTTGAGACTTTGTACCTTTCAAAAGTTACACCTTCACGTGCAAAATTAAATAACGACGCTGAAACCCGCAAATAATTCACAAGCCTACTTGGGACTCAGTGCTGTATTCACGTGTAGTACTGGTAAAGATCTGGCGCCGTTAGATAGGGTTAACACATTAAGTTACTCAGGAAATTCTGAGGAAAAGTATAACTTCATTTTTTAATCGCCCTCTTCTCAGCCGTCTCCTGCCTGACGTCTTACATGAACTGGCCCTGAGGTGTATCTGTGATCTCTGTACCTCTGCCATAGAATCTCCTATTAAACTGCGTAGCTTCATAAAGTACCAAGAAAAAAGTGAAAATTAAGTTCAGGTATACATCCTGAATGTTGATGATTATTTGCCAAAGAAGCAGTGAAATTACCGAACACGCAGCAACCGCGTTGTTTGATTTGGTATTAGACTTTTCCGAACACCACACCAAAACTACAGCTTTCAAATAGAGAAAATTTAACACTTTCGTTCAGTATTTTAATACATAGTTTGGATGTAAGTGCTGTGTATGAATTATATTTCGTTGATAAGCGTCTCTCTGTGTTTTTGCAGTTAATGACATTAACGTATATGGACATCTTTTTTTCATTCAATAATTAGCCCTCAAATGCGGGATTAAGCCACCCATGTCACGTATCGTTGGTGGTCAAACGGCCGAAAAGGGCAGCTGGCCATGGCAAGCTATGTTAGCCTTCCGTGGTGGAAGCCAGTTCTGTGGAGGATCTCTCATTGACGAAAACTGGGTGTTGACAGCCGCTCATTGTGTTTATGGTTCTTCAGAGGATCGCATTGTTATAAGGTTGGTGACTGAATTTTGAACAAAAATTAATATGGTATTAGTCAGAGTGGTGGAAGAGTATGGAAATTAAAGAACGACAAATTTAAGATTGCTCATTTTAGACTAGATTGAGGCCCTCAAAACAAGGTTTCCCAAATAAAAATTCATTGTTTCGCAAGATCGAATAAAAAGGTTCACCGCCAACCTCAGAAAATACATGCAAGGAACTATGAAAAAGTGCGCAGCAAATTCGATCTAAGAATGTTAACTTTTCAGAGGTTATTCGGGTTTGCCCTTTTAATTAATTAGTATCCTTTGGTTACATGCTTCAGTCCAGTTGTTTAGAAGAGCCAATTATTAAGGCGTTACTGATCATTGAGTTAAGAAAACTCGCGTGCCACTATAATGTAACTGGAGGCTTAGTTAATGCATGGCTATACAGAGCCCTTACATTTCTGCATCATGCGCGTATGAAATCTTTTGAATATGGTAATCTATGAAGCTGTGAAATTTGATCAATGTCACGTGATGTCTATAAAGTACATTTGTCCATTGTGTAGCGAGCTGCCTTGCGAGAATAACGCGGGGGTAATTAACTTTAGCAACCGCTAGGAAACCGAGTAAAACTAAGAGCAGTTAAGTTTTACCAGCTCTCCTTATTAGTTTTGCTAATCTGCATATTGGACATCGATCGTCGGCCTCCTAGATGCACGTGTTGCTCATATAAGGTCCATCCTGTTAAAGCATGCACTTTTGATTGCTCTGTAGGATGGGTGCTCACCGCATTACGGACATCGGGGAAGAAATAGAAGTGGAGAAAAAATTTGAGCATGAGGATTACAACCCTAACAATTTCCAGAACGACATTGCGCTGCTTAAACTGAAGAACAGTGTGACGATCGGCCCAGATGCAAGACCCGTATGTCTACCTGACGAAAACCAGCTCCTAATGCCAGACAAGAAATGCTATATAACAGGATGGGGAACGCTAAAAAGCGGGGGTGAACAGCCAGATTACCTTCAAGAAGCTTCGGTACCAATCGTTTCTGAAGCAAAATGTAAGAGGGCCTACGGTGATTCAAAAATTCATGAGTCCATGATCTGCGCTGGTCTTGACATTGGAGGAATTGATGCCTGCCAAGGTGATAGTGGCGGACCTATGGTGTGTGAATTCAATGGTAAATGGTATCTCGAGGGCGCTACCAGCTGGGGATACGGTTGCGCGTTGCCTAACAAGTATGGAGTTTACGCTAAAGTGCGTCACCTAAAAGATTGGGTTTTGAAAAATATGAAGAACAATTAAAGGATGTCCACGTTAGATTACTGACACATCACAAATGAAAAAAAATGTATTTTCTTTGGGTTAGAAGAATAAAGGGATAAGAAAGATTAAAATTTTGTTTTTGGTTTTCACTCGTCTACAAACAAGCTTCTTTTCCCCGAAAGATCAATCATAAAGCCAAAAAAACAGCTCTTAGAAGCACGGCTATGACAGCGAGATTGGAAAGCCTCTTTTTTTTTTTTTTTTTTTTTTTCGATGAATGCTATTCCATCATCTTCAGTCCACATGTCGCAGAGGTTTGGTTCTGAGTATGTTTGGTTGAGCTCGAAACGTCCTTTGAACAATGAAGCCCTTGAATGCAATGCAGACATATATAGGAAGCAGCTTTCTATCGAAACTCCCAACCGATCTCCACCTGACGGTGACGACAAAGCTGTTATAATGAATAAAATTATATGCTTTGTTTGAATAGTAATTTAACTTGGATGGGAATTTAAAGCACACACTAAAACGGTCTATACTCATAAAGTGTTGGTGTAAAAAAACTGAGACATCTTTGAGGTAATGAAGATTTTTTTTTTTGGTGTTTAGAGCTCTGTAAATTATTACACCCCAACCAAACCATGAGTATAAAATTTGTCTTAACAGTCAGAAGTCAAACCCCTGCAATGGGTCGAGGACATTTGAACTCAAGTACTAACATTGACTCCGGGAGATAAACCACATGTAGTAACTTTATTTGAGAAATTATTCTCAGTTTTAAATGAGTGGTTCCACTTTAAACGGACGGTTCAATACAGGTGGAAGAGATAACAACAAATAGTGGTGGAAATTAAATTAAAGTACAAGAGCGGAAAAAATTGGGGCAACCGACCGCTGATTGCAGGGTGACCCCTTAATTCAGGTTCGTTTGTACTTACAAGACAAATTTATACGATATTTTAATATTAACGATTACATTTCCTTGACTGAAACAACAATACGCTCACTGTAATATTGTAGGCGTAGAAATGAAATGCTGCTTATCCTAATTTGGGGCTGTATATTCTATCGCCTGAGAAAATGACATTTAGTTTGTATTTTTTAGCCACCATTTTAGAGGTGCTTCTAATTTTTGCTCCTGAAATGGAATTCAATGTTGACTTTTCTCAATAAATACGCAGTTCAGTAGGTATTCAGAGGAGGTATTTTTCTAAAGAAACTGTAATGTATAATTGTAAATTGGCCTTTATAAAGAGATTCGAAACCTGACGTTCAGATCGTTAGCCCCTCGACAAAGCGAAGGCCGAAGGGCTTATGAGAAAAGCATCAGCTTTAGTATCTCTATATGGTGGCCAATTTACATTATCAACTCAGTTGATGAAACTCAATTATCTTGTCGGTTGCCATTCCGGCTGCTTAAATTGTAAGAACAATGGAAAGTTGCAAAGATCGACCCAAGACTCAACTGACCCTACTTCTACTTCTCAAAGATACAAAATCATGATTTTTGTTTCGTTGAATAGAAAGTAACTATTATATCAGGAGATAAACGATATCAGTCGGCTTAACATGATTAATCCAAAGTAGATCGGCTAGGTTCCAACCACTCGCCGATAATTGCTGCAACTTGCTGAAAATAAAAGTAAAAATTGATCTATGAGGGTCGTGAACAAATTCTTGTCGTCAAATAAGTCGTTCAGTGTAAAAACAGAAATAAAAAGCCACCACTTGTTTCTATTTGCCTATGTGCTTTAGTGGTTACTGGTTGCCACTAAAGATTATTTGGCCAATGGCAGAGACTGGTCACGATACTATTCAGAGAAAGCAAGATAAAACCTGTATAAAAGAGAGATTTACACAGCTCTTGCATATTATAATTAACTTACCTCGTTCTTAAATTAAAAGCGGTTCGTAAAGATGACAAATAAGCGTGAGTTTTTTCGGGATATTCTTCCAAGAGGGATAAATTCAGAAACTATTACAGGATATTCGCAGAATGAGACAAAGAATGTGACCTTCGTAGACACTTAATAGGTTACTTTCTGCGTGAATGGTAGACAAAAACCGCATGATCTTAAGCTATGTGATAGCAATAAACTGTATCAAACCTTCCTAGCTTCACGCAAGGCGGGTAGGTCATCAGGTGAATCAGAAAGCATGTTAGCACAGTGGGAGGTGCCATTGATAAAAATGGCCACTTCAGTTGCAGTTTGGTTCGCTAGGACACTTAATGCATGCCAAGGGTCTATAGATCCTGCAACGGAAAACGGAACAAAAACAATTGTCTTAATTATTTAGTATACTGACTCTCTCTCCAGGGCCAATAGACACATCACTCTCACATCTTGCGCTCTCTACCCAGGAGTACTAATAGGTCCTGGAGAACTAACAGAAAGACCTGTTGTTGTAAAGTGTATTAGAGCATTCGTATGCGCTATATAAATGCATGAATATTTTGATTACATTGTAGAAATTTAGAAGTAATTCTTGCCTTTTACATAACAGATGTATTTCATGACTAATGCTTCGGTTTTCGATAAAACTTGTTGAAGCCTTCAACAACAACGCAACATTAATGAGCTTTCCCGGATCCCTTTCATAATCTAAAACTTTAAATCTCTTACCGTTTACAAAAACAATCTTTGAGCCTTTGGGCGTTTTTCCTCCGTAGTAAGTGTTTGTAAATGCAACTTTTTCATAAATATCCTGAGCAGGGATGTCATAAGCCTCAAGACAAGTATCCAGATTATAAGTAAGGTCGTGTGGGATTCTAGAATAAATGCAGCTGGTATTCTTCTCGCATGTTTGATCTAAAACAAGATGCAACATTGATAATCAAATGAACATTTGTAGTCTATTTGTGCGAGTAAAGTGGACGTAGTGGCAGAAACTAGGCGTAATTTTCTAAATAGTGACTGTTATCAGCGTTATAAATGTGAGACGCCTAAGGATCTTAGGTCTTCTTATAAAGGGTATAAATTATGCACTGATACACTTTTTTAGACCGATTAACGCCTTGATTTTTAGAATTCTTTCGTACAAATTGGTGAATTTTTTTTAAACACGTCTCCTAAACCCTTTTCATGGGCAAAAAATCAAAGAAACCTTTTTTCTGATGAGAAGTCGAGGCGGCGCTTAAGAACAGAATCCGCCAACTCAAGAAATCTGTGGTAACTAATCAACTGGAACTTACAGTATCCAAACTGAGTACAAGTTTGGTAGGTCCACTGGCGAAAAATTGAAGAGCCCGTTGGGTCCTGTGTTGTGTTCTTGAATATTTCCAAGTTTGCTGTATAGTTATTATTCATGCAGCGAAGTCCCACACGATCTAGATAGTACTGCAAAAATACAACCATTCCATACAAGGTCAAAGATATACTCTTGAAATTAATGAATATGGAAAGGATTTATACCGATCAAAACAATTGATAGCCTGAATCTACATCGTGAGACAAACGATTACACGTTCATTTATCTATAAAAATACGAATAACAACAACATTTTTTATAACAGAGAATTCCTTCTTCCTCCGTAACAGTCAGGAGTGATTAGAAAGTAACCGCTCTTCACTGCCAACACTTAGTCCATCGAACGGGGAATGATAACTACGAATTTTAAAATCTAATCGGGTTCTTTAGTGCTATCTCCACCTAAAAAGGGATCAAGTTTAATCAAGTGATGCTAAACAATGTCCAATCGGACAGCCTATAGTTTACGATCATCTGCTCTCGAGAATCGAGATGTCGAGAGTATTGGAAACCTCCAAGAAAGCAAAATAACATTTCATCAGCATGTAAGTTAGTGAAATTCGCCGCTAAAATAGAATACCAAAATATCCTTACACGTATCACATAACCAAGATATTGGTAAGGAGTGAGGGATGAATTTGTCATACATTGACACACATATGCTATGTTGAAACCAGGAGCTTGAGTATTGTACTGCACAATTCCGTCCAAAACGTTACCAAGGTTCTCGACAAACAGCCAAGTGTCATTCGGCCGTGAAATATCATTGCATGACGAGAAGTCGTGCTCTAAAGTTTTGTAATCCTTGGCAGCGATCAGCTGGTCCACATGGGCGAAGGCTTTCATTATATTGTTTTGACACTGCAAAAGAAAGCGAGAGGACATCACCTAACTCAAGGTATATCGTACCTAATAAGATACATAAAAAAATTACTCAGTTCTGATTGGTTGAGATAAATGCAGTTTTCAAGTAATTCAATGCAGAAGAGGGTTAATTCGGTGAAAGGAAGTAACAAATTAGACTGAACAATTCCTTGAACTGTTTAGCCGGACTTTAAACTTTTGTGCGCCTTTGAGATGTGAAAATATCATTTTATATTATTGTTTTGATCGTACGCGGTTGTCTTGACCGAACGCACAAGGTCACTTACAGGGTTTGCCATAAATAATAACAGTTGATGCGCCGCTTTGATTAGCTATCTCGTATTTTTTCGTGTATATTGTTAATACGTAATCACATGATTTCGGGTGCAATTTTGGAATAAATAAGCACTTGTAAATTTTTTCAAAGACCACAAATTGCACGGCCCTGCGGGCTCGTGCAAATTTGTTAGTCTTTGAAAAAATTTACTTCGAAATTGCACCCGAAATCATCGGAATACCTGTACAAAACAGGAAAAGATCTCGCGCGGCAAGTGCGCTGGAGAAGCAATAACCTTTCTTTTTGATTTGAACACAATCCAAGCTTCGGGTATGGTAAAACACAGTACTGATGTATTTTGTTTATATTTCTGAAATGGGCTGATGCATTTAAATTATAGTATGTCGTGTTGCACAATCCATCCTACAATGTTTTAAACCATTCAAAACGTACTTGCACAGACCCACCAACAAGGGGTGACGCGAAACTTGCAGCTGCAACCTAGAGATAGATAGGGACATATGGTTACAAAGATTATTAACGGACTGAATAGCGATTTTTTGTTTTCTAAAAACGTTCGCGTAAAAACGATACCTTGCATTAAACTCCAGGCAAGTTTTGAAAAGACTTTTTGGATAATAATATTGACCCAAGTGATTGTAAACAGTTCCTAATACTCGCAGCTCTTAGTTCATTTGAGATACCGAAATCGGTCCAAGTTCCGCAGTGGTGTCAGAGTGATTGGCCAGCTTTCGCATCTCTCAGTTTCAATGTGTCGTTAAATCGTCAATGAAACATGAAATTTTGTTCACAAGGAGGAAAATTATTTGAGCAATTGTTCCTGGTGGAAGTATTGCGGCTTGTACATTTATAACAGACATGCCTCCTTTCGATATCTTTTTCGTTACATATTTTTTTTTTGTTTGTGTGGGGTTTCAGGAACCAACAATCGAGCTCTAGTTTTAACTTTCCATTCCATTTAGTTTGCTCGTATTCGTTCATATTTGGCCCCAAAATTGCCGCTTGGACTAGCCATGACACATCTCACTGAAATGTCAAGCGGGCGGCCAACAACAACTGAATTACTTTTGGTAACATCAAAGTTTAGAAGTCAGATAACCTACGTTGTTGTAGTCTTGAAAGTCTGTCTTTGCCTGCACGGGAGCTGATGACGCAACCGCTCCTATCACAAGATGAGGATACTGTGTAGGAATAAAACACAAATGATGATGAACCACTTAGAAGAAATGAGGATTGTTTATATTTTTAACTGCCAGTTTAGAGGGGGGCTAATGTTCTGTAATGCGTGAGTCTTCGATCGGCTTTGTAACCTGTTGCTTTCCCAGTGCTGTTCATGTGTTCTCGATGTGCAGCGAGGTTGCTTCCGCCGTAACATTTTTGTTCTCCCATATTTCTAAATTCCACGCCATTTCTAAGTTGCACAGCGGGGCAAACACAACTCTAAAAATTGTAAACCGATGTGCGTAGTCGAATAAATTTTCTCTGCTAAGTCGGCAATGCGAAAAAGGTCAACTAGAAGCAAGTATTGGTCTTGAGGAGGAGAATTTAAAGAAACTTTGCCTTTAATCTGAACCAAGCTGCTAGATTGCCCGGGTAGGAACCGCCATATGCAATCCACTGATTCAGGTCAGTAAGTTTGTACATCTTCAGGGCAAAGACACAAAACTCGGCCAAGTCTGCCAACCTGTAGAGAAACATTCGGAATGTATGGATCTTTCTCAGTAGGAAAAGTGGTTTTCTATGGAATGACAACTTTTTCAGTGCAGTAACTTATTTAAGTATACCTAGCTTCTATGAAAAATTCGGGACGTCTCCAACAGCCCTCAAACAGACGAGTCGTTTCGAAATAATAAAATTTGATTTGTTTGCTCTCGACTTTTAAATGTAATAGAATTATCGAGCTCAAAATATGAGCTTTAGATAGCGATCAAACTCAAGCTCTAAGGAGAGAAAAACTTGACACCCTGATTGCTTAAGATGATTGCTTAGGATAACTGTAATTTTCACAGAATACCGCTTATTTATCCTTACATTACTTACGCTTGCTGACTTGAAAGATATTTGAGGTTCTCTGTTTCTAAATAGTCTTCAAAAGTGCTTAAACCGTAATAGCGATGCTCCACCGCAAAGAGTAGGCCTCTATACTGCTCAGCCAGTTCCACAATATTCCCTAAAAAATTTCCAGAGTATACTACTTTGATAGAAAAATAATTTTCAGGAACAAGACAATTCCGTAGACAGCCTCCCTCCCTACCCGAGTCTGAACCCCTCACCCCAACTCACCCACCCATGACATTACTTTGAAAAATATGTCATGACATTTTCGCGACTGTAATGCCTTCAGTTTCGTCAAACGGCGCCCGCAAAACTGCACTCTAAGCTGACTCCACTTTTGAGGGAAGTCCCAGCTCATCTCTATTCAGCACACGAGGGTAACAAAATGAAGCGCTCTTGTCGAATGATACCTGTAATAACCTGGAGCTTGAAGGGACATTTTCTTAGTTTCACTTTAAGCAGTCAAAGTGAAAGACCATATTGTTTACTTTATAAACGTTTAATCAGATAATTAAGTATTATTATTTCTCGACGAAACGAATAGCTTCAAAAGCCTGCTAGTTTCTCACTGCCTCCTTTTTCAGGTTTTATAATGGACTAGTTTTAAATAAAACTCGTAAACTAGCAGTGCAGAATACAGACTGCAACATGCCATGCATTTAGGCGGAAGTTTTGGAAAAATACCAGAGCTCAATATAGCTTTGAAACAGATTAATCCTACCATAGTCTATATCAGCTTGAAATAATTTTCCCTCTCCTCCGATGTACAAGAAGACTGGTCCATCTTCCTTTCTCCAGTACTTAGTATTTACCATGTAACGTTGTTTGAATGTCTTCTGTGACGGCTCAAAGTGATCCAGTGGTTGTTCCAATGTGAATTCTTCGATTGGATCGTGTCGAGCGTACAGCGAATTTTGATGTTCACGCACATACTCGCGGATCTTGTAAGATATTTCGGTTTGGAAACATGTGGTACGAGAAATAACGGATAAGAGCAAGAGGCATTGGACTAAACACTTCTCCATAACAGTGACTTACAATTCAGTTTACCGTGAGTGAAATTGTCTTCCCATGCCATGCGGCTTGAAGTTCAGACTCTCCTCATGTGAGCATCTCGTGACTGCAGTATTCATGCCCTTCAGAGCGTGACTATTAGTCACGCAATCGATCCCATGTCAGAATTGTACGCTATGTAACTCTACGGTTATTTCTCAGAAAAACACGCATGTACCGCCTACAAAACACATAGAGGAGTGTGAGGTACTCATTCCTTGTTCGCCTAAAACTCTGACGGTAACTTTTTCTTTGCTTCTGGCTAAGAATCAGCGGCTGCAATGTTTGACATAGTTAGGTAAGCGTTTTTTTTTTTTGTTATGTTTTGGTTGCGAGTGATACCATCTGTTTACATTTCCTCCGATAAAGAGTGAAGAAAAAAACGCTTACGGTGCCAAAATAACTCCGTAAAAAATTTATTACAGAATTTCATGAAATGAGCGCCCTCGCTTGATTAAGCGCCCATTTACTAAGCCATAACATCAACCACGCGCCCCGCTTAAGTAATCATCCCCCTTAAACCCTTCCTCACTTTTTTAATCAGTAGGGATACACGGAAAACCGGTTTCTATTGCCACTCAATTTTACAAATTACATATCAGTTTGTTCTTAGATGCTATCGCTGTCAGTTATTTGCTGTCATTAGGAGCTGACCAAAGTAAGTCTTTATCTCTTCTGCATTTACGATGTTTAACTTTTGTCTGTATTATTGGCGTTGTTGTCGTATTCAGCTTTCTGTGCAATTGCTTCATTTTTAGTTAGGTTAATGTAACATTTCGCAACGCATTTTTCTTAGTTTAGTTTCTGTTGTATTTTCTCTGAGTTCCTTACCATACCATACCATACCATACAACCTACATCTCAGCGCTATCTTCTACAATCATTAAAGATCGCTTCACATTCTATGTGCGTTCGAATTGTCTACTCAGCCGCTTAGGCAACCTTTTGAGGTTACAGCAGTCGCCGATTCTCTAATAGCTGTAGATGCGCAAATTTACTTACATCGCATTATTTTTAAAGATCAAAGGTGACCATCGTCCTAAATATAAAGATAACGAAAATGATGCATTTGTACAGCGCACTCTCCATATCAAAATGCTTTACTGTGCTTTGCAACACTTTGCAGTCATGTGTTATTAGCGGAGCTACTGCTAAAACATGCGAAAATTAAAATTTTTACCTTACAAAATTTTAAATAAAATTAAATATTTACATATTATTCAACAAGCTGCTGGAAAACTGTGCGCCCTAGCAATCTCCGTGCAAAGCTTCTCAAAGTTGTCGTTTCCTGTTGTCTTATGAAGATTATAACTTATGATATTTGTCCTTAAAATTGATCATAAACAGAACAAGAACTTTAAATTAAAATTTTTTAATTATACTATAAGTCCCATAAAATGATATCTATACTAAGAGTTAAAAACATTATACGTCCGTTTTTCTAGCATCTGGATCCATTAGTTTTTCCATCTCTCCGAGAGGTATACAACATGACTCAGGTAGACAGTGTCCATTTTGGATATGATTCGTCGGCTTATGGTTTTTCATGTGGTGTTCCATCTGGTAAGCAGCAAATGGGTATAACACCATGACTGCGAAGAAGTCTTCAGCTACGTTTCCGTTGATTTCGTATTTCTCGCGGATCGAGTTGCGTACCCCGGTAGCATAGGCAAAGAAACCAAAAGCAGAGTATATCCAACGTAGCAGATCCCTGAAAAAACGCAGAGGCGTTCCAGAACCAGCATGGAAATACAAGCGTAGAACGGTAGCGCCATGATCAGCATATGGGTCCACATTCTACCATTTGGTTTCTCTACCATTCCAGCTGCAGTTCCCATGGAGTACCAGGGAGCAAAGATGCTGATTATTACTTTACATACGCTCTCGACGGTTGGGGTACTTAAAACATCCAGAAGTCCAGTGGTGAATTGTGGACCGTTAGGATCCAGGTCTCCAGCCTCTACTTTGACGGCCCGCCATAGTGCCACGCACATAAAGCAGAGCATGATTGTGTATGGCACTCCAGACGCGATAGAAACTGTTTGCAAGGCATTCAGTGCTTTTTATCTCCGACGTAAAGAAGAGCAGTGGCTGTAGCACCTTCTGTTAGAGCCCAAAAGACTCGTTGTAGGACTGGTGGCTTTGGGTCGCCATTGGCTGACAGGCAGTCTATAACAAGTGAACCACTGTCAGAGCTTGTGACGAAGTAAAGGACAATGCCGATCAAGGAGAGCACAGAAAGAAAACTTCCCATGTCTCCATATTGGCTCATTACATCGAACCACATGTCATTCTTATCACGACAGGACAGGCGGAATAAACCGTTCAGAGATTCGGTAGCGTTTGTTCCCCCCTTAGGTAAGTCACATGTTATATTGGCCAGAGTAGCATCTCTTTCCATTTTAAGTCCTGCTCCTCCAAAAACGCAGAACCATAAGATTGAGAAGGCCACTGGTGCGGTGAGTGTTGCGTTGATGAACTGTCTAATGGTTCTTCCTCTGGATATCTTTGCGATGAACATGCCAACGAAGGGTGACCAAGCAATCCACCATCCCCAGTAGAAAATGGTCCATGCGTCCATCCACCCAGGATTTTCCTTGCGATCAGGTGCATTTCCAAGTTGAGCGAAGGCGTCGGTGTGGAAGCCAAGTTGGACAACAGTTTGCATGTAATAACCAGTGCTCTGGACGAGCAAGTTTAGTGTGTGCCATGGAGAGTCAAAGAAGAACACGAGCATCATAATGAACACGCCTAAGGCAAAACAAGTCTCGCTTAGGCGTCGGATGCCCAGTTTTAGTCCACTGATGACCGAGACGGTAGCACAGGCCGTTACGCACCAGATAATGATAATTTGATTCAAGGTGCTGACCTCTACTGAACTTTCTAGGCGATGGACACCGGCATTGAGCTGCATAACACCCAGTCCCAAGCTTGTACAAACGCCAAACATGGTACAAACCACTGATATTATGTCGATGGCGTCGCCCATCCATCCATAAATCTTGTCACCTATGAGGGGGTACATGCAGGAGCGCATTGTCATGGGAAGCCCTTGTCTGTATCCTACAAAGGCAAGGAGAAGGCCAACTACAACGTATACAATCCATCCGTGAATTCCCCAGTGGAATAAAGTTAAGTTGATGGAGTCTTGAGCGCGTTGATTGTCAGTGTACCTAGGGCAAAGGAATGGTTAAATAATTTAGTTGTGTAAAAAAATAGTCGAAAATTTTTGTGATTTATTAAAAGGTCTTTCGCTGGACTGGTTTCACTCGGCCAAATTTTTCGTAAGTCTTGCTTTCTTTCCATCTTAATATGCCGTTGTCTGTTGAATACATTTGCTTTTCCTCGTGTACAATAAGTAAGCAATAATGGCTTCTTTCCATTCAATGATGATGGAAAGAATCACCAACCCATACACAGCTGGGCTATGGGATTGGAAGAACGAGGAACGGGGAATGGGGAATGGAGAATGAGGAATGGGGAATGGGGAACGGGGAACGAACGGGGAACGAACGGGGAACGGGAACGGGGAACGGAGAACGGGGAACGGGAACGGGGAACGGAGAACGGGGAACGGGAACGGGGAACGGGAACGGGGAACGGGGAACGGGGAACGAACGGGAACGGGAACGGGGAACGGGAACGAACGGGAACGGGAACGGGGAACGGGAACGGGGAACGGGGAACGGGGAACGGGGAACGGGAACGGGGAACGGGGAACGGGGAACGGGGAACTTTAAAACGGGGAATCTTTAAAACGGGGAATCTTTAAAACGGGGAATCTTAAAACGGGAATGGGAAAACGGGGAACGGGAATTTAAAAATGGGGAATCTTTAAAATGGGAATCGGAGAACGGAGAACGGAGAACGGAGAACGGAGAACGGGGAATGGGGAATAGGGAATCTTTAAAATGGGGAATCTTTAAAACGGGGAATCTTTAAAACGGGGAATCTTTAAAAGTGGGAATCTTTAAAAGCGGGATTCTTTAAAATGGGCAATCTCTTCAAAATGGGCAATCTCTTCAAAATGGGCAATCTCTTCAAAATGGGCAATCTCTTCAAAATGGGCAATCTCTTCAAAATGGGCAATCTCTTCAAAATGGGCAATCTCTTCAAAATGGGCAATCTTAAAGGCGGGAATCTTTAAAAGGGGGAATCCTTAAAACGGAGAATCTTTTAAAGCGTGGAATGAAATCGACAAAATTTATGATCGATCTGTGGAAAAGTTGCTCTTTTTTTCCTATTTTACGCTTTAAAATTCAGGTCTGTCGACACAAGTAAAACTACGCGACAGTGGAAATCCCGCCTCAAGGTTGAAGTTTCCTCGACGTTACAATTCTGTTTTGGCGGATAGCAGTGGCACTCGACATTTATTTTTTTGATTGATCTGAATGATAAGTCAGTAATTATGATTGAATAGTCTGATCTACAGCGTTTTCCGTTTTGTGAAGTCAATATTAGTCCATAATAACTTGCGGCCTTTCTTTTTTGGGCAACCGGAGGAAGGGAAAAAAAGAACGCCTAATACAATTACCACACGAGTCGTGTGCCCGTAGTCCAGAATCTGGCCTTTTGTCTGATCAGTCGTAAAACATTGACGGATAAAGCAGAGGCATTTCACCTTTTTTTCACTAGAAAGTAAAAATGTAAACTGCGTTCTGTCGCCTATGCGCCTCCAACAGCCGCATGAATTTCCGATAAAATCGAATTGGCCCACATTTATAGTATGACACATGATAACATCAGTGTTGACGTAAGGTAAGCAAAGAAGGCAAAAAAAGAGCGCCTCATCGCAAGTTCAGTTAATATCGTCAATAGTACTTTAGACCTACGACTCAGAGATGGTGACAGGTAGCGCTGCAAATTACTGATTAAGTGGAAATACATGATGCAATTTATAATATTCTGGGAAGTAACATGCAGAAAATTCACGTGAGTACAAAGGAACCCGTGCACAGGTTCAATGACATTCAACAGTTGGGAGAATGTAGAGTTAAAAGATCCTCTATGTCTAATGTAAGTGTTATGATCTTTTTGTTTCTGATTTCGATTAGTTTGAATTTATTGTCAATTGTGTGACCGGTATTTTCATACATTACCATTCACCCGAAAAAATCATAGGAAAAAATATGTCCACTGCATCAAGCAAAGTACAACAACCTATAAAAAGCCAAATTCTCCCAAAGCTATTCTAGATGGCGGGAAAACGGCAAGGAAAATATAATGACGCGACAGGCAACGTTTTGCCCTTTCCCAGTCTTATTAATGTACGGTCAACATGATTGAATTTCTTACTGAGGTTAATTAATTACCTATGAGTTAATGTTGGCATACTTGAAAATTCATTTGTTTCGATTCTGTATGAGAGCCTTTGCAGGTTCTTTTTGGTGCACGATACCAAGAGCAAGTGTTGAAAGTACAGGTATCAAAGATATTTTATAATTTGATATTTTAGATTGATTAAAGCAAATTTCAAATCGTGAATAAAGGTGGTTTCAGTTGATTGATGAACGTTTCGACCGAGTATCAAACTCTTCATAAATCATATTTTATATACCCCGTTTTAAAGATTCCCGCTTTTAAAGATTAATTTAAAGATTCCTCATTTAAAAAATTCCCCACTTCAGATTTCCCAGTTTTAGATATTCTTGCTTTTGGAGATTCTCGCTTTATTACTCGTTTTAAGATTCCCCGTTTTAAAGATTCCTTACTTTAAAGATTCCTGCATATAAAGATTCCCGATTAAAAGATTCCTCATTCTCCATTCCCCTTCCCATTTCCTTGTTCCACCATTTCCTGTTCTTTCATTCCCCGTTCCTTATTTTCAAGATAGCCCACACAGCTGTCGGAAAAATTTTAAGTAACTCATCTTTTACACGTGAGAGGCAGATTCTAAAGACAGTAACTCAAATGTTATTTCTGTGCCACTATAGCTGACATATATATTAGTGAATATCCTCTACATACCTGTCCCAATAGCGGTTTCCATGTTTACCAGGTGCGTAGTGCCATACTGGTTCAGCTGTAACACAAGAATAGCCACATTAGCATGAGGGGAACTGGTCAGGGTAAAATATCAATTGCCACATAATTAACTGGTCCATCGTGTATTGACTCGGAAGAACTGGAATGCCAAAAATTATTCCTGTAAATCAGTCAATATGAATTGTTACGCTTGTGAACTCATAAGTCAGAAACACAATTGAAGTTCACAGAAAACACCAAAAATAGTTCCCTTTGCCGTACACTTTTAGAAATTCAAGTGAGAATGTTACATTTTTGCGTATTGTTAACCGTCCAAATCCGCACAGGCAGGAATAGTGTTGTAGGTAGTAAGAATATAAAATTTGACTATTCCGCGGTTGAGAGGCAGATGACTGGCTTACTTACGATATTGTATAATTATGCAAATTTCATAATCTCATTGAACAAGGAGTCAATATTGAAAGCAGTGAACAAAGCTCTTGAACATTCTTAAAATTTTCACAGCGATATGCTATTTGAAAGCGTGGGTAAATGGTCCACTTGAACTTTGTACTCATAAAGCGCGCGAAAAATATACGTTAACCATTCATTGATTCATTCATTCATTTATGTGAATGAATTCCAGTTGTCATGCCATGTGGAGTATTCATTTATTCACCGTAATGCATTTCCTTTTCTTTAATTGACGTCCGTCACATGAAGCGCCATTAATAACCTTGCTTCAAGCTAAGTTATTATTTCGAGTAAAATGCTCTTTGGACCTAAATCGAGTTGGATATTGTAAATAGTATCATAAATGATTTCAGGCATTAGGCAGGGAATTTTAAAAGTGCTTTTACTGTAAAATGGAATATTATCGAAAACGAAATACGCAACGAATCTTACAGAATCAAAACAGATGGATGGTATGAACCACAAAAAAAAAATAAAAAAACAAGAACAAACAGAGAAAACGAAAGGAGTGTCACATTGCTAATATTTTGGTTTCTATTGGGTTATCATGCGACGGAATACGTGACATCGCTGGTTAGCGATAGAATCGAACCGCTTGTAAATTCTATGAAAATCATTGCTCGCCGTTATTAGTTAGGCGCAGTTGAGTGGTCCCTGATCTTAACAACATAAATGACATCATTCCCTGAATCCTATACAACTGAAGTGATTTCTATCAACTTTAAGGTTGTAAGATATTTGATTTATAAGAGTAGCCGTTCATTCATTCGAATGCCGTGCAACGTCTAACCTAGGACACGCAATTCTATCTTTTCAAAAAAATAAATATCATTAAGTCGGTTCGGTACCGCTCGAAAATGACGAAAATAACGGCTTTTTCCATAATACATCTTCAACCTAAGCCCCTAAGAAAATGAAAGAGTTTTCCCACGTGGTTGGCTAGTAAAATCACTCAAAGAGTACAGTTGTATAAATAGCGCGCGGTTTTTCTGCGGTCTGTAAACAATACTTTTAATAGTTTATATTCGTCTGACGTGTCGAGTGGCAGGTTATCACGCGTGACGACATCATTGGGATTTTACTGCCACATGTGGGAAGTTGTACTATAACCCGAGGAAAGTAGTTTTACTCGATGTGAGGGTTACTGAGCATGTGCGAAAGAAATAATCGAAATGTCACTCCGAGGACCCTGAGGAAATATTATTATGAAATCGCCTTTTTTATTTTATTTTTTATTTCAAAGACGCAGTAGAGATTTTGATATCCTTCGCATATTTTTTTTTATAGGACTAAAAAACTAGCGTTCTGATAAGCAAGAAATATTAATGTTTCTCACCAGCAGTTCAACCGGTTTCGCTCCATCTCACACGCCTTTTTACAAAATCGAGGTTCTTGAAATAAGTCGAACGAGGAATTATTGCTAGAATAGTACTGACTACGATAATAACTGCTGTAAACATACCCACTCCGAAGTAGAATAAACCGATCCCTATGCCAGCGGCAAACAGCATGGTGAAGTAGGTCGCGTCTTTGAATTCAGGTTTTTCATCCGGTTTTCCCAGTTTCATGTTGCCGTATTTGGAGAAGTACAGAACGATTATAAATACAGCCCAGGCGTCTTGGGTACCAATGTACATCCAGGTAAAGGTAGCGGTGATCCATGTTTTCCATTCGGCCATCGTAGAATTCGCTGTCTCCGGTTTTATTATGCACCAAGCGACAAAGCCCCAAATAATCAGAGCAGACACCAGCGACACCACTGGATTTAAGCGGATATTTATTCCAAGACTAGAGCTACCCATTTTGCACCATTTCCAATTGATGCGAAACCACCGACATCGGTTGGCAGCATCTTCTTGTTCGCTACTGCAAGTACTATTATCCATTTTATTAACGAGTTAGTTCGTTTTCGACATCAACGTATCTTCAATAGTACTACCGGTCTCCTTAGCCCTTTCCGCGCTTTTATGTCACTAATTTATTAATATATTCAAAACCAATATAGGTATGACAGGTGGCTGTGGTTCGCATGTGACGTCCACCCTATAAGCTAGCCAAATCATTTGGTTTCCACTGGCTATTAGTAATTTTACTCTAAAAGAGAAAGTACTAGATAAGAAATAAGTATTTTTACTCAAATTCGATTTTTATCACAGATTTAAACGTGAATCTTTCATACTTTTATACTGTTTTTCTACAATAACTGAGTTATGTGACTCAGGACAGATAATAATTTTTTAGCAAAATGTGTATTTGCAGGGAATGTTAAATATTTCCGCCAAAATCTTCAAGCGAATTTCATTTCTGCTGATCACAGCCGGTTCGACAAATACTCCGCAATAATATTGTCCTTTAAGGCCATTAGGCTATTCCAGTGATGATAATATTATCAGTATCCAATTTCTTTTAACTGTTTTCTTTACAAAACCCAATCGTTCAGCTTGTGAGAAGAAACATTTTGATCAAAATAAGAGTATCGTCACCTCGAAGATGTTTCAATATTAATAACCATTTGAATTTATGATCGTACAGACATGTTATCCGGATATAGAGAGAGAAAAAGGCGTTCAGTATCAAAAATTCGAACTATGGCATGGACTCAACCTTCGACATCAACTCTTTCACTGAACATCAGTCGGATGTCACGGAAACAGACATGTGAGCCGTCTATGCTCTGCCTGAAACAAGATGGACCGATGACCTCCGTCGAAACCGTCATAAACTAAATAAAGTTTAATCCTTGCCAGCGAGTGACAGTCAAGAGGGCCTTGCAATGTTCACAATGATAGAACGTTAATTTGGTAATATATGAGAGCCACTAGATTTTTCGGAGAGTAGAAATTTGGCCTTATGCGGAGAAAATTGTCAATTTTTCTAGTTTAATCGCAACGACTGCAAAGTAACTTAGTAAAAAAAGGAAGTGTGTTTTTCTCACACTTCATCGTTTCTTTAAGCTAAAATTTACATTCAGTGATCGCTATCATTCAATAGATATTCACCAGAGATTCATAGTATCCCAGTCACGCGGTTAACAGTAATATTGACCACTGCTATTAACGACTTACTCGTCTCATGCATGACTGATCATGCGTTTGCTTGGGATCATTTGCATTTCGCGGCGCGAAACCAATTAACTTTTTCGTTTTTTCTTTTCGGTGGAGGTTAGTTGTTTTCCTTTGTGTTACTTCACGCTCCATACATATTCAAGTATACCATGAGGATGTTACGTTGTTAAGCAGCTTTCGAACGAGGATTAAAGGCAACGTTTACACTTACGTTGATGAAACAGTTGGCGCCCATTCACTGGTCCCTGAGAAACGGTGTGAGTGACGTCACTGTTTGGATCTCATTTCCTCCCACGATGAATTTATTATATTGACATTCGATTAAGGAGGCTTACTCGTTTTAATCCCTTTTAATTCCTTTTTTATCCTAAGCTTTTCAGTAATGTGGGGTTCTATTCGTTACATAACCAAGATAAATTTCGAATTAGACTCATCACTCGGTTTTTAAGGTCCTCTACGCAATTTCCAATCGATACGACCGGGGAATAAAATTTTACTCTTGGCAGAATTAGAAATAATCATAATAATAAGATATGCAAATTCATGTCAAGGTGGTGTCTGGAGGTAAACTCGAAGAGGGGAGGTAGCTATTATTGAGTGTTATAAAATAACTGAGGTAATACATGCGCTCTGATGGTCAAGAATCTATCGTTTATTGCACTATAAGAGCAATACACTGCATTTCTCTCGGTTTACCGGCGTGTTAACGCATGAGGGATGTTGGGAGAATAGAGAATCAAGAATAGTTTATAAATCACAAGCTGGCCGGAAAATAATTATTTATAAACTTCTCTCCCATCATCCCTAGAGGGTTTTTACGCCAGCAAACCAAGATAAAGTGCAGTCTATTGCTATAATATAATTAAATCGAACATTTTCCGTCTTTTCCGTGAAAACAACATGCAAGATCCCCACCCATATCTTTTGAAATCCTCTAGTTTTATTCTCCTAGCAATTTTGTACCACAGCAGCACTTGCACACAGCTGTGGCACATTACAATTATTATTGTTTTTATCAGTTTCCCGTCCGTTCTTCAATTAAAACGGGCTTTGAAGATTATATCTGTAAATTGGACGCCTTTTGGCGATGGATTATGTGGGGTTATTTACAGAACTGTCATTGGCTTTATTCAAATTAATAAAGATGTGTCAGAACCTGTCGCCTCATCGGTGCCTAAATGATTGGGTTTAGTCAAGCTACGTATTAAGCCTTTGTTGTTCTGCAATCATTGTGTATGACAGAAAAACCTCATTCAGAGCCACGTGCATTTTTTTGAGTCTTAAGTCAGAGTTGATAAACACGCGACATCGCCATCCAAGATAATTGGAAAAATACATGATAAATGTACACTTCTTGCTTAGTACTTTCTTAACGAAAATTATGGCTGCCATCTTTCATTTCAATGGCAGCGGAAGGCTGGGGAGGGAAAGAAATCTGTACCAAGAGGATGGTCGACGGTCAAAAAAAAGGAGAGAGGTGGGGATGGGGGATTGAAGATTACGCCTGCCCTCACTCTTCCCCGGCCCCCTACCCCCACCGTCCACTCCAACTCCAAATCAAACATGGCCGGTCGGATAAACGATTGCGAGCTTTTAACGTTAGCTCGCACTAATAAGACGCCCGCACTGCAGGCTAGTTTAATTTTAAAGTCCTGAGTCATGTTTAAGCTTCCCAAAGAAATAAAAAAAGTTGAATAAACACTACCAACACGAGATCTAAGCTTTGACCCGAAGGCGATGGGGGCAGGGTAGATTAGACAAAATATTTTGTCTAGTAAATACCAGTACCCGAAGCTGTCTCCCTTGCCAGCACACTTTTCATGAAATTTTTTCAATGAAAGCCTCATCTCCGAACAGGGGCGGCATTCGAAAAAGGAGAAGAACTTCAGAAAGAGGTTGGCTCCTCGGTCGTCCTTCTCAACCGATTCTACTAAATTTGAGACATGCTGCCATGTTGCTTTCTATCTCGTCGAAAGTTCTGTGCAGTGAGGCAATGTCCTGACGTGATTGTTAGCCTCAAGAGATAGACTTTTAGGAGCCTACAAAGAAGAGTAAACATGCTGAGGAAAGTTCAATTTTAAAATGTGCTTTATAGTTCTCGATACTTCGATTCTGAATAATGATCTTGTCGACCTCAAGTGAATTTTTTAGCTATTTGAGCCATACTTTGGAGCAATAAATATTATTTTTAAGTTTCTATATGCCCAAGGAGTACTGTTTAATAGACGACTTTGAGTTAAATCCCATAATTTTTTTCAACGCAACGCTGCGGCTGCGCAATTGTCGAACCGTGAAGTCGAGTAAACAAGATTTGAGTAACAGTGAATATATCTGCGCGGGTTTTGTGCGCGCAAAAAATTTGGGCCTACATTTTTCACTTTTAACAACGACTGTAGCATATGTTTGCATAAAGTTTTTTCTCAAAATATTTCTCGATCATTTTTGTTCTGCTTTTCATTTTCATAGTTCTAATTTTTGGCTAGCATACGATTCTCTGGTAATCCGACAAATTTGTATGCCTGGAAATCTAATTCCGCGACTGTATCTTAGATCTTGAATTTCTTAGTATGCATCTGGTAATTTTCCTCCATTTTTTATTCAGTGTTTTAGCCTAGGGAAAGGGTAATTAAATGTTCCTGTATCATTTTAGCTTGGCCTTTGGAGAAGGCAAAGATGTTATGTTTTAGGTTTTTTAACTACCAAGCCAGTATTACTCTGGGCTACGCCTGAGGCTACTCTCACACATCTCTCGTGAGTTCCAAACTTTCGCGTGCTTCATATCTAGACGAACGCGCGCGGGCGCATGAACCAGCCTGGTAAACCCATTTGAGCTTTTAATCTGAATTAAGTAAAACTACTTATTAAGTAGTATAAGCCATATATGATGAGCTTATTGTTATTTTTAGCCACCAATAATGCATTATGCTAGTGGTTAGCTAGGAAAATTATAGTTTTGTTTTTGGCAGAGACGCCCAAAACGAGGACATATTTTCTCCCAGGACCGTCAGAAAAAAGCGGTATTGCCGTTTCACAATCGTTTTTACAAAGCTTGTATTACGATCCATCCATTACTTACACGATAACCTGCGAATCGCGGAACCATCACTGGGAATCGCGGAGCTCACTTTCCACGACCGAGACATGTTCGATCCGGTCTTACTCTGTTACAATTCAGTTGAAACTCAGACGGAATTGTTTGACAGATTCGCTGGACCTGGAAAATCCTCTGCAACGGTCTGAAAAAATTTTGCCATTACTGAGAATCCTTCGAATTTCCCAACTGGAAAGTGACTTCTCATTTTGTGAAAATATTTCCTATTCATGACGATTTTAAGCGGGCTGATTTTAAACACCGATTTTACACAGCTATCTGGTGTTTCGTACTTTTGCATGTTCCTAATAATTTAAACAAAAACAAAATTCTTTTTGAGGATCTCTCTATCATTGATGTCAAGAGTAATTGCCCCCCCCGTACTGCTCTCCCCTTTAAGCCCTACGAGGAATTTACCACAAGACCAAGTATTTTTTGCCGTATTTTTACGGATGATTACAATGAATTCGAAAGATTGAGTTTGTCACATGGCAAAGCTCAGGGTATCTATCGTAATGTTACCGCATTTGAACTGAAGTCCAGGTACCAGTTGTTTGGCGTACCTTGTGGCTACGTTTATTTTGTGCATAATTAGCCACCTATAGTCTTGTGCTGCTCTTGATGAAGTGATGAACAGCTAAGGAAGTAGAAGGACCTGGCTGATGAAAAAGGTAAGAACTATTAGCTTTTGGATATCGATATCATCATTAATTCCAAGTGTAGTATGATCCATGCCATGTGTCATGAAGAATCATTTTTTGAAGACTGCACTTTTCACTTTTCCAGGAAAAAAGGGATAATCAGTTATGCTTGGTATTTGTTTATTATTCCTTCTACCTTCTGGTAAGTGTACGTCCAAACAAGATAAAAGTACCTCGTATCATTTAGTTCAAACAGAACTTATTCACTGGCCCTTCTTAATTCGTGATTTACCCAGAGATGATTGGTAAAAACAGAGAAGTCACCTTGAAGCAGTGAAAAGTATTCTTACTCATATCAAGTTCCCCTTTGGAGTAAATATTAATACTTGTAAGAACATCGCAGTTCAGAGCTCGAGACTGAGTATGTAAGGTCATCGAAATAAACTTATATCTTTAAATTTAGTAACTAAAGAATATAAACATGATCAGTTAGCAAAGTCGACTTTTTATGAATTCCCCCACCCCTCTCAAAAAAATTACAAAAAAATATGAATTGCAATAATAATGAAAATTACTAGCCACTGATTTAGAAAAAAGAGTTATGGTGGGTAAGATATCAAGGCCACTGGACTGGCTTCGTATTTTAAAAACCTTTGGTAAAGGATGCTCATGTTTCATAATGGTCTACTTCCGGAAAGCAGCTTCTCAGCGTTCTCCGTGCAAATTTTAGCGCCATGGAAAGCACTTTTTCTTTGGAGCAAGAGGACCAGTGACTGATCTCAGGCGCTGGTCAAATTTTTATTCAATTAGTTATGCACAGGCGATATCCCAAATGGTTTGGAAATGGAGGTAATAACCTCATTGGCTTTTGTGGTTATAAGCTGCATTTTGTGAATATTAATCTCTATTAATATGAATCTAGACATCGATAACTGAGAGGCCTGGACTGGGTACAGGCAGGGTGCAAGTTAGTACTTTCCCTTTTCTGTAAGATTGAGCAATTTGTTCAGCATATAAGTCATAAGACTTGGGTAGAGCCAATGGCTATTCACCACGCTGACGCGTTTTAATTGCGAAATTACTGTAGCATTACCGCTTAGGTATATGTGCACGTATGATTAGTAATCTTGCAAGCAAGCGAGCAACAAGTTTATTTCTAGCGTTAAGAAAGTTTTAGTTTCCCACCCACCCACACCATCGACAGTTTTGATTGTACCTTAATCTCATTCGTGTTTGTAATTTATTCTTGATTACTGGACCGTTGGTTTAGTGTATTCGTCCAATATCTTTGTTATGAAACAGTCTAGAGTGTTATTTACGTAGGATATATACATTTAATAAACTGTCTGGTCCCAAAACAAGCCTCTGTCTGTTGTGGTGTTTAGTTTATATCTCAATTTGCTTTAACATTATCTTATATCATTTTGTACAATGTAGTCGTTGAAGCTCTTCCACATGTCCAAAATCCCACCTTTGAAAATAAACCGGGGCTCTCCACAGGCCAC